TGGAGTGTGGCCATGATACTCAGTGAGGTGGATCAGCAGAGACAAGTCAACTTACATGTCATGTATTGTTCCACATAACTGGAGTGTGGTTTTCTGCTTGAGTCCTGTCTGCTAGAGTCAGTGATTGAAGTCTGAGTGTACGTGTATGAACATGCACTTATAGTTCTGTTTTGCACACTGTGCTAGTGAATGCTAAAAAAGCTGGGTTTTTTGGACCCTGTAACTTGTCACAGCTGGAACCTAACTTGAAAAAGTATGGTTCTGTGTTAATTTCTGTTGTTTTAGAGAACTAATTTAAAAACTAAAGAGACTGCACCGTGCTGGATGTTACACATGTTGTAGACATGATGACAAATATTTTTTGGCTGAGACCATAACGGACGGTAAACCTGTTTTGTGTTATAATTTCCCCCAAAATTTACTGATGAAAGTCACAGTTTTAATCTTTTAACAGTTTCTTTGCAGCACCTTAAAAATAACAACATGAATATGAATATTTGTCTTGTAAAAAGAAAATTTTCCAATATAAATGGGTGATTAGTTAAATCATTTTATGATTTTTTTAATTTCACAGATCAGGCCTGTTGTCATAATATCTGCTCTTGGAACATTGTCGGTGAAGGTCCAAGCAAGACTGTCAGATTGTGGAATCAAAAAGGGCCAGCAGTCTTCAACCTTAAGAAGAGGAGTTTTAAAACATGGAGACAACTGCATGTGCCACTTTGTAACTACCGACCTTGACCCTAACCCAACCAGCTGCAGCCGAAGTCTGATACACTGTTTTGATGCACTAGGCAATCAACAGCAGCCAAACTAACTGGTCATACATGTTGAGACAATGGGAACTGGTCTCAATTAACAATGCCACTGTTGGATCTTGTGGTGGCTGGCAACCACTGACTCCCAGGCTGTTTGGCCTTAGGGAGAGGTGACCTTTAGGATCTTGTTAGTTACACTGGGCAACCAAATCATTACTTTGACAAATGATGCAGATTGATGTGTCTGGCAGGGTTTCTAGCCAAACAACCCTGAACAGCCATGCAGGGTTATATATTGTGCTTCTTTTCATTACGAAAATGGCTTTTGAATTTTCAGTGAGTTGAATTTTTAGTGACATGTACATGATATAAAACTGAACACTTGGAAGTGTAAATATAGAAAGGTTTGCAAATATATGTTTGACCTGAAATACATGCAAGGTCTATTGTCTGTTTTAACATATTGAAATTTATGTTTTTGTTATTTAAATACAGGCAAATGTGCTGTGCCCTCTGACCTTTTTTGAAATTGCGCAATCCGAACCTTTAAATATAAGTTCCGAATTCTCATATATCAAGAGGCAATTGGCCTGGTGGTTAGCTAGCTGGCTGCCAGGCCAGGGGATCCCGGTTCGAATCCCGGGGTTCCCGGAAAAGGAAGTTTTTTTTTTTTTTTTTTTTTTTTTTACTAAGTTTTTTAACAAAATTGTGCATGCCCACCTGGAATTGAACCCAGGTCCTTGTGCATAGCAGTTAGTGTTCTTAACCACTATGCCACGGCACTTTCTTGAAAAAATGTGTTCGTTTCTAAATGTTAAACCTTCCATTGTTTGGACTTAGAATATTTTTCAGCCAAACTGTGTACTGGAGATGGGCAAGGGTGGAAGTCCATGGGGCTGGAAGTCTGAGAGCTGATAGGATGGGTAGAGTGGATGGCTGAGGGCTTGGGACTGTCAGTATTAGAGCTCTGAGGATCCCATGGGGTTGAAGGACATAGCTTCTTAAGGTTCCATATTGCTATTGGGTTTATTGTAGCCCTTATAAGATTGAGACTAAAAGGCCCCAAGAGGGAACTTTATATAAGGAGCTAGGAAGATGTTTAAGACTGGCAGGGCTTCCATGTAGGATGAGGCTGTAATGTAAAATCTAAAGATGGAAACAGGTGTATCTTAAACTCTGGCAGTGGAAAATGGTCCAGATTAGGATAAGGGTTAAGTGGCAAAGTACTACAGTTTTACAAATCGATGTACATGTACCAACAAGTTGTTCTGCTAGTTTAAATAAATAGGCATTTATTTCACTTGCAAATAGAAATTAACTGGTTATAGCAATATATGGTGATTGTTTCACATACACACAAAGCATTTTTGCAAGGTAATATTTTCAAATGAAACAAATTTTATGTCAGTGCTAAAAGGTCCTTAGAATGCACTGAAAGGTGTTTAGTGAAAGTTATTGTTTTAGACATTAATTTGGGAAACAGAATTGGTTAAAATTTAACCATGTTGGCTGCAAAAAAATAGTTTTATGACTAAAAAATAAAAACTATTTAAATCAAATATTTCTTTCATGCAGTGAGGCCCTTAGAGTGTTTTCAAAAATTACATTTTTTTGCAGTAATGACCTTTCAGCACTGAGCCAACAATTTGCAACTTGAAGATTGGTGATAATTTTAAGTGAAAGACTTTTTCTAATGCTTTGGCAATATGGGTGTGCAACTTGGAAAATACAAAATACACATAGAATTTTGTCCAAGGAAAAGCTTATAAAGATGAACAAGGAAATTAAATGGGGCAGAATTTAAACCTGCAACCTCTGAAATACCGTACCAGTGCTATGAGCTATTCAGCCCTATGTCAGTGGTTCTTCCCATTTGTCAAATCTCTGTTTGGGGGCGAACTTGTTAAAAGTGAGATTCAGAACAGGCACTGGGTTGATTGACCAGTGCTGGTATTTTGTCTGCCTGAATGGGAACACTGTTCAATTTCTAAAAGCATGCAACAGTTACAAGCTTTTAGTTCTCAAAAGAAGTAGTATCAAAGTGTCTACAGTTTTCCAAATGGTAATTATTTGCAAATTTTAAAGTACATGTGTAGCATCTTGATAACTGAACTGTAAACACGAATGTTTTTAAATATGAGTCAATGTGTTACATTGAAAAGAAACAAATCAAAGGCGAACAATAGTCCTTCAAAAGCAAACTGACCAATTGTGTATTCAATTGACAGAGTACCCTCTTAATTAAGTCATGAATAATTTGGATGTAAGTACAGTACAACGTCACTATATTGAACAATTCGGTATACCGAACATGCCTCGTTTCCAAATTTTCTGCCCACTTTTACTGAACGTCACAAATTTGCTTTTATAGAAAAAAATTTAGGACTGATGACAGTGACTCAAAAGTTAAGATGTCAATAAACTCCGAAATTGAAATGGCCATGTTATGAGCCAATAACAAGCAGCCGCACAAGAGAATCTAGGTTTTACATGAACAAGAACACACAGTTATATGTTTAACAACTGACATTTCAACAGAGGAAATAGCACCCTCTTTTTTCTGCAAATGGCCCTTCTCTGTTTTGGCAAATAGCGCCCTCTTTTGCCAGGACTTTCACCCCTTTTTTATGGAAATCGGAACATTTCGATTTTTAGGCCTATGAAAATGCGACGCTTGAAACAGTACCAATGAAATCGCAATAGTTGGGGAGATGCTACATTAAGCATTGTGTATGGACCCGACCCTGTTCATTATAGCAGCATTGTACTGCATACAAATATACACTACTCAAAAAAATTAAAGGATCAGACATTTGAAAATTTCAGCCAGGTGTGTACCTCATTGCTGACTTCACTTATTCTACACTGAAGCTCATGTTCATGGTTGGTTGAGCACCATGGCATGTGAGACAAAGCAATTGGTTAGTCGTGTTTCAATTAACTAGAAGGGTAAAAAAGCATTTGGTGATGTGTATTGCTCAGGTATTGCACAACTTCAAAATGGCCACCTTTCACTCTCTTTGCACAAAAATTAAGGATGGGATGACTCTGAGGCAAGGCGGTGAGAGACTGGGAGTGTCTTAGAGAGTTAGAAAGGGGTTACAATGACATGAATGAGACTGGCCAGTGCTATACAACCCTATAGTGGCAAAATGATGTACACTAACATGGCTCACCTTAGGACATATTGGACCTCTTACCATTTTGTGTTTAAGTTTAGGAAAACTGTGGAAAAGTTTTTTTAATGTCCTGACAACCACGAATTCGAATTTTTTTTATCAATCGTCATTTTACAGATATAATAACATGTGATTTGGGGGAAGATTTGCAAACAGATACATGTTAGACATTGCATTATTTTACTGAATAAAAGGGTTAACAGAGTAATTTTTTGATGCTGAGAAACATCTTCAAGGTGCTTCATTTCTGTGATTCAGAATCACAAAGAGTGCCCTCGCATTAAAGCAATATCATTCTAACTCATAAACAGCGCCCTCACATTACCGCAATATCATTCGAACTCATAAACAGCGCCCTCACATTACCGCGATATCATTCTAATTCATAAACAGCGCCCTCACATTACCGCGATATCATTCTGACTCATAAACAGCGCCCTCACATTACCGCGATATCATTCTAATTCATAAACAGCGCCCTCACATTACCGCGATATCATTCTGACTCATAAACAGCGCCCTCACATTACTTGGTTTAATCCCAATATTTTATAAATCATTTTCAGGGCCGTAAAGGACCTAGACAAGGTGCTGACCAAAGTTTTTTTCAGTGTCACGAGACTTCAGTACTCTGTAGCAGAAGTTTCTTGTTTTGTTGCTAGGAAATAGCCAATTTTTTTACGATGAGAATACCATTTGTATAAATAATTAATCACTATGCATGATCCTTTGATCCTTTGAGTAGTGTACAAATGCAGATAGACTTGCTCCATCACTAAAGTAGAAGCAAGGAACTGCATCTCTGAAAAGATTGAGTCCTTTCCTTGCCTTTTAGTGAATCAGTGCCTAAGATTCTGATGAGGATTCCCCATGCAATGTTTGAAACTGTTCCTCCTCGGTGATGGAGGCGAGGACTGGCATCGATCTGAGTTACTTCCTCTCCTTGACATTTTAATGAATCATCTCTTTGAAGTCCCATAGGATCTTGTCCTCCATCTTCTCTCCAGGTTGAAGGAGGTGAGGGCGCTCTTCTCATCAGCATCATGGTCTGCTTTTCCTGGATCATACCCACAGCTTTCATATGAGGTGGTCTGGGGAAGAAATTAACCACAAAAGGAAATAAGTTGAAGCAGAAATAGAAACATTTCTTCAAAAATTATAGGATCTTTGTATGCTCCTTATTCTTACACCTTTTATTTCATAAAAAACTGTTAGTGTCTATTGCTTTTAATCCATTTTCATGTCAGAAAATGAACTATGACAAGAGAATTCCTTTGACACTGCTGACCTATTACTTCTGAAAGCATTTGTGACTTGTACTCTTTGTTAAAAATATTATTCCAGACACCCGTTTAGGTTTTAGTGAATCAAAACGTGACATTTTTAAACACTTAAAATTATCTTTCACTTTTCCTAACAAGTAGAGGGCGTTTCCTTACAGTAATACTGTAATGTCAATCCCGGAAGACCACAAGCCTAAAATATCTACATGTATGGACCAACAGCTCCTACAGAAATCAACGATTGATCCCAAAAGTGTGGGCAGAAATATTTCAACTGTGTGCACAAGTCTGTAGAGTTGGATACAAATCAGAAATTTGGGATGATGACTGTTATAAAGTGTTTGCAACAATTAATCTTGTTTTGTGTTTTAGTAGATCCTTCTTTAAATAAGAGCTCTTAACACTTAAACTTTTGTCCATATTCATTTCTCACCTTCTAAAAGCCTAAACGAACCCTCATAATGTATGTGATTTTAATGTTTAAACTTCATTTTTGAAATGTTTTGGAAACACAGTTCTCAGTGCTCAATCAGATGAAACTTGAGAAAAAAATTTGCTTTTTAAAATATTCACTAAACAACAGGATGTAAGGAATTTATCTGAATTTCACATAATGTGCACCTTGGCTCCTACTAATGGCTTGTAATAATATCGCAATATTATGAGTAAGAAAAATCGAACTGTGCCAGGTTGGAACTTTAATACAAAGACCAATGGGCCAAATAATGTTTGATGGACAATTATGACTTTTCCTCAGACCAATTTTCCATGAGTTTTCCATGACTTTCCGGGACAACTTTTTCCCAGGATTTTCAATGACTGTGGGAACCCTGTACAAGGACAAATGGGTTCAAAGTACTGTACAGTCTATCATTTGCAGTTATCCAACAGGTATCCAAATTGTTGTTGGAAAGCATACTTGGTTTAAATTGAGGACTAAATTCTGTGAGAAACTTTTCTTTCTGGCAAACAGTCATCAGAAACAATGATTTCAAGCAGGCACCTTTTCAAATTTTGGGGAAGTCACTATTAGAAATGCGCACAAGCGTTGACACGATACACAGACACTAGCAGTTTCTAGAATTCATCAGTTCAGGGGGGTGACAAGGTGTAGCTGCATTCAACTGAATATGAGAATGTTTCCCAGGTGCTGAATTCAGGCACAATTTAAAACAGGACTCGGCAACTTTTGATATGAAATCTGAAGTCCTGGAATAGTTTTCTCAGAATATGGAGCATCATTATTAAGCTGAAACTTCATCCTCATCAGGTTCGTTTTTGTGCCTTCTTAACATTTTGAGTAATTTTGTTGCTTCAAGGGAAAATAATCCACAAAAGGCAAATGGTGGACTGTACCCTTAAACAAATTGTTGCGACAACCAAAATCATGACTAGTTTTGTTGTAAAACAAGAGATTGCTTACTCTTCCGGGGCAGTGATGCCAGAAGATGAGCTTAGAGGCAGGGGACCAACCACGCGGCTATCACCTTTAACACCTGGTAAAATTATAGTAACAAAAAGGGAGCAGTTATGTCTGTATGCATTGTAATAAATGTACTTTTGCTTGAGCATGTCTCTAGCAGAGTTGTGGGTTTTAAGGTGATGTCCAAAAGGTGTGGCTGAGGCTGGATGATTAAGGCCACAAGTGAGTGGCTTCAGTCATTTGCCACGGACTTGTGTAATTCTCTCAGCCTAAGCCGGCTGATTTGGAAAAGGTCCATCTTCAGCCAGCTGACACCTGTACAAACAACAGGCGGTACCCAGTGATTGCTTTCTCAACTTGACAAATAGTGAAAATTATGGCTGTGTGAGTGGAAATTTCTTGATGAACCTCTGAATTTTACCCTAAAGAGCTGGGAGAGGGGAGAGGGAATCTACCCCCTTTAACATATTTTCCAGTATTATCAAGGTGCATTTTTTCCAGAAGCCTTCTGGAGTTTTTTTAAATAACTCTTTGTGGTCATTCTGGTACCATTGTAAAATATCCAACGTACCACGCTCACACAGCCCCTTTTTTACGACTGACAAGGGACAGCTTTTCTACCTGCTGCTTTCTCCATCCACTGTTCTTGCTCCTCATCACTGTCAGAGTGGCTGTCACTTGGGGCCTCACTGGAACTTGAGTCTCTTTTGAGCCCGCTTCTTGAGAAGAACAAAAAGGAGATAAAATACGGATGTCATCGCTGACTCTAGGTGTTAACTTCAGCAGTGACAACAGAGTGGACTTCATCATAAAAAAATCGAAAAAAAAATAACAAAAAATGTGAGCATTATAGAATTGTTCATTTTGTTTTGGATATCTAGGGCCTTTTTACACACCTTTATTTATCTAATCATCCAACAGTGCATTTAGCGCCAATTACAGGATGATAATGAGTGAAGAGGACAATGAAGAGATGTTCAGTTTTAGAGGCGGGAGGAAAAGCTCAGAAAAGTGTACATCACCATACATCATGGAATTCTTTCTGAAATGAACATGTATGTATTGCTAGGAAAATTGTGCCCTAGGGTCCCACCCAGATCTTATACATGCACATAACCCTAACTGAAGAGACCGAAAGTGCCGTTTAATCTGGGCTAGGTGACAGGCCCAGGCTGACAATAAGAACATGATTGATGGACAAAAGGTATTTGCCATGATTAGGAGGTTTAACCTAGAACTGTGGGGTATGCCTACAGGATGTTCTGAAGTCACTAATCTGTGTGACTTTCGGCCATGTTTGTTTATACAGGGTTGCAATGCTATCTCTTTTGTTAATCCAGCCTTTGAGGTACATGTATACCTATCATGACCAGTGACACAAATTCAACTTTTTAAATCAAATTTCCACATGAGAGCAACCTTAACGTGCATGTGCCTACATGTACAGCTCTTGAAAACTGTGTAAATAATGCCAGTTTTTAGACTTTTAAGACCAATTTTATTTTAAAAAATTGGAGGGTTTACTCAGGTATCTCCTGATTTCTTCCCAACAATCACATTGCACTGAACAATCTGTGTACATCACATGCTCAGCTCACATGTGTGAGCCAATGGACCAGTGTGTCCATGGTTTGTCCATTTATCCAGGAGGGGGTGGAATCTTGTTATTATCGCATGAGTGGCCACTGAGCTGTGTGGCTGGAGTGATACCATCAGCCCAAGTGCTTTGCTAGCTGTGACAGGTTAAACACAGCCACCTCCAAAAATAGTCAAAATGACATGCGGAACTAGCTCGGCTATACTTGCCCTTGGCTGTCTCTGCATGTGCACTGTGTGGTGCGCACAAAATGTATGGCATGGTCATTGGTCATGATCATTGGGAAGAAAACGGAAGAATGATGAGGACACCCTCCGTGATATTTGGTGTAAAAACCTCGTTTAGCCTGGCTATCTCAAGCTTAACGGTTGCTCTCATTCTCAAGGGAAAATTTGATTGAAAAAATTGGAATTTGTGTCACTTATCTACATTTTCCCCCAGAACTGAAGGGTCTGACGTCCGCCCTGCTCATGGACATCGGACCCAGCACGGATACATGACAGACTTAATGACTGCTGGCAGTCTGCTCTAACATGTCACACTACAGTACAAACTTCAACCCATTAAAACTGTAACCTTCTAAGTCAATCATGAAAACTTTCAAAATTCCATGAACAGAATGTATTTGCATGATTCCGTGCAAATCCTTTTGTATTTGAACAAGTATAACCTACCTTTACAAACATAGCAAGGAGCGCTCCAAACCTTGTCATGTCCTGTTTTCCCGTTTTGTGTATGCCGCGGCACCACAGACATTTAAACTCATAGACCACCAGTCTTCTGTGGTAAAATAAAGTTAAACATCAGGGAGGGGGGCTTGGATCAAGTCCTGGTAGCCAAGTTCTCATTGTTCAAGTCTGCGTCCAGAGGGTCTTTGTCTGAGTTCAAGTCTGAGTCTTTGAAAATCCACTGATCTCCACAGCAACTGACAATTTAACACAGAAGTTACTAATATATATCAGGAATCAGGTTTTCATTGACATTTGTGTCAGGGTTAATAGGCGAACATACAGTACGATTGTATCTTTGTAAATTAGTGTTAGAATTCTGGAAATACTGAGATTTTGCCTTCTCATCCGTGGTAATTATTGATGCATCCAAGTGCCCGGCCTTCCCAAATTACAAGGCCAGGCATCTCATGCACATGTCAGTAGGCCCACATGTACATGTACAGACATGACAGAGTTGAAACGCCTGCGAGTTGACTTGGGATCGAGTTGACCTGAGATGGAGTTGATTCCAGACCAAGTTGGCGACTTCACACTGACATGACTGATGAGTATACAGTGTGTATTCATTGCCATGTTTCACTGGACTAGGCCTACATCATCCAAATCTTAACAAAGCAATTCGTAAGAGTCCAAGTTGCTCAGACTATTATAGAATAATCCACATCGTCCTGATGCAGTCGCGACAATTGTTAAAAATTCAAATATCAGTGCACAGCATGCCAAAGTGAAGTTGGGCTTGTTGGGCTCATGGGATGGCCCAGTCAGCCAGTATGTACGTACGGGGGATCTAGGGCTCTGGGAGAACATCAGACCCAATTAACGACTTAAGAGATATTAGTTTGCAAGATGTGTGGGCATATACATGTAGGCCTACTAAAGGTACTCATGTCATTTTCACAGAAATGGGCCATGCACATGTACTGCACTGTATAGGCAGTCTGGTGTTGATCCTAATCTCAACATGGTCTTTTCCTTTCTCCAAGTCTCATATCACTCTCAACTGAAGATAGGCCTATGAATTTTATTCCTGTAAAGTGTGGAATAATAAAAGCAAAATCCATTGTACTTACTCCATCAATGTCATCATGTAGGTACTAGGTGTGCCATCAGCGATTCTTCAGACTAATTTCTTGATATACACGAAGTCGCGAAAATGAATGGATTAAAGCAACTAACGCACTACCGTCAATCAACGTGCACGTGTGCCATCGGCGCGGTGTACCGGCACCGCCCTCACACGTTGTTTGCAGTGTGTGTGTACGTGTCCGTTCTGTAAATGGGTTTTCGATGCGACGTGAGTTTTGCGTAGTGACGTCATCTGTGGCCGTTTTCCAATACTCAACTTCGTCTCCGTCGGAGGCTACGTGTAGAAATCCAACCCTCGATAGTGGGCCTGAAGCGTTTAAATTGAAGTACTGTAATGTTTGGCTCTTTTGCATCTTAATTGATGTTTCGTAGCACTATCAGACTTACTATTGCGCTTATAGCCTCAAAGTCAAGAAGTAAAAACAGTTGAAGCATCAGACGGAGCCCAAGTCGAGTATTGGAAAACGGCCTATATCTGTATCTTGCCGTGCAAACGCCTGATGTGGCTATCCCGCTTTCATGACAGTTGGCACTATGCAAGGAGTCGGCTTGCGAACTAATTTCTGAGATATGTACATGTAAGCAGGTCATCCAGCTCAATTTTCATCCATAAATCTTTGAAGTTTTTCAGTGAAGGGGCAGTAATAACTCGGAGTAACTCGGGCAATGAGTTCCAAATGGGTAGTGTTTTAGGGTATAGTGACTTTTGGTAATGTAACGTCATGCAGGGAGTGCGGCCTGGCTTCTTAAATGCTTATCCGTATCCGGTTCGTAAGTTAAAAGCTTAAAGGCGGACATGCCACGATTCGCAGGCTCCCATTGGACGATCGCATAAGTTGCACTTTAACTTCCGGTTCCATGGTTCCACGTTAACGGCCGGCGATCAATGTACAGTACATGTACTGTATGTAACGTGCAGTGCTTGTACAGTGGGCGTGGTTTAAACTGAAGTGACGTCACACTTGCGAACAGGTATTCAGTGGTATCGCGACGCCATCATAATTTTTGTGTATAAAAGCACTTTCAGCTTAACCTATGGTTTGTGCAGATAATTTATGCTTTGGTAGAGGGTAAGAGGGATTATTTTTGTATATCAACAAACGATTACTGCATACCTGCACCATTGTCCAGTAGCTGGATTTTTATCGGATCGTACCCTCCTGGTCTTTCGATCGTTGCCCAGACGTTGGCGTAAATCATTGGGCTGAAACCCTGACGGACCTCTGCATAGGCTACCAGGGGCTCGCCTGAAGCAAACGCCGCGGTGGAATCGCTCAGCTCTGACGTCACAATGATGGGCTCTACGTCATCGTTGGCTGGGTGAGACGAAATGGTGATTGTCACCTCTTCAGTCGAGGTGAGGAGGTTAAACACCGTGAATTCCCAGGGCCCAGCCTGAGGTGTAAAGAAGAATCGGTTTCATACGGAACAAATAGAAAGTTTAGCGGTCCACGTTTTGCATGGTGGATTCTGTTCAGGGTTTACCATCTTTTGAAATCTCTAATCATCCCACGAGACTACCAATATACTGGCATGGTCCCCTGCTGCATAAAAGTTTAGCACCACAATTCACCACGTTCTGAGTAGTGCAAGTGCGTATATTTTCCTACCTCAGCCTGTCCTGGAATCGAAACCGACAGAATTCTGAAAGAGACGTCTGAGCAGTCGTGGGAGCAGTAGATGAAACTCCCGTTAGGAGATTTGATGGTCACATTGATGGCTGCAACGTACAAATGTCGGCAAAAGAATCTTCAGTGAGCAGATACTTTTTGTAGTGATGGCGTTTCAGACCCAATATTGCCTCTACGTTACAACTCGTAATGAAAACATATATTCAACATACCCAGCTTGTTTTCTTTTGTCCAGGAGAAAACAAACTCTGTGTTTCTGCCCAAGGTGCTGTCCAGGAAAACGCTACCAGTTCTTGCCTCTCCACTTGCCAAAGACCACGACGTTCCCATCAACTGAACATCAAAAAACCCTCAGAATGAGACAACGTAGCCATTGAAAGTGAAAGTGGACATAGAGTGATGTATGTCAACACTGAATTTAATGAGTCAAGAAATTCCCAAGCTTTCAAAACTGCTGATTTTTGTTTACTCGACAACCTCACCTGCACGCGTTTATCGGCATCACCCACATCACCTCTTTGCATGGTGGCAGCGAACGCCTCATCTAGAGCGTTGGATTCAGAACCACCGTCGTTCGAATAGAAGTACGCTTTTCCACCTAAAACGAATTGGAAAAATGTCGAGTCTGATACATTCATTTTTAAATGACCGCTACCCGTAAACTACAATTTTCACGTCTAGATTGCCACGCTATTCATTCGTATCGACATTGCCACGTCGATTTGTTGTCTTAGGATAAGGGTAGGGATTTTTTAAGGCAACATCTCTTTGCCTTGTTCGCTCCCCGACCTTATGATTCACAGGTCTTGTCATCGCTGAACGCACATCTTCTTTCCGTGTTGTTCATGACCTTCCACGATCATATCCTGGAGGTCCTATTTTTCTCAAACAGCATTAATCACTCGATGAATTACGCCTATGATGTTAGTCGATGTGTTTCATATTGTTATACATGTACATCTAAAGTCGATTTGCGAATGCAATACAAGAAAAGGCGATCAACTGCATGGGAATTAATTTACCTGTTGCTTCTGACAATTTGGGCAAAATGTGGTCAGCGTCTTGGGTGAAGGCAAGTGTGTAGACAACGACCCCTGACTCTATGATGTCGTCCATGACGTCAGCTACAGATGGGCTTTCATTCTCCTGTCCATCTGTTATCAACAGAATTATACCACCGGCCGAATCCATGTTTCCCTCCGAAAGAGTCTTTGCAATAAAAAGATCGAATAATTTATACGATCTTTGAAATGTACCAATTTGTCCCGTTAGTCTTTTTTCATTTGTATGTTATTTCTACCTGCTCTACAGTAACATTGCTTTTATACCTACCTTTTCAGTTTTCGCTTGATAATGACTATATTCATGACTGAAACAGTAATGTCATCCAAGGATTAAGCTTGATTTAATGACACAGCAAATTGTAATTTGCCAAAATGTAGGAAACTCTTGCCATGATCATTTTTTAGCATCTAGCCTTTTGATGTTGATTCAGAATTTATCATTTTGGTGAGCACAAGTCGCATAAGTCAATAGAAATGTGGCTTTGACATTATACCGGGGGGATATATTTATTTATGAATTTTCATTGAAAATGAAAAATCATAAACCCGCCCCTGTGCGCGTACGCAATCCGGAAGACGCCGTCGGTCTTTTTTTATGTCAAGAGTAATGTTGCTGTTTACTAACAAAGAGCGTTGGCAGGGGAGGATAACTGGTGGGGTAGACGGTACTGCGTTTGAGTGGTTTCTCGACGCTGAAAAGCGGATGCTGGAATTTATTTGTATGAGAAAGACTATTGATTTGATGAAGATTCATTACAGGTAATGTTTGGGTTTGCGTACGGTACACACTGGCTTAACCCCCCCCTGTAGGCATGGTGTACGTACACAAAGGCACCAGCTCACTCTCCCCTACGTGCGTACGTACTTTGTGGACGGCCCCTTAGCTTAGGGTTTACCTGAACTGCTTTTAAGAGACCGCCGCCAATGCCTGTACCGCCCCCGGGACTTGTTGGCAAGGAGCTGAGGAGAGCATGGCGGTCAGTATCGTTGGCAACCAGCCTTAGAGGTTCGAGAACTGTGCTGAAAGAATTAAACTCTACGATGCCGATATAGCTACCGTTTAAAACGGTGTAAGAGATGTACTTGGCCGATGAGCTGATCATCTTCTCGAAACGACTGCCGGACTAAAGTAAAATAAAGACCGTGACGAGGGCAAAAAATTTTAAGTGTGCAGGTCAATCAAAATGGGACACACCAATCTGAGGTCACACCATTACTTGAGACGTCCATGCATTTTGAAAAGCACAACATCATCGTATTGGTCAAACAAGCACTGACCACGAGTGTAACACCACCACAAAAGCATGGAACCTCTGCATTAATCGCTTCAAAATGGGGTTGAAACAATTAGTCTGAATGTGACGTCAGAACTTGCTTCTCTTGAGAGATTTTATTTGGGAGCAGAAACACTTCGTTACTGAGTTAAACTAGAACAAGTTTGCAGGAATTACCAATGAGCTGTAGTATTGAGCTTGATCAAACAAACTCACCGACATACTGCCAGACGTGTCCAATAGAAGCACCACTCGGATATCCTGGTGTTGTACTATTGTGATATTTGGTATTAAATCGTCCTCGTTCAGGTCAACAGGTGGATTCGAGTTATCTGACAGGAAATGGTAGCAATGAAACCAGAGAAAAAAACTGAAGAATGCACGAACTGCATTAATTTGGGGGTCGAGAAGGTTGTTCAGCAAATATGTATTCGAGATCATTTAACCTTGGGATGCAACATCCAGATATTTTCTTTGAATTTATGAGCAGGTTGTAATATGTTGCTTCCATGGTCCCCAAACTCTGCTTACTTCGGAAGTCCTGATGGTCTTGCAATACTTCCCAATTGCTGCGACCTCCGCAAAGACGGTTGTGCTTGTTTGGCGCCTCTCGGTTGTGCAGGTTGGGGGTGTCCGAGGTATCGTCGTCACAAAAATATTTGATCTGCAAAAATATAGAGCATACGTGTTTTTTCATGAGCTTTCACGCTTTGTGTCGATTAGAGTCATTTGGCTGCATCCGAAAGTTGCGAATGAGGCTTGCAATAAAACGTGCACATATACCGAACTAAGCCAGTGGGTTGTGTGGCGGATAGCGGTTGCTGCAGCCTGCCATTGAAGATTGTGTTTCTCCTGAGGTGTACTACGAGTCCATGTCTCATGGAGGATTTTGACGCTGTGCATGCTTGAAGTTTTGCCATGAATGCACCAAGATGAAGAGCAGCTGCTGCCATAGACGCTATTCAAGCTGTCTTCAGATGGTACAATCACAAACAAGAGAAGACGCTTTGCATGTAATAAATGTCCTAGCCACGAAGAAAGCAGCTTGAAGAAAGCAACCTGTTTGTCAGAAAATAATACACATTACAAAAACTGTGACTACATACCGGGGTTAGAGGATAAGTTGAAAACATGATCGAAGACGAAACTTTATCTTGATTGGTCGATATATAGTACACACAGCGATCCTCGTACCCAGTATCTGGACCACCAACGCAAGGACGGTAGGAATCCGAATAGAAGATCAAGGGGATGCCGTTGTGTTCGTACGAACACCTGTACCGAAATTGAATGCATAAGGAGAAAACATTACACATCGCAGGATATAGGCCTACTCGGCGCTCATCTAATAATTGTTTGATGAATTGCAATTATACATGTCTGTCTGAAGAAATGGGTCATTGGCAATACCTGACTCCTTCGAACTGCTGCGTAAGAGAAGAGAAATAGAACTCTTGGTAGTTGTCCGGGTCACCAACAGGATCCGGGTACTCGTCGAACAACCCCCAGCGAAAATGACCCCACTCGTGAACGAACACGCGCCCTGCAAGTTGCATTGAAAGAGAAAATTATTTATTAACGTACATACATTTTAGGCTTAGTTCAAATACCCGGATGATACTTTTCTTTACGCTTCAGATGAATGACGTGGCACAAAACATATAAAGTCGAACGACAGTTCACTTAGCTCTTTTCCTAGCTTTCTGTGAGAATAGGGTTTTTTATGACGATATTCATTGAAAAGATATCATGCATATGCATGTATTAATTTTCTAAAGGTTTTTAATGACAGTCAAGACTATTAATTCAATGCCTCATGCTTGTGTTAAGTACAAACTTTGGAAACACCATTAATAATTAATGAGTCGATATCCAATAATGTGATACAGTGTTGCTACTCTGTTAACAGGACAGAGGAAAATACACGTAAAGACTTTTGATATTATCAAGGAAATTTCATACCCCCCAAAAAAAATCTGTTGCCAATACCTAAAGGACCGTAATAGTGCTCCGTCTTAGGATCTGTCAAAAACTTATCCATGAAATGGATGTGAACACCCTGTTTGCCACACCCCTGGTACTGCTTGGTGTACTGCAGAGGAGCCCAGCGGGGATTGGGCGGCGCCACGATGACGTCAGCGTAGTCGAACGTCATGTTGCCTGGCAACTGGTACTCTGGCTTGGGTGTCCATGATTTGGGCACCAAAATGGTGACTTCTTTGAAATAGGCGCGTTTGCGCGTGGCTTCGTACAGGTACTTGGACCCCTCGGTGAACATGTACTGTGATTTGAAGAAAGGAGATTTACAATGAGGCTTGACCTTTTGGTCAACACACCAATGACTTTCTGCTAATTTCACAATTTATTTTCCCCTTAAGGTTTGGGATTTGGGTCAATATACTTGAAAAGGAAAGAACTCCTTTGTTTGCAGATTGCCAACTGGGTGACTCTATAAGATGGGCAGAGCAACTAGGAATACACTGTAGTTCTGTGTAAAGCTCATCGAATTGTGCCCTAAAATAGCCCGTAACTTCACTTTGAAGCCTCCACCACCAAGTCTTGGTCTTAGGTGAGTTCAAACTCTGCGTTCGGGAGGGGTCCGTCCAAGAAAAAGACAAGTTTCTTCGTAAAAGTATATGATGGGATTTAAGACTAAGCTAGTGTGTGATAAAGTAGAACTCAAGGCAAGACTGCGATAGAGCCGTTGTTAATATTTTAGTTGACTGTCTTGAACTTCCTGGACACAGCTTCGTCAGAGCAGCGGTATCCAAAGATACCAAAAGCATTTTCCTCAGAAACGCAAAGAGGTCCACTCTTATTGCGGGCAAAAGCACTGAACTTTGGAAAAAACACCTTTCTGCTTTCCTTTGGCCAACCTTGGCTCAAATACATTGAAAAAATATTGTCCGTGGACAACTTTTTATAAGTAGCTTTGCCTAAGCTGTTTGACTACAGGAAAACTGTGGTGTTTTTTTTCAAGTAACCCATGAAGATAGCAAGAGGGGATAATAGCGGACCGAAATCTGGAGGATAAAAAACGGAAATAACAGATTTTGAAAACTTATTTCACTCACCTTAATCCGTTCAATCAGTGCATCACTCTCTGCGACACTGCTGTGAATGGCAACCACAATACCCGTGTAGCCGTTGTTTTCCAGTCGGATGGATGACGGTCTGGTTAAGGCGTCTACGTTTGAGTGAACCAGTAGGAAGGCGGTTACAGTTAAAATCACACCTTGCAGATTCATTTCCCTCCGAATTTTCGCACTTGGCAATCTTTAAAAGGGTTAGATTGCGAAAGCACGACTTTTTCGTAACAAACCAGCAGACCCAAGTAGCGCCTCCAGGTAGAACACATCCGCTTGCCTGTGGGGCTTAATGTCGAGTGGCTCTGACGGCATGTCTCCCAGACCTCCTGCGGACCTATGCTATTTATTGTATGCGACTCGACTAAATTCGGAAATTAGATTAGATACTTTGGGACCCTTCTGATAGGTTAATAGGGCATCGAATATTGCCAAAGCTCCGGGATGGAGAACAGATAAGGGATATTTGTCTAGGTTTTTAAAGTTGCACTGCTGCCTAAACATTGATTCCACGACTAAGATTTTTCTTCAAACAAGTTAGTTGCTCACTGATAAAAAAGTGCATCTTTTGAAAGAGGAATATAAACATTACGTAGTTCCTGGATATGTCAGACCATTGAATGTGAATCAATGCTAAGAAGAACACTTTAAGAGGCTACATTCAAAGGTTTACCGGAGCATTAGCAGTTACCTAGATACTAAAACCTACCACATTATGAGAAGGACATTATCTTTTCTGGGCACAAGTACCCTGTTGACGATAAAATAAGAAGGGAAAAAAATGCAGGTGCGAGAGACACATGTTGCCGCGCCAGGTTCGAAGCCAAAGCGTCGACGCGACGCACTCCGGATAAAAAAGAGCTGGCCTTGCAGCCTCGAACAAGAGTGCGCACAGTTAGAAGTGTAGACGTCTTTTTGCAGTCTGTTGGGAAACGTGTGGCAAATTGCGATCAATGGGACGGTGGGTAGTTTCGCGACTATCAAAGCGCTTTGCTTAATTAAGGATTTCAACGCACTCAAATCTGAGTCCTTAAGGTTTTCGTGCTCCTTCCTTACACCCACACGCGGAGGGATATCCTATTACAAAGAAGAACGAAGCATATTTAACTTGTAGCTTATTTAGTTTAACTTGTAATAAAAGCGCCAACGTGTAGGCCAACGCCCTGAGTGCAATATTTTAGAATATATCATGATACAACCGAAAACATTTAGTTAAAAGCACATTTCCAGGACTTTGCTTCTTGATGATACATTTTATATAGTCTGGACTAGTAAACTGCTTGCAATAAACAACTAGTACGTTCAAAACAAACAAATACGGCATGTAATTAGAGTGTACAAAGTCTGCAACTCCCGGATCCGTCACCTTTGAGTTCGACCATTACCATATTGCCAAACCTGGAATCAACTATGTGTCATTTCTTTGAGAATATAGCCTATTTTGACAGCATAGGCTGATTCTGCGCGCATAACTAGGTTTATTAACCCAAATCGCCTTCTCTAATGTTTGCTCGTGTTTAGGTAGAAGCAGGTGGACGTTGTTACGAGTCTCAGGTTGCCACGACGTCAGCTTGTGCAAAAAAAATCGAAACACGAGTAAAGTTTACAGATATTTCCAAATTAAAAAAGGAACTTCCATCTGTTTTCAAGAGAACGAATGAAATTGCATTATTCCGAACAATAAAAAACAACTCAGTTCTCGTGTTCGTTGAAGTAGCACCATAGTACGCTGCAGTTTGATTGGTTTCCGTAATGTAATTATAAACTTTATGATACAATCTTCATGTACAATTTTTAAGGTAAGTATTGGTCCGGACAATTTCGTATAACGTTTGCATCCATGCGACTTGTGACGGTTATATACCTTGATGGTTCCATAGCTTCAGCGTCCGTGCAATACCGCGAGCAAGTAGGTTGCTGAAATTTACTGGCTAGTTTGCTGCTTGTTTGGGGGCATGTTGGTTTGTTGATTGGTCAACACACGGAACCTCGAGTACGTTTTGTCTTGCGGCATTATGACACTTGCCTCTTGACTTGATATTGAGATCGCTCAGTGACTTTAAATAGATCCTTGACGCCAGCACAACAGGCCTATTAATAGGTACAGAATAAAATATCAAAGGTGCGTTTATTCGTCCATCAACCTGTTAGCTTTGTATTCGCACATGAGATAGCGGCTAATGGAATCAGCCGGGAATCCCCCTGGACAGCAATCTCTGTATAGAGCAAAATCCCCACTAACAATAATGCTGTCCAAAAAAGTCAACACTTTTGAGTGACGACGGTAAAATTCCAGATCCGGACTCGGGCTCCTCGGTACGCCATGAGACGCGCTCGACCTATGTGTATGTGAATTTGCCAAGCTGCATGAACATTATTAAAAGGTGTCTCCTAGCCTCCAATATCCTTGCTTGGGCAATAGCCAGACAGCCAGTTTAGTTCATTATTTTTCAAAGCTGCAAGTTCGGATATTTCGCAAACGACAAACCAGGCATGCTAAAACTGAACCGACAAGCCCCCATCTTGGCCATAGCCGTCCTTCTATTGGTTCATCCAAACGTAGACGCTCTGACCAGGCCCTCATCGATCAGGCTGGTAAACAACGGCTACACGGGTATCGTGGTTGCCATTCACAGCAATGTCCCGGAGAGTGATGAACTGATCGAACGGATTAAGGTAGGCTACGGAAAATAGACTTTTGCTTCTGTATTTAGGACCCCATACACAGCAGAGAATGATCGAACGACACGATTAACACTTCCAAGATAAACAACTTTTTTCAAAATAAAATGCGTTAGTGCATGTACTATAAATCACATCCTTCTTCGTTATGTATGGTTTTGGTTACGTCTAAGTACAAAGTAATAAGTAATTATATTAACTGGTTGAAAGGTAAGCGTGTTAATGATATGATATCCGAGCTTAACCTTCGAAAATGGGAAGCACGAAGTTGTTGCTGTGGATATTTGAATGACAGGCTGTTTGACAAGTCTCATCATTCCAAACCTTCCATCTTCAATTCACAGTACATGTTCACCGAGGGGTCCAAGTACCTATACGAAGCCACGCGCAAACGTGCCTATTTCAAAGAAGTCACCATTTTGGTGCCCAAATCATGGACGCCCAAGCCAGAGTACCAGTTGCCAGGCAACGTGACGTTCGACTACGCTGACGTCATCGTGGCGCCGCCCAATCCCCGCTGGGCTCCTCTGCAGTACACCAAGCAGTACCAGGGGTGTGGCAAACAGGGTGTTCACATCCATTTCATGGATAAGTTCCTGACAGATCCTAATACTGAGCGCTATTACGGTCCTCTAGGTAAGAATATCGAAATTTATTTTCGATAAGAATCAAACAAATAAGCACAAAGGTTTGTAAATTGGGAATACTGTTTCCAAAATCCAAGGTTTATATATAAATTGTCCCAGATAACAACTAATGTGAAGTTATGCAGACAATTACACAGTTCCTCTGTTTAGGGCATTGGTAAACAGATAATTTGCCAAAACTATTCAATCATACACTAAACACTACGCAACAGGATATTGATAAAACTTTTGCAAGTACATCGGGAAAATGCCAAATACAAAGTGACCCGCCTTAAAAGTCATGATTAAGTCGTTATCTTTCCAACAAATCAAATTCGTTTACATGCTCACAGAAAAAAAGTGTTGTCTTCGTTTTTCAACAAAACCTTTAGGGCGCACGCTTGTTCACGAGTGGGGTCATTTTCGCTGGGGATTGTTCGACGAGTACCCGGATCCTGTTGGTGACCCGGACAACTACAAGGAGTTCTATTTCTCTTCTCTTACGCAGCAGTTCGAAGGAGTCAGGTACGGATCCTTTCACATCGTCAATGGATTAACTTCTCGACCTCAGTGTGCTCAGTCCAGGGGGCACAAAAAAGACAAATTCATTACTCCATTGAACTAAGATAAAATAAAAATGAGCATGAAGTGAGCATGCGGGAAAGTAATCAGTAATTATAACCTAGAAACAACTAGAAAAGGGAAAAGAGGCGACTTAAACTGTGATATTTCTGTGAGTTTGTGTAAACCAAACTGGTTTGTCATCACCAAGGTGTTTCATTGTGTTTCCTTTGATTATTCTGTCACTACAGATGTTCGTACGAACACAACGCCGTCCCCTTGATCTTCTACCCCAACCAGGTATACTACCGCCGTTGTAATGGTGGACCAGATATTGGATACGAGGCTGGCTGTGTGTATTACGTATCGACCAATCAAGATAAAGTTTCGTCTTCGGTCATGTTTTCAAGCTATCCGCTTCCCCCGGTATGTAGTTGATACCAGAATAACTTTTTTTAATATGATATTGTTAACGAAATCTATTCCCTTCAAAAAGTAATGCATTCATGTGTTTGCTTAGTTCTTTTATTCACTGGTTCTTTCCTTTCTGTGGCAGATCAAGTATTTTTGTGACGACGATTCCTCGGACACCCCCAACCTGCACAACCGAGAGGCGCCAAACAAGCACAACCGTCTTTGCGGAGGTCGCAGCAATTGGGAAGTATTGCGAGACCATCAGGACTTCCGAAGTAAGCAGAGTTGGGAGACCATGGAAGCAACATATTACAACCTGCTCATAAATTCAAAGAAAATATCTGGATGTTGCATCCCAAGGTTAAATGATCTCGAATACATATTTGCTGGAGAACCTTCCCGACCCCCAAATTAATGCAGTTCGTGCATTCTTCAGTTTTTTCTCTGGTTTCATTGCTACCATTTCCTGTCAGATAACTCGAATCCACCTGTTGACCTGAACGAGGACGATTTAATACCAAATATCACAATAGTACAACACCAAGATATCCGAGTGGTGCTTCTATTGGACACGTCTGGCAGTATGTCGGTGAGTTTGTTTGATCAAGCTCAATGCTACAGCTCATTGGTAATTCCTGCAAACTTGTAGTAGTTTAACTCAGTAACGAAGTGTTTCTGCTCCCAAATAAAGTCTCCAAAGAGAAGGGAGTTCTGACTTTTAAGCTAACATTTTGAGGTTCCATGCTTTTACGGAGGTGCTACCCTCGCGGCCAATGCTTCCTTGACCAATACGATGATGCTGGCCTTACAAAAACAAACAAACAAAACGCCTCACATAGCAGTGTTTCCCATTAGTGTGATTAGTGTGTCCCATTTTGATTGACCTGCACAGTGAAAATTATTACCCCTCGTCTGGGTTTTTATTTTACTTTAGTCCGGCAGTCGTTTCGAGAAGATGATCAGCTCATCGGCCAAGTACATCTCTTACACCGTTTTAAACGGTAGCTATATCGGCATCGTAGAGTTTAGTTCTTCCAGCACAGTTCTCGAACCTCTAAGGCTGGTTGCCAACGATACTGACCGCCAGGCTCTCCTCAGCTCCTTGCCAACAAGTCCCGTGGGCGGTACGGGCATTGGCGGCGGTCTCTTAAAAGCAGTTCAGGTAAACCTTATACCCCTTAAAATTATCTGCGGCGCGAAGCATTACTGACGCCTGTCATTGATTTGATTCTCATGTTCATGCACCTTGCTTCATTATTTCAACGTCTGATGTTTCATTTCCAATTACGCCCCGACGTAAATGATGAAGGTTTCATAATTTACAGCAACGAATGTTCCCCTGAATTCTGGTCAGGCAGTATATTTGACAAGCTTGACAAATCTAGGATAAAAGAAGTATTTCCGTCGTAATTGACAAGTCATATATTGTCCGTTGACTTATGCGACATGTGCTCTCCAAAACTACAAGTGCTGAATGAATAGCAAAAGGCCAAATACACATATAATCGATCATGGCAAACACTCCCAAAACTGTGATGCCCAGTAAAGCCTAATAGCTGTACTGTTAGTTGAAGCTTAACTTTGCGATGACGTCGGTGTTCTGCATATCCCGTCTCGGTCATTCCATAATTTCCATTAGTAGAGAAAACTGATAGGGTCCAGAAAAAAAGAAATACATTAAGAAAACTGATATAAAAAACTGATGGGGCAAAAAGGGACATTTCAGGGACTTCCTGACAAAAAGTAAATCCTTTCATTACAAAGGTTTTATCTGAGAAGGACGTCGATTCGGCCGTTGGCATTATCTTGTTAATAACAGATGGGCAGGAGAATGAAAAGCCGTTCGTAGCTGACGTCATGGACGACATCGTAGAGTCAAAGGTCATTGTCTACACACTTGCCTTCACTCAAGCCGCAGACCACATTTTGCCGAAACTGTCAGAAGCAACAGGTACATGTACATGTCACTAATATCTCCCCAGTTGATGATACGAATATAGAGGTTGTGCATGGCAGCCATCTTTCCGGCAACTGCTTTGGTCGCGGAGGGATAGTACAAAAGATCTACTCATATGTATCCCTGTGGAATAAAAGCTCTTACCGGAAAAATGGCTGACAGATTACATAGCGACCGATTCAAATCAACATCCGAGGTGTATATCATGTAGTCTAAAAGTTAAGGCTACATAAAAAAGCTGGTGACCCCCCCACCCCCACCCTCTGGCGCCTTTCCGGGATATTGATTCCACTTCACAGAGTTACAGCACCGTGACCCTCTCTCAGAAAACCTCTCATTTTCGCTTGACTATACAACCCCAATCTCTTGTGTAAAATCCTTTACACAAAGGAGAAATCCTTTCGTAAAGACGATAAATAAAGCTTATTTCATTGAAGAAACTGCTCTTTTTTTAATGTTTGCCAATCCAGCAAAGATGCACAGTATGTTGAACTGGAAAAAAAAGTCCTCGCACCCCGAGATTTTTTAAAGGACTCTCACCATATTTTTATGCGGCCTAAACAAATAATAAGTTGAATTACCGTTACGTTAGAAAAACGGTAAAGTAATAATAATCATGATCGATCATGGTTATTATTACTTCCCCGTTCTCTAATAAAAAGACCAATGAATTGAAACGACATATAGGCGAGGGCGCAAACCAGCAACCTAATAAGTAAATCACAAAAGTTCTCTACACTAAGAAAAAATAAATATGCCAGGGTTGATAAGAAGAACGGTTAGTGATTATCTAAAAATGAAAAGATTAGTTTACGGGTAGTGGCCATTTTAAAATGAATATATCAGACTCGATATTTTTCCAATTCGTTTTAGGTGGAAAAGCGTACTTCTATTCAAACGACGGTGGTTCTGAGTCCAACGCTCTAGATGAGGCGTTTGCTGCCACCATGCAAAGAGGTGGCGTGGGTGATGCCGATAAACGCGTGCAGGTGAGGTTGCCAAATGAAGACAAAGCACAAAGTAAATATTTGTTGGTGATTTAAAAAGATTTTTCGAATTATTTAAGTTCTTCTCGAAAACCATGTGAAGTCATTTTCGACACGTCCTTTGTGATTGCAGTATCATTGCTAAGCTTTGTGCAATTATTTAACGAGGTTTTTTCCTTGTAACTAGGTCCAATTTGCCTGTTTCTGTGTGATCCACAGAGAGTGCTTTAAAGTGATAATTTCTTGTGGTTTCTTTAGTTGGTGGGGACGTCTTGGACTTTAGCAAGCAAAGAGGCAAGAACTGGTAGCGTTTTCCTGGACAGCACCTTGGGCAGAAACACAGAGTTTGTTTTCTCCTGGACAACGGCAAATGTCTTGGGTACGTTGAATACGTTTTATACCACGAGCTGTAACGTTGACAGTATTGGAACTGAAACAGCTTCGTTCACATGTTTTTGCCTCTTCACATTTTTTTCTGCACAATCCAGCCATCAGTGTGAGCATCAAACATCGTAATGGGAGTTTCATCAACTGCTCCAACGACTGCTCTAATCTCTCCTTCAGAATCCTGTCGGTGTCGATTCCAGGACAGGCTAAGGTAGGAAACGGAGACTAATAAACACGTCGAGGCAATTATGCAATGAGAAGTCGGCACTTGTCGAAAATTGTCGTTTCGAGCTCTTATACAGCACTGGACCTGAAACCACGCTCTTTTTAGAAGTGGATTCATATTTTCAACAATCATCAGGTTTTTCAACAGGTATGATACAAACAAGCTTTGTTAGCATTAACTTTATTGTAAAAAAAACACCCTGAGACTTGAAGTCACATCTCCTCAGGTTAGCTGCAGGAAAACTTGTAGTAAGACCTGCCTGTTATACCAGTGTATAAAAGTATAGTAGGAGGATCCAAGATATCAAAAGATGGTAACCTCTAAACAGAATTGCACGTAAGGGCGATTTAACCTTGTACATTTGTCTTCTTTGCTTTGAACTGTTCTTTCTTCTTTACACCTCAGGCTGGGCTCTGGGAATTCACGGTGTTTAACCTCCTCACATCGACTGAAGAGGTGACAATCACCATTTCGTCTCACCCAGCCAGCGATGACGTAGAGCCCATCATTGTGACGTCAGAGCTGAGTGATTCCATCGCGGCGTTTGCTTCAGGCGAGCCCCTGGTGGCCTATGCAGAGGTCCGTCAGGGTTTTAGCCCAATGATTTACGCCAACGTCTGGGCAACGATCGAAAGACCGGGAGGGTACGATCCGATCAAAATGCAACTACTTGACAATGGTGCAGGTATATGCAATTGCCACAGACATGTAATGCCCAATCTAACGCTGATGTGTACAAGTCATCGGCAATTTGTTTAGACTTATGTAAGAACTCCCATTGTCATAGGCGCCGACGTATCCAGCTTTTGGTTTCGGGGGGCAAATCCAAAAGCAAAGGCTGCTTCGGGCTAATTCAACCAGGCAAAAAAAATCGAAAAGCCTTTATACTCACGGTGCCTACATCCTTGCTTTTATTTGCTGGTGTTGTTTTCTTAGGGTTTTGGTGCTAATATTTGATACTTAAAATATACCGATTACCTTCTTTCCTACGCACCATATCAATTATTCTTTTTTTTAAAAATACGTCAGGTGGGCGTGGGCGAGTGCCCCCCCCGCATACGCCACTGGCTATAGGGGCGACCTACAAGTAAGAACAAGATGACAGGTTTGTACGTTGCAGTGTAGCGCAGAATACGCAACCGGTTGTAATTTTCCATTGAGGGAGCAAAAGCCTTATGGCAAAAACATGGCAGATTCGTCAGATCCCGTCAAACATTTGGTACACAGGCACAAGATTAAGGCGTCACGAGAAACATTAATTTGGAGCAATAGCCATATTAGTGCTGCAAAGTACTGTGGTGTTGAAGAAGAAGTCACTTCTGAATGCTGGCACATGCAACAAAATCGCCTGCTGCCAGGTGGGAAAGTTGTTGTCTTGTCACAAACCTGTAGGTCCAACTCTGCCGTTGTATGCTGAGTTTTCTTTGGTTCCCAGTGACTTTCCTGCCTTGACAAAAAGGCCTGTCTCATTCTGTCTCTGCCATCATTATTATAGGAGCAGATGTGACGAAGAATGACGGAGTGTACTCGCGATACTTCACCGAGGTCACAGGAGTCGGTTACTACGGTGTCAAGATCGACGTAGATAATAACAACGGCAACGCCATCATCATTGACTCGGTTCCCTTCTCGAAATCTCGACCCATCGTGGACCCAGACAAAGCGTTTGATCTGCCCGATATAGGTAAAACCTACGGTTTTCCCACGCTCATTATTTGACTCTTATGTGCCGATTTTCGTGCTAAATCCGAAGCTTTCAGTGGGCTCAAAACTGTCAGGAATCAAAGCTGTTACTTTTAAAATGTTGTTTCTATTAAACGGATTTCTTTCCTTTCTGGTTTCCTCTTTTGCAGGTGGAGTGAAGATTCCCTTACCCGGTACTCCTCCAGTGGAGCCAACAGGCAAGCCCGCCCCTGCATTCAGCCGCGGTGTCTCCGGCGGATCCAGCCGAGTAGACGATGTACCTCCAGGTTTCTCACCCGGTGACGACCTGTTCCCACCTGGAGATGTCCTGGACCTCAAGGTCACCAACTCCTCCTTCACGGAGGCGACCGTGACGTTGGCTTGGACAGCTCCAGGTGCTGACCTCGACAACGGTGCAGGTAAAATGTAATATTTCTTTTTCTCCGAAAGATCTGTTCAGGTCTTTGAACACGATTGTTCCTAACATCCGAATTGTGGTTTTACACGGATATTACAAATGCTGATACATGTAATGTAAACGTTTCTCTCCCAGCCTCCTGGTATGAAGTCATCCGTGCTGAGTCTATCCAGGCCTGGCAGAACGACTCCACTCCGGATTCCCATTTGATCCTCAACTCCAGCCACATCCTGCAGGGGAACCTCTCTGCGCCTCAGGAGTTCGGCGACGAAGAGGAGTTAGTGGTCCTCGTGCCGGTACCGGAGGGCGCCACCGTGGCCTCGTACGCGTTCGTGCTACGGGCTTTCGACGACGCCGGGAAATCGTCCGGGTTCTCCAACGCCGTGCAGGCAGTGCTCCGGGAGTACATCCCCGGACCATTGCCCCCGCCCGTGGTGACTGAAGTTCCACCTGACAGAGGGCTCCAGCCGTGGCAGATTGCCCTGATTGCGGTCGGTGGCATCATGGCCGTTCTTCTCCTACTGGGGATTATTATCTTCATGTCAGGTACTCGACTGCAGAGAAAACTTGTGAAAAGCGCTAAAGGGAGGGATAATCGTTCATATGTCCAAGAAGAAAAAGAATTTTAGATGTTTTTAAATGAAATCACTTTCATAAAATTTATGGGCAGTCGTTGGTAAATGACGTCGTCTTGAACCGACTAAATTTCAAGCAAAGGGGTAATTAGTTACATGCATTGGGTAAAAGTTTCTTTTATTTACAAAATTATGAAAAGGTGTACTTTCTTCAATATTTCAATATGAACCTGTCTGAGTTTTAATACAAAATTGTATGGTTGACCTCTGAGACGCACCGTATGGGGGCAGGCAGCTAACATACCGGCCCTTTTCTATTATAGTTTAGGCGAGTGTATGCATTTCTAAAATGATTCCAACTGCTTAAAATGGCACCAAGCATCTTAAACTCAGCTGTTTTGATTAGTTTGATGTCCGGGTTGCATGCATGCAACCTAGAAAGGAAAAGGAAGTTTTATACCCCCCCAACAAGTCCAATCCCTATACACACCCCAGCCTATTGTCACTTAACATGTCCCCCCTAGATGTCTGAAAAGAATTCCTGAGATACCAGTATAACAATGACCAACACAAAGGCGGGGGGTCTCTCAGTCCCATAGTTTGCTTCATATGGGACGTTTTGCGTAAATGGTCGATAAAATGCCCAGATTTGTATAAGTGTCAGCTTTCGTAAAAAAAATGTAACCAATAAATAAATGCAAATGCCAGCTTCTTCCATTGTGTCTGTTTTCCTTTTATGAGTGTCTCTGTTCTGGAATCATTTTGCGCAGGGCTAGAAAATACCATACTTATAGCTTGTATTATTAGATTGACCAGTATTGTCTACCTTTAAAGGAGAAAATTATTCGCTACGTTTATTCCTTGGTCCTTTTACGAAAAAACTGCAAGGAAAAACAAAAACAGAAAATACACGGAAATTAAAGCAAAGCTGAAAGCAAAACAAAACAAAAAGATTGACAAACATGATAAAATAAAAAAACACACATGATTGAAACTGAAAATGTTGTTAATTATCACAATAAAAGATTTGGTTTTACAGGAATAAATCATCATTTTAGGTGGATGAAACACGTCTGGATAAATCAAGTACAATATAAAAACAAAGCTCTGAACAAAGCTCTGGACAAACCTTTTGTTTACAAAAAGACTCCAGATCTAATTAAACGCTTTTATTGAAAATTAAGCGCTCTTATTATGGAGTGATTCCCGTCAAAATCAGCGAAAGCGTTCATTTCTTTTTGGAACGGTGCACTGGCTTTATTCGTGGAAAACTGCACTTTTGGAGGTCCTGTTACTTTATGGCTGCCTGAACAGGGTTTTCATATGCAGGCAGTAAGAATGGTCATGCGTTTACTTTCTTGTTCATTCACAAGTTTGAAGCTGCATAACGAAATGAACTGTGATCAGCGGCGTATCGATATCCAGAATGCGGCTTCGGGCTCATTCAACATGATGTCGGGGGACAAAACATAATCAAAACCCTGACTCGTGGTCCCGACATCCGTGCTTATATTTGTTAGCTTTGTTTTCTTAGGGTTTCGCGGTTAAAATTTGATAGACAGAATATGATTATTAATATATCATTACAAAACCGAGGGGGGAGCAAGTTGCCCCTTGCCTGCCGCTGGATACGTCACTGACTGCGACAGATGCAAAGTTAGTATTTTTTCAAAGATGCCTTGTGCGTTTAGTGGTGTAGGTATTTTAGAATGGGTAACCTTTGCTGCATGCTCATATTTTGACCATGTCAGTCAGGCGGAAAGGTTTCCAGTCCAAAGTAAGTCCAATAAAATTTTGAATATTTTCGTTGTCGTTCATCTCCGGGAATCGTAGGTACATGGCCACTTTTGGCCGAGGGATAAAGTATACTATCATTTCGTTGAACTATAGGAATACATTGGTGAAGAAAGTTTCAAGAAATGTTTTCAAATGGAATTCTTTTTAATATGAAACAAGGTCATCTCAAGACAGACATATACCAGACATGTTCCAACAGCTTGTATTTTGGCCTGGGCTTTCGTGTGTAAGTCTTTAAAGGTTTCATCATTTGGGGCGATAGTTTAATGCGATTTTTGTCCTTGTGAACGTGTCTACTCTAAATTAAGAGATCACTTAAAGATAATCATGGGCTTCCGAGTTCCGCTCGTTGGTGCGTGTGTGAAGGCGTGTGTGTGTGTTTTGTTTGGTTGGTTGGTTGGTTTTTTTTTAATAAATATATAATTTTAATATACTACCATTTTCGGATGTAAGCCGCAGTTTATACATTGATTCTTACGCGGGAAATATCTCTGCGATTTATAATGAACTGCGAGCGGGTTATACGGCAACGTTTAAAGAATGAAATCAGTCAGTAAACGCCGCTCCATGCCTCAGCGCAGCCTAACTCGGACCGCCGCCGCGGCTGGCCAGCCCACGCGTACCAGCGGCGCAGCGAAGCGTTCCGGGCGCGGGGACAAGGCAGTCATGACATTGGTTGCCGTTTACATTGGCTCTACTCACCTGTTGGAAATGAAGGAAACCAGTCCAGAAAGACCAAATAGACTTGTAACTGCCCGGTAAGTATCGTTCGCACCTCACATAGGCGTATTGTGTGGTAGGCCTACGTCTGTTTGTTTTTGTCTTTTACGGTGGTGTAATCTATGTTGTCAATCATTTTACTGGTCTTAAAAACAATTGCTGCATGGCCCACCCAGCGAGGACTCAGGACACTCATCCAGACTACTAAAATTGGTATTTTTGAGGACTCGAGAAAGATAAGGCGTAATGAAAATACTCGTTCGTGCGCTGCCTCTCGTTACAATTGAAGAATGCCCCCCGGAAAGTGGCGGGGACCCTATGGGCACTTCAACATTTTTTTTCCGAAGTGCAAAATGAAATGGCCCCTAAATATTTTTTTACCACTTTTAGTTAGGTGAGTGGAGGTAATAATGATTTACTAGAATTTATCACTTTTTTTAGAACTTCTGAAATTTTTGTGGGATTTTCTGAGATTTTTTTATTAATAACGTTCATATCATTCGCTCGCCGTCACCCAGCGCCAGATTCAAGGTGCTGAGTGAAGAGCAAATTCATTACCAGGCCAATTTACAATACGCCGTGAATATTGCAACTGAAGTAAGGGGTCTACACAAGTCTTACATGCATCCTTCGGTTCGCGACAATCATGGAACTTGTTTGATGTTGTGCTCCAAAGGACATTATGACAGGCCTTTGTATAAAAACATGTGTTCACAGTGCCCTAATTTCCACTTTTGGGTTTGACGAACCCCCCCCTCCAGTCTCTGGTCAGGCAACGGGCCTGGGTAGCTCCTTTATTTGCACAATATGGCTACTTATTGAAACAAAAGATTACATGGTAGTGTTATCGTTATCATCTTCCATGATCGCCATGCAGGACATGTTGGTAACACTTCATATCTTGTCGGTGATGCGCGTGTTGTCATATGCCAACAGATTTAACGGGCCGATTGTCTCTAGCTTCGAGGCAGTCGATAGACAAATTGTCCGTTAGCACCATCTTACTCGGAGGCTAGGTGTAGGCTAGCGGGAGAGTTCCAGTTTCACAGTCGTAGAACGAATCCTGTCACCAGTGTTCAAGTCTGTAAGTCTTGTCCATTAAATGTCTTTTTTCGTTTGTGTTTGATCATGGAACTGTATTTAATATCTCTTCAATGCCTCTTCGACCAGAGTGTTTACTTCTCAAAGTATGCGTCTCAGAAGGCGTAGAGCATTCGTTGGAGTGAGGTACCTACACATCTGTCTCTATTCCTCGTGATAACAAGCACCTTGGGACGAAACCTGAACAAACAATGAACAGCTATTCGATTTCAAATCCCCGATTCTCTTTCATTCCTGGTTTTAAAGTCTTGAACTTATGCCTTAGCTCGCCCTGTTCATACCTATGGCAGAGATTATCAAAACCGTTAAATAGTTCTCAATTGTCGAATCAAGGATCAAGAGTAAATTTAAGTCAGTACAAGATATCCATTTAGTTTTGGGCCTCACATTGACTGATATGAAATATCCACCTCTTCTCGTTCTCGCCTAGGTCTTGGGCATAGATTCCAGGGCACTCAGAGCCTTAGATTCAGGTTGAGTATTAAGCGATTTGGATATGGTTTGGCTCAATCAAACCCTTTCGTATATCTTGTTCAAATTTTGAGCGGGAAGCACGAGGAGCACAGACATCAAAGCAAGCGAGAGAACTTCGCCACAGATTCAAGTTTCTACATGGATCCTATCGGACAATCGAAACGCACCCAACACGTGCACCCTTGACGACAATGATATTAAGCCAATGACGTGTGGTTAAATGTCACATGTAATTTATGTTCTAGCTTTTCGGTCTCTGTGTGGACAGATGATCTTTGCTTGATAGTACAAATCACAGCGGAAAATACTTTAGTGGTTGCGTCAGTGGCAAGCACAAGGCAACCGTTATCTTTACCTTGGCGTAGAATGAACGGACATAGTTGACGACAAAAGTATGTGGCCACAGTAAGGCCCCTACTGCACCCACCTTGTGGCTTCAAGAGGTTCTAGAACGCAGATGGATATTTGTGGATCCTTAATTTTTGAATAAGGCAGCAAGATGTTTGGTCAAAACTGTCTTGATACGCGTCCCCACTCCATAAAAATTCTCCGACTCCTCAAACATGATAACTTAATGTTTCAAGAACTGCGTGCCGAATAATCGTGGTGTGCTCGTAATGTTGTCACAAAGTTATTTGCGATTGTTGTGTATTGTTATTAATAACTAATCATTCTTTACAAATGGAAATTTGATTACACATCCTCTGGCCAATTCTCATAGGAGGAGTCAGCAATGGCTGCACAAGATTATGTTGGGATTTTTCCTTTTAACCCTTTTCCCCATTTTTCCGTATTAGTGCTCTGTGTATGTCCGAACGTCCACGCTAACAGCAAAACCAGATATCCAATTTTATGAACGTTTTTTCCAGAAGTAAAAATGGGCCTCCAGACGGCCGTAGTGACTTTGGCTGCCCTACTATTGGTTCATTCAAACGTAGACGCTCTGACCAGGCCCTCGTCGATCAGACTGAAAAACAACGGTTACACAGGTATCGTGGTTGCCATTCACAGCAGTGTCGCAGAGAGTGATGAACTGATCGAACGGATTAAGGTAGGCTACCATAATACGAGCAGAGTGGACGAAGACAAAGGATGAACATTTAAAGTTTCAAACATTAGCTATTTAACTATGAGTTCTGCATTGGTACAAGTCCTGAACTCCTCCATGTGGTTTTCTTATAAGCTCTCCTGTTACACTTTAACTGTACATGATACAAAATAGGTATGAGGACAAAACCTAGAGAAAGGCACTAAATTTACATAGGCCTCGACCTCAAGCCCAAAACATTAATGGAAATCAAGAAGTCGTCGCTGTGGATGTTGACCCACGGGCTGTTTTAAAACACTTCTTTCCAAATCTCCCTTTTTCAATCCACAGTACATGTTCACCGAGGGGTCCAAGTACCTGTACGAAGCCACACGCAAACGCGCTTACTTCAAGGAAGTCACCATTTTGGTGCCCAAATCATGGACGCCCAAGCCAGAGTACCAGTTGCCTGGCAACGTGACATTCGACTACGCTGATGTCATCGTGGCGCCGCCCAATCCTCGCTGGGCCCCGCTACAGTACACCAAGCAGTACCAGGGGTGCGGGGAGCAGGGAATCCATATCCATTTCTTGGATACCTTCCTATCAGATCCCAATACGGAATTGTATTACGGTCCTCTTGGTAAATAGACACGAGAATTAGACACTGATAAAGAGATTAATCCGAAACGTCGCTAGAAAAGAGTTAATCATTTTATTCCGTTGACATTTCTGTAGAGCAACAGTTTAATGTGATGAGGTATCATACATATAATGAGTCTCAACTTACAATATTTTCACTTACAACTTTTAAAATACATAATTGTTCTTGTGGGAGCTCTGACTGTAGATGCCACCGCCATTTGTTTGGACCTGCAGGGCGCATGTTAGTGCATGAGTGGGGTCATTTTCGATGGGGGTTATTCGACGAGTACCCGGATGCTGTCGGTGACCCAGACAACTATCAAGAGTTCTACTTTTCACCAATCACCAGTCAGTTTGAAGGAGTCAGGTCAGTTATATCAAACTGACTTCCTTTTGTGCAACTCCCGCCCTTCTCGAAAACCTCGAAAACTGTTCCTATTCCCCTTCCATGAATTTTTCCTTGCCATGATGAGCTTGTTCTGAGGACCCTTTTCAGTTTTATTCCAATAATTTCAATGTCCCTTTTCTTTAGCACAACGATAATATCAACTTAGGCAGACGCTTCGACGTTACAGCTGCTTCCACAAACAAAGTTTCCCGAATACTGCGATTTGATTGTGGCCACTCGCACATTCTTTGAGTGGTGTTGTGTTCATTTAGTGATTGATATCTAGTAAAAGACAGATTTGTGGGCATGATAGCAACTCCAAAATGTGAGGATAATGCGAAAAGCATTAAAAAAAAAACCGTAGCACCATGAGATGCCGCGAAAAAGCGTGGAACTTGTAAACTTAGGAAAAGATGACAAAAGAACCTGAAGAAAAAGTTTCCTTCATTAATGTCAGAGTCATGGAACATTGCCCAAGTGTGTATAGTGTAATCGTCTAATGCCTGACCCAATACACAGGTGTTCCTATGATTACCAGGCCGTCCCTCTCATCTTCTTCCCGGACAACTTGTTCTATCGGGAATGTAATGGCGATCCCGACATTGGGTACGAGGATGGCTGCGTGTATTACGTATTGGTTAATCAAGATGACGTCAGATCTTCCATTATGTACGGCACTTACCCCCTTGAGCCAGTGAGTTGATTGCGTTTTCTATAAGGGTTTTAAAAACTGCGTCTTCCAGCAGGACAAACCTGAAGGTTTGTCTTTGTTTAAGCGCGCTACTTACAACTTTTCTCAGATTTTATATTCATTCTACTTTCAGGACATGGTATAACGCATTCTCGACAGTGCTAAAAGATTCGAATATCATCATCTTTTTCTACCTTCAAATAACTTTTGTGATTTTTACAAATGAATCGACTTTGTCTGTTGCCGTAACGACAGGCTGCAAAAGTCAGCTACCAACATTCTATAACGAAGGCCTTTGAATCGTTTCGTCAAAATCACAAAACCTCTAGTCACTACTTTTGAACTTTAGTAAAAAGAAAATATTGATGTAGGTTTGTGTTATCCATATGGTCGCTCACTTTGCAGATTGCCAACTTTTGCGATGGCAACGAGGATGATGAATCCAATTTACACAATCGAGAGGCACCTAACAAGCACAATCGCCTTTGCGGACGTCGGAGTAATTGGGAAGTCTTGCGAGGTCACGAGGACTTCCGAGGTATATTAGTTTTTGAGCTATCACCCCATAAAAAACGATACACCACACTGAAGGTAATATTAGTTTAATAGCCGGCCGCAAGATCAGAGATCAACCAAATTTACTGACAGTTAACCACCAACCATTAGCAAGTGATCAGTCCCCCACTCAAAAACTAAGGGTTTTGCATTGTTCATATTCCGTTGCATTAGCTCTTATATTTGGCCACTAAAAACAACGTTCGCTAGGGATTCTAACAATGGTGTGTCTAAAATATTCAACATGTGTGTTCTGTTTTGCTTGGAATTGTTTGTGTTTGCAGAAGGCAACAATCCACCAGGAAATATGACTGAGTCTGATCTGTTACCCAAATTCACCATCGTCCAACACCGAGATATCCGTGTTGTTCTTTTGATGGATACGTCTGGGAGCATGACTGTAAGTTTAGCCCATGAATATCTCGATGCTTTTGCCATGTCACTCTTAGAACAGATGTAGTTAAACCTTGTCTCGCACTGCAGACGGACAACCGTTTCGAAAAGATGATCAGCTCTTCGGCCAACTACATCTCTTCCATCGTCACAGACGGCAGCTACATTGGCATAGTCGAGTTCAACTGGGTCGGCATCATGCTCAGAAACCTGACGCTGGTTACTAGCGATGACGACCGCCAGGCATTACTCAACGCTCTCCCACCCAGCGCCGCTGGAAGTACAGCCATTGGTGACGGCCTTCTGAAATCCATCGAGGTAAGAATGACTTCGGTGGCCTCCATGCGTGAGCAAAATCATTAAAAACGAGGACGTAATTTGATCCAGGGACTAGAAGAATCGAAAATCTCGAAACATCGTCAATGAACTTCTCATTTTGAATTGTGGTATCTTTCAGGTTCTGTCCTCCGGAGGCCAAAACCCAGCCGGTGGCATCATCTTACTCATATCAGACGGTGAGGAAAGGGAGGCGCCCTACATTGCTGACGTCATCGACACCGTCACCAGTTCAGGGGTCATTGTGGATACGCTGGCTTTCACACAGAATGCCGATTCTAAGCTGTTTGAACTGTCAGACGCAACAGGTAATGTAATAACGTGCTATCGTGTGCTTAAAACCTTTTTTTTCTGGAAAATAAGATTACATGATACCAATGAATACTGGGAATTTTGCAAGTATTATAGTAGTAGGAACCAGACCGTTTATAGAGGGATCTCAATACGACGCTTTTAGCGTCGATCTGCGCACTTTGGCGTTGCTAAACGAGGCTGTATGTGTCAGCTTCAATTCTTAATACGATCAGACGATTGAAAGTAAGGAGTTAAGACACAAAATACATACAGGTATGTTAAATTCAGACTTTTCAGGCTGCAAAGTTTTGTTGAAGAGTCTTTCATAATGACTGAACACGTGAAATCAAAAGAAAAAACAATGTCAATTTACCGCCAACTAACGTACCTGCGATGGCCGTGTATCTTGTGCAGTGGGCGTGGTTTAAACTGAAGTGGTATCACACTTACGAAACGGGTACTGCATGTACTGTGTGGATTCCGCAGGCGCGCGCGACGAACTTCAGCACAGAGAGCCTCGGTTTCGATGCGGATATGCGCAGACGACGCTAATGTGAAATCCATCTATTCAGCCCAAGCAACTTGACTTGAAACCTGGCACAGTAAGTGGAATAACAATAACGAAAAAAAAATTCACGTGAGCACGTAATCGAAAGTACTGTGTACTGTAATTGTGATTAAAGTAATGACAAGATGTAAAAAAGAGCTGTCCATGAAGAACTTCGTACACTACAGTCCAAAATTTCTGGACCCTGCCCCCTGTCTCTGCACTGATCAGCTGATTCGGTTACCAATGAGCCCGTGACTTAATTTCACTGAGGTCCAGAATTCTACTACTTTAATTTAATACATTCACCGTTTCTATTTCGAAGTACTTTATGTTGTAAAGTCACAAACTTGATCATTCTTTCAGGAGGTAAATCTTTCTTTTATTCGAACGAGCCTGGCTCCAACACTCTATATGAGGCGTTTGCTTCCACTATGGAGCGCGGTGACGTCAGAGATGCTGAAAAACGCATACAGGTGAAAAGATATGCAGATTCCTTTTAAAGTATAATGAGTTATGACACGAGCATGAGTGACACAGAATATTCTGCGTCTGTGTTCCGTATACCACGAGGCCGAAGATTCAAGTTAACCTGGAGATCATATTTTACACTATGCAATGCTTTCCCATCAGATTTTCAAGTTGTTTAGCGCATATGACTTTTTAAACTGCCCCTTTTTGTATGTATTTATAAGCTCTTTGGTACATCTTGGACGCTTGGCGGTGGAGAAACGCAAGAGGGCGGTATCTTCATGGACAACACGCTAGGGCGCAAGACTGAGTTTGCCTTCTCGTGGACAACCAAAGACAAATTGGGTAGGTCAAACTGGCTGCGCGTTCATTTCCCCATCAATTCATAGCCCAGCCTCACTGTTGCTAGTCCCAGGATCAATCCATCCCAATGTCATCAACACCAATCATTCGAAAATGATGCCATGCATGCATACTTTCAGGCTTGTTTTGAGATTAACTTTCGGTGACGAGGTGTGTAATTTGTGTCACTTCTTTGCCACTAACAGCCATTGAGGTCACTTTAACGGACCCAAACGGGACCCTCATTGACTCGACGTACGATGGTTACGGCGTGGATATCACATTTCGGTTGCTCACAGTCAAGATACCTGGGACTGCGCAGGTATTACAACTGTAGATTTTCATGCAATTAAAGACGTTTCATCTTCACTGACAGGATATTGACTTTAGAACAAATTGTGGAATAAATGCTGCGTGTACGGTACATTGGCGTATGTCCTTTTCGTCAATGAAGTTTTTCACTGCAGTTAAAAATGCATACAAATGTCGTATTTATGGTGGAAAAAAGGTTAGTGGAGGCCAAATACGAGTGTTTCGGGGTAAACTATCTGCAAGCGTATTTTATTCTAAGGCCCTTACCTTCCATTTTGGATTGAGTTAGAAGTTATAGCTTGCCATCGCAACTACCCAAGTTTCTCTTGTCATCTCATGTCAATACCCTCCCAGGCTGGGGCATGGGAATTTGCCGTACAGAACCTGGACGACTCCAACTCCGAGGAAGTCTCCATAACAATCTCCTCCTACCCGGCTAGTAATGACGTGGAGCCCATCGTCGTGACGTCGGACCTGAGCGGCTCCATCACGGCCTTCGAGAGGGGTGAACCGCTGGTGGCCTTCGCCGAGATCCGCCAGGGATTCAGCCCCATCATATACGCCAACGTCTACGCTACAATCGAGAGACCGGGCGGTTACGACCCTGTGCGACTGCAGCTACTAGATAACGGAGCAGGTCTGTCACTTCATGAATCCCTTCAGGAAAACGAATGAACATAATGTCCAGCAATGGTTGTGCTTGTGGGAGAACAATACTAACCGGAAACTGGCAAGTTTGTGTTAAAAAAAAAACTCTTTTCTATTTCACTGGTTTGTGGCTAGGAAAAGATAAATCAAGAAAGTGTTCCATGGTGTTGAATCCTTTTATAACGTCGGAATACATGTAGCTTACAAATTGCCAATGTGTACCTTACATCAGGAGGTTCTGCTACAAAATCGAAACATTCGTTCATGACATTATGTGACTGTTGGAATTTGGGTCTTCTTTCCACTCTTGTCACTTGCTTACAATGTCCTGAATGTTCAGATGTCGAGATATTTGCTTGGAATAAGTTGAATTTTTCATTTCCTAATTCATTCATAACTGTACCTTTATGATACTGCTTGTAAATTTGCATTCACGATCTCATATAGAAATTGACGATGGTGGCGTCCTTCACTCACTTCATTGATTAACATTACAGGCGTGGATGTGACCAAGTACGACGGGGTGTACTCGCGAACATTCACCGAGTTCACCGGCATCGGTTTCTACGGGATTAAGATCAACGTGGACAACAACGGCGGAAAGGCCGTGGTCGTCGACTCCGTTCCCTTCTCCAGGGCTCGACCTATCATCAGCCCGGACAAAGTCTTCGATCTACCCGCCATAGGTGAGAAATTGTCCATTGGAGAGTTGTGAACATTCCAGACTCGTAAGTGTTTAATAAATAATGCTCGCTATATGCAGACTCACTGTACACGTAGGCAGGGGTACGCAGTAGATCGGTTCGAGCGCCTGGCGCAAAGTTTTCGAGAAATTAGTGTCCTAAGCTCACGAGCGTTTGTTGTGGTTGATGTAACATACAGGTGGTTTCGAGATTCCGCTGCCCGGTACTCCTCCCGAGGAGCCCAAGGGCCGACCTGCTCCCTTCTTCAGCCGGGGCATCTCCGGTGGCTCCAGCCGCGTCGACAGCGTTCCACCTGGCTTCATCCCCGGGAGTGATAATTTTCCGCCGGGCACAGTCATTGACCTGCGGGTCAGCGACGCCTCGTTCGAGAATGGGACCGTGACGTTGGCCTGGACCGCGCCCGGTGATGATTTGGACAACGGGGCAGGTTTGTTAAGAACCCCTAAATGGCCCTTTCCCATATGGTCATAACTTCGACCAAAGTCGTTTTACATAATTCTGAACATAATTTTGAGAAATCAAAAGTACAATTACGTTGAGCAATTATAATCAATGAAATGTGATTTGAAGATGCTTACTTAAAAATTTGAAGCTTTGCATGGTGGAAGAGACATGAGGAATAGGTTTGCGGGTACACCATGGAATCAATCTCTTTGGGTGAGGTGTGGTTCTTAGAAGAACCGGTGAGTGTTAACTCGACGTTTCGGCCAGAGTGACGTCACCCAAAAGAGATTTATTCCATGTTGTACCCGTAAACCTATTTCTCAAGATGCTTTACACTGCTTACTATCCATCGATGAAATGAATAAAATGCACAAGATGGCCAGTGTGAATGTAAGGCCTTTTCATAAACATTTAGAACAGATTATTTAGGTCGCTTCTATTTTCCTTTCAAGCTTAGCATATTAAATTTTCCCTTTACGTCGGAGTGCATGTTGGTTGCTACTGTAAGCCTAATTAAAGTTAATTGTGGTTATCCACAGCTTCCCATTACGAGATTATTCGGGCGACTTCTATCCTGGCGTGGCAGAACGACTCCCGGCCCGAGGCTCACTACATCATCCCCGCTGAGGAAATCACTGAAGGGAACATCAGTGAACCGCAGGATTACGGCCGGCGTGAGGTGTTTGTGATCGAGGTCCCCATCCCCGAGAACGCCACGGTAGCCTCCTACGCGTTCGTGTTCCGTGCCTTCGACGATGCCGGTCTGGTGTCCGGCTTCTCCAACGCCGTGCAGGCCACGCTGAGGGAGTACGTGCCTCCCCCAGGTCCCTCAAAGGAAACGCCTCCCGGGAACAAGGAGGGTCTAACCGGAGGTCAGATCGCGATGATCGTTTGCCTGTCCGTTGGAGGCGCTCTAATTATTACTGTGTTCACGATTGTGGTTGTCAAGTGCTCGACTAAGGGAAAGAAACAAGTACTGAGCGACAAGAAAATCGAAGCAAGTAAATCTGCCAAAAATGTGGATGGAAATGATAATGACGCGTATGAAATTGGTCCTTAACAACAATTTAGATTAAATATCAAGAACCAAGACAAGCAAATAAGTTAATGTATTGATACATTTTCAACTTCCCTCTTTTACTTGTGGTTGTAAGAAACAATATTTTTTTCCACCGTTCGGGTACGGGTTTGAACAATCTTTTCAAAGTTGACAAATGAACTAAACTCAAACAGTGATTAAGTAGTTGAATACAGATCTGTAGTTAATGAACTAGAGACTGACCATGGCGTCACCTTCAATCATGATGCATAGCACTGATGTCATTTTCAATTGTAATCCATATTTTTCCATAATTCTTTGAAGTTTCATTTCTGTTCCACCATGTGCATTCTTGAAAAGTTTTTTGATCACCATACATCGTCACTGAACTAATGCTATCAATAAAATGTAGGCCTACCAGTCTGCGCTTTATTGATCCCTACAGGCCTGCTGTCACAATAGGCAATAAAGACATTTACAAACTAGTCAATTTAATGAGTGGAACGGGTAGCCTTCCACGTAGGACAACGCTGCAAAGGGATGAGGTACCACACGTTGCTAGAGGGAACCACTTTATATCAGCGGAAACAGGGAATAGCGGCATAGAAATGGAATGTAATCAAGACAAATCAGTGTTTACAAATTTCTCTGAAAGTACTACTATTTTCTCATTCTTATATTTTGTTAGACATTTTCTGTGTTTCTAAGACGCAGCTCGCTACATGTTGAGTTTGCCTTTCAGATAGACAGCCTTGATGTGTGATTTTTCCTTCAAAAGCATACCTCTGTCATTTATTCTGACAGAGTGTCTTTTCACATTCCGTAAACCGAGCACAAAATAAGGCCCGCAAACATGCTTTAAAAAATTCTGCCCCGATAAAATAATAGCACGGGGGAGAAGGTTGGTCATGCTCGAATTATCTTAAACCGGATTTCACCCACGCTCTGATAATAAGAGAGAAATTAATTGGTAACACTCCACCTACAAACAAACACCCGCCCACACCCCCCACATACGCATACCCTCTCTGCTTGTCAAATAAATCACACTTTTTACATCGTATCTGCATTTCAGCTATGCCAAAGTTCCAGCAATAAACACGAAATACATGGACACCTGTATGTAAGTGCGCCTGTCTTTCTTCCAAGGTCTCTTTCCTTGACAGCAATGCACTTTTCGCATAATCTCCTGGGCTGAGCACGCGGCTTCACGCCTACTGAAATCGACCAAATTGCGAGGTCATATTTTTAGATTCTGTATTTTTTACAGGTGTAAATCACGTTTGAAGTTCTAAAAATTAAGGAGTCACCTGTACCATCAAAAGGGAATCAAGTATTGTATTGTCTTTGTAAAACACAGCTTTTTTAGGAGCTGTTGTATCAATTGTGTTTTTGTTTTTTATTCATTTGTTCCTACGCGGTTGTTTTGGTGTATGAGTGTGTGTTGGGGGAAGTTCGAGGTAGTACCAACTGTACCCACACATTAATTTGGTAAAAAAGCCTGAGTGTTTTAAAATTACATAACTGTTGTTTATCACATATTTATGAGGTGTAGCCTTCGTTCAAATCTGGGTCTGGGTCTACCTTTCTGCGTTGTAGCTTTTGTAAACAGCAACAGCGCAATGAAACCATGGGATTCAACTACTCCACTCCACATTAGCCAAGAATAGGTCTTGTAACGAGCAATATAATGCCCACAGTGACCCAAATTCAACTAGTGATAAGAGCTATATCAACAGGCACAAACGCACGTTCATCGGTGCATTGCCAAGCTGCAAAGTTAGGGCCAACAGCCCCTTGAGTTTGTCACCGCCATAATGCTTCGACAACGAAGCTGCTATAAGGGCAGGGCCCCACACAAAGGTACAAAGTTCTGGTTCAAAGATTCAATATCGCATAATTCCAAGTCTTCAAACATGCTGGTACCATATGGGACCGACGCCGTGCAGTACCGATTCCTCTGATCTGCTCAGCTCAACTTGAAACAAGTTTTACTAATCCCCAGCAAAGAACTACTTTAATAGAAAGAAAAACCAATCCACCAGGCGCCCAATTAACTTGACAACAGAGCAAAGGTGCAACGCTGTAGGAGCGCAGTGTCAAGAGGACATAAAATGGGCGGCATAAATCTGTCCAAACTGTTGCTGGCTTTGGTTGGCTGTCTGTGTGCGTCGTTGGCCGTCTCAGCAAGTGTTATAGGTATGTCTGTGCTACTCTCAAAGCATTATTAAATCATCCAATCAAGTTGCTTTTAAATATGGTTGCTGATGTTTTTCTGCTGTTGTTGTTAGATAAGAAACTAAAAGACGGCACATTAACTGAGTTTTGACATCTTTTTTGTAGATAGTCTGTACTGAGTGTTAGCATATACTTTTGCACTATGATTAGGCCAACTTAATAATAAAATAGTCTTTTTTATTAAATGGCATGTTGTGGCTGATTAAGTGATGTTTTTTGACCTGCCACCCAGGCGTAATATGAACCCGAGACCACAGAACGTTGAACCATCTGAGCTGCCATGCTTTAGAGGTTTTAGGAGACATTTTTAGACGTCTGCCATGCGGCATAGGTGTTAAGGTTTAACTTTAATTAATTGTGCTGCAAGGTTTAACTTTAATTAATTGTGCTGCAAACTTGAAAATGGCCATGCACCCTCCGTGCACCTCATCTTCTTAAGGAAAACAGCAGGTCAACAATCTCTCCACAATCTCTTCATATCAAAATCAACAACCATGACAGTGACAACCCAGAGGAATTCCAATATGGGCTCAGATAAATAGCTCATCCTAGTACAGCGTTACAGAGGGGGGTTATATCGCGGTCTTGCAGATTGTTCGTTTTATGTGTCTTTCTGCTCAAGGCCCGTAAGAAAACTTAAACATGTTGTAAATAATGCCTCTTTCAGAACAACATGGCAGCCGATACTCTCCTCCCCTGGCTCGTTTACTTCCGCGTGACGCTGACCCAAAGCAGAAGATAGAGGGGACGACAAACCTGCCCGATGCCACCCCAGGGGACACCCCGCCTCCCTACATTGTCAACAGCCTCACGGAGGCCATCGCCCTAGCTGTCATTAGCGGTATCTGCGGGCCGTCCCTCTTCGCCCTAATCGGCTGTGGGATCCGCCAGATCCGACTAACGTGGGACGACCCCTTCGCGGGCGGCGAGCGGCCCGTGGACGAAGCGGCCGAGCGTCGCAAGCGCAAGAAGCAGCAGCAGCAGGAAGAGCAGCTGGCCGACGACGACGACGTGGAAATCGTCAACAATAACATCCGGCCGGCTAAGGCCGTGGTCAACAACGCCGATCCCCTGCTGCTGGATCGGGTGACCACGCTGGATCTGGACAAGATCCGGGCCAAGCCGCTACCCGCCTCTAAGTTCAGCAACACCGAGAAAAACCTGGCCGGCAAGGTCAACAAAGGCTACAGCAAAACGGCAGAGGATATCCTGTGAAACCCTGGCAAATCAACAGATTACGTTTTGGTGCCTGAGAACTGAGAATTCATGTAACTGTGACTTGATGGATTATAATGGTTTTACAATGTACACATTTCATGGACTATGGGGCCCGTCTAACTGGAATAAAAGGGGGCTGCATGCAGTACCAGACTTCAGCCTCGGAATGGATTCTTACGTATGAACTTAACTTAATTACGACACCAGAGAATTCTACCAATACAGCCTCGCTTTGGCTCCAACATGATGACGATCCCGTTCAAAAAACCAATAGTTCAAAGAGTGTTCAGCAACCAGTTGGCGACCGAGGACAAACACAAAAGAAGACGATAACTGATCCTAACTAACCATGAAATGACATGTACTCCCTATTTCAGACAGCTAACAAATCAAAGTTTGGGACTGGTGTACATCGTAGTTGGACTGCATGATTAAACAAATCTGATGTAACCAGAGCGACTTGCACATGTGAATTTCTAAGGACGTTGCTAACCAATTTTAACTGAATGAGACTGGATTAATTAACTTTTTTACGATTCTTGTTATTTTTGTAATGATTTAATTATGGTGAGATCACACGCTACACAAACTGCGGGGTAAAATTTACCATGCATCGAGTCTAGATACGACAGTCCTGTATATTCTAGTCAAATAGGACGCATTAATACAGCGATTCGGTTTGGAGAAAACGTATTTCCGAGAACTTTTCGCTTCGGTTCTCTTTCCTTTAATACTTGAGTTAAATTTAAACCCAATCTAAAAGAGCTGTCCTCAGCTTGCATGATGTCAAAGTTCTAAAAAGGTCCTAGTTGCTCAAACAGTTCCTTTCCTGCAAGAAACTTTTGGCCGATTCAAATTCCTAGGTTTGTAGCAGTATTATAGGCAGCAAGAACGATTTGTCGGGTGTTGTTATTCGTTTTATATAAGAAGAATTACTTTGTTTTTCTGTTTCAAAATGGCTGCGTGTGGATACTTAATGTAAATACTTGCATCAAGCTGGTTGTCAAATGATCGTCTAAGCTTCATTATGTCTTTGTAAATGAGTAAACAAAATTAATCCACACTTTATGAACACCTGTTGGCTTTTTCTTCTCTCCTCAGTAATGCTGTGATTACTAAAGGTTTAAAGAGGATTTTGACAATGGTTTTAAAAACAAAGTGAAATGTTGCTGACCGGGGCGATACACTATTTTTAAATTGCAGGTTTTTCGTTTGCAGGTTTGCACCAACCCATCAGCTTATTTTTGTGTAAGCAGTGCATATTTGGGTCAAAGGCGGGTTGTAAAAGGTCACACAAACATGGTTTCGGTTAAACCAAGGCTTACAACGAAGCCAGGAATGACGACATTTGTTACTCAAAAAAGAAAACAAATGTCCCCTGGGATCATACTGGCAATTTGGAAGTACTTTCTTTTAAAGAAACAAGAGACCTTATTCGCAAGTCTGTCATATTGAATTGAAAGCGAGGTTTACCTTTTCATTGTGGATATTTAACAACAAAAATGAAAGCAATGAAATAGAGTTTCATTACAGATTAATTTTATTTACAATGATAAATAATATAAAATGTGTAATTCATTTTATGTGAATGTTTTAAGCAACGTTTCAAAAAACGTACGGGAGGCGTGGAACCTAAAATAGTCTGGTACAACCCAGATTTTGGCAGACAACACTGAATGAGATAGATTCACGGAACATGACTTCCTTGTGACCAAGGCTTGTTGTCCACACACAACGGTATTATAGTATTGTGTAGTATTCAAGTACTGAGAACTTGAGAGACACCATTTTCTCTTTTCAGAATAAGAATCAAGACTGATTCATCCTGACATCTGCTGTGGGGCACATGTGAAATATTTGTCTCTCCCCAGCTTTTTACTGGAGTACCTCATACGTGGGTGGTGAACAAAGTAGTTTTCTTCAAAGCGTCTGTCTGATTGTTTTTAACAGTAAAACTATTTCCACCCCACCCCCACCCCTAAAAGGCGGTATAGTACCGTTTCTAAATCGTGGCGCTTTCAAATCTCAACTTAATGCCTTTTCTTCAACTTGCAGAAAGCAAAAAATGGCTACTTGCCCCCTACCGCTGCATACGCCACTGCAGCTACTCATTATTTATAAATGAAAAAGAGGCCTGCCTGATGGAAAGGTCCATGTTCGTTTTGCTAATGTCACTTTCTCTCTGACAGGGTACTATTAGGTCTTGATTTAGAATCTTGTAGTTACCCGTATGGGTTACTCCCTCAGAAGTCAGACAATCCCACGTTGCTTTTTTAAACATCAGTCGCTTTATGAGTTTATCAAATGGTGCATACAAAGAGAAAACCTAAAGATAGGAATTGAGGTCAGAGGCTATGAAGATGGAAGCTACAAAGGTTTCCTTGGAAATGAAGGCGAAACAAGTTTGTATACGAGTTTCAAAAACTCCACAGTTCCTCAAAGCGTCAGTTGTTAATTAATTGTTCTCTCACTTACCAAGAGCCCGAATTTTGAATGAATCCCATAAAAGCCGCGCCGACTAAATCAGGATTAAAATGTCCCTAAACCCCTGCTATTAATGGGTTACATGCCAGCAGGCTTTGTAAACCTGTTTAAATCTATCAACAAACAAGACTGAGGGCTTGAATATCCCCCAAACCTTGGTGACAAAATGGCCCATATTAAAGTGCTCTAGTTGGCAATCAAGTCAAGACTGCTTTTAGTTTTAGGTGTGACACTCTGCAGAGGAAAAGTCTCTCCGATGTCACTTAATCTCCCATATACCGTCTCACCCATGGCCAACGCATTAGATGTATCCCCATTGTTCAGGACTGTCAACTTGAACTTTGAATGTTTTCTGAATCGATATGAAAACGGAATTTTTTTCCTTCCTCGGGGCTTGGGGATGCTTGCATTGGCTTCTGAAGTGTCACTGTGCAGGAATGGCCAATAGGTTATTTGCTAATTACACCTATGATCGACAGGTGTAACGTAAACTGGACGTACTTTGAACCCGTCAAGTAGTACGATGCTGAAACTTGAAACCACATGCAAGACACGTTTGTGCGCTACAAGTAATGAAGACTGACGATTGCATATGACCTTTTCAAATATGGCGTATGCCCAAGAACTTCTCTACCCTGTTATTGTTGACCATTCACCATGCGTCACCATTGTCATTCTTCTGTTTTTAACTCGATTAAAAATTGTTACGTCTGCCACTTCAGTCCGGTTACGAGTCATGACATTACGCCCACTGCATGGAGCTGGCGACCTGATACCAAGACAGCTTGTAAATCAGTCCCCAGTCACGATTTCGTAAAAAGAGGGTGTGTCGCTGATGACACCATCTTGAAAATAGTGACTGTAACATTCCATGTGCCAGTGGCTCGATCATTTGAAGGATTCGTTTCTGCGTGCTGGTGCATTTTCAAGTGCTCGATCTATTTCGATTTCGATGTTGTATCATCATGAAACGACTATTCGGCTGCACGCAGTCTGTAAATGTGTGTTGAAAACGGACAGCTGTGCAACTAGTCCAGCATAGACTACGATGTTGACTGGTAACCGTTCCACTGGAGGGATACTACTAGGCCTCATAGCGTTCATCCTGAACGTTGCTCTGGTGTCGTCCTCCTTTACGAAACCCGACTGGGTAGAACTACTTGATAACGGCTATTCGGGTGTCGTGGTTGCCATTCATGACGACGTACCGGAGAGCATGGAGCTGATTTTGGCTGTGAAGGTAAGCTGCTAAGCACTTTGCTCCGGCAACTCTGTTCGAGCATGAGGCCGGTGGTGTCATTGGGCTTGTTCCTATCACTGAAGTTATGTCATTAACAGGATCCTACAAAAAGGGAAAGGGTAGGTCATTTCATGGATGGTGTTTGGCATTGTTTGAAGCTATTCAGAGAAGGGACCAAGAAAAAATGGATGTTGTAAAACGAGTGGAGCCTTGTAGCGCACGAAAGCATGAGTGTAAATCTTGGTGGATGGTCGATATCCATGATTAGGACATTGAAACCGCCACTTTATGACAGGGACATTACTAAGTAGGCCTAGACATTTACCGGTAGTCTTCCTCACACACAATTTGGTGGCGAGAAAGCATCAAACGATCGACGCCCAAGGGCAGTTCCAGAGCCAAATTTCCGGGGGGCATATTTTGGCATCTCTTCGGACAATCTGTCATGACCTCTCTGAGCTTTGATGCTGGATTTGAGGGCTTTCTGTACGCTTTGAGAAGGTAGGGAGGTGAAAATGTACACCCAAATTGTCTTTCGCTCATTACGTTTACAAGACCTCAAATTTTTGCCCCCTTTTTGAAAACTCCTGCCCCCTCCCCCACATTCCCAGTTTGGTCAATCGATCTCAGTGCACATGAGCGTATCACTTGGTTACAGGAATTGACAGGGATATGACAGTATTTTGCTTAGGTCTGCGTCATCGTCGCACAGGAAAAATGTGATGATAGCTGAACCCTGAAAGTAACGATATCTACAAAGGACACATTTTTCGGAATTGTGAATATGCATCATATCAATCGGCAGTTCGAAAATCGGTCCTGGGTTTGTTTCTCTTTCAGGAATTGTTCTCTAATGCCTCGCGATATCTCTATCGAGCAACGAAACGGAGAGCGTTCTTCAAGAACGTAACGATTGTAATTCCGCAGGCCTGGGCGTGGTCAGCCCATTACGGACCCAGTCGTGGCCATCACCACGACGTCATCGTTATGCCAGCCAATCAGCACTGGGCGCCAGATCCCTACACCAATCAGTACCAAGGCTGTGGGGAGCGCGGGATCAGTATCCGTCTTGGGGCGGACTTTCTTCTCGATCCACTAGTGGAAAAGTACTATGGTCCACGAGGTAACAGTGTCTTTTAAATTCAGCAATTTTCTGTCCATGATACAAGCTAATAATACATAGAATAATACTCCCTTTGTTCGCCTTTGTGTGCTTGCTGTAGAGGAAACTCATGTAAACTGAAATGCCTTACAATGACATTGACCTAGTTATGTTTTGTTCAACTGTCTTTGTAGGACTTAGTAGCGCTTGCGGTATTGACCGGGCTGCTGAGAGTCCGTTGTTTCATTTCCTTGTCAAAGGTCGGTTACTGGTGCACGAGTGGGGCTATTATCGCTGGGGCTTGTTTAACGAATATCCAGATCCTGTCACGGAACCTGATGTTCAGGAGGAGTTCTATTTCTCAACTATTTCCAACAAGTTTCAAGGCATCAGGTAAGTTTTTAAGTTTTCGTTTCGGTCAGTAAACTGCCGAAATATTCACTAAGCCCAGATGTTCACTCTCTAAACGGCTGGTGTTTTTGTTTTTTGCGGACATCCAGAAATAAGACACTATTTAGAATAAAACAGGAAAAAGTGGCTGTGATACAGAGTGCCAGTGGCAGATTGTCTCAGGGGTCATTTCTAGGGGTGTTTCAGTGAAAGACGATTTAGTCAACATCCATCTGTTGCCATCTCCGAACGGTATCCCTTTTGGGTTTAGTTCGTTTTGTTTGCGTGCGTGATTGAAAAACTGCATAAGCATGTTAAAGTATAAGTTGGGCGTAATAATTAACATAAACAGTTCGCAATCTGTCAGTCCAAAAATCCGTACGTTTGGTGTTAAAGCATTTAGTCTACGACAAGTTACATGACGGCTGCAGTTTTCACCTCGGGAGTATTGAGTCAGCACTTCAACAACTCGAGTTGTTTGCAGAGAGTCTTTATAAACACGAGCTATTTTGGTACATTTTTGTTGACGCCAGGCAGTTTATTTGCGGTTAGTATACCCAATTTACTGGCATCTGGACGGTTCAAGTGTTTTCACTTTTACGCAATAAATTCATTTTTCCCCGAAAAAAAATTGTTACTTGGACAACTTACTAGACTATTGGAACTATATTAAAGTACTCATTTTAAATATCGCCGTGAGTAAAATACGTTCGTAAAGCTATCTAGACTATTAACTGTGAATGAGGTGGACACTGACCATTACCTGTGAATGAGGTGGACACTGACCATTACCTGTAAATGAGGTGGATACTACCGTGTATACCGTTGTAAGTGTATGCTCTCTAGCATTTACTGGCTACAACAATTTTATTTCCAACTCAGCTGTTCGTCAGGATTCCCCTCCCAGGCCTTGGCTTTCGACTTGCATAGCAACAGGTACTGGACATGCGCAGGGAATGATACAGTCGGCTACGAGGAGGGTTGTGCGCATGTCACAACGGACGACGGCGACGTCACGCAGCCTACAGGCTCCATCATGTATGGAAGGCATTTTTACAACTGGGTGAGTTTGTTGGTAATAAGTAACTGAACATAACTTTCCCATTAATTGCTTCTCGATTTAGGCTGTCTCTACACTGAAGAATGTAACGACAAGTTGGTGTATAGACGGAATATCTAAAAACGTCTTAGGCCCGATTATCTTCGGAAGAATTGACATTTATTAATACACAATTCAAGATAGCTAAAGATTTTTTAAAAATAAGAGAAAAGAAAGTATTACCTGTAGATTAAAACAAAGACACTGGTTATCAGTCTTCGTACAAGGGCGAATCCCGCGAAAATAAAATAACTTGACAAAAATTGGGTGAAGGACGATACTCAACATGTCATACATGTAGTACACAAAAATTAATGAGGGTCACATACGATAAAAATCAATATTGGAGGACGCTGTTCTATTTTACCCCACATTTAAAATTCATTGAAACCACCGTGAATGCCAAAGTTGAATCAACTGTGATAGGTCGTGAATTTTTGTGACTCGGACGACACCGACCGGCCGGGTAGTCTCCACGATCGTGAGGCTCCAACCAGACACAACCGGCTGTGTGGTGGTCGGAGCTGCTGGGACATCATGAGACAACACAATGACTTCAAAGGTAAGTAGACATGGCGGCACAAATTGAACATTTCCCACTAAAGAGTGCCCAATGTCTATTGTCATCTTTTACTGTCTTCTACTGGGGACATTCAGAGCGAAGTGGATTATTAACAAGTATTTCCTATTATTGGCGTACGGGAGACCATGACAAGACCACACACAAGACACAAGTCTCCTAAAAACTGACAGAGCGTACCTTCCACAAAGTTGACTACCCTCCGGTTCATTTCAGAACCACACATACTCATAAAAGAGATGCTATCGCAAAAACTCTACAGCTAACTAGATAGACACAAGATTGTTCAGAAGACCAGACGCAAGTAACACAGTGAACGTTGGCATTTGTAGTTAATAGAGTATGTGACTTGAATTCAGACAGGACGTTTTGTGTTGGTCTTGTGATTATCTTATAGGGTCGAGATCTACATCATGGGTATCTATTAGCCATTCTCAGAACCATCCAGAGACACTAGCGACTCCATTGCATGTCCGAGTCCCTTGGCACTCCATAGACAAAGCGAGTGGGTCACTGACGCGTCATAAAAGCCAAATGATCCAAAAACATTCATAGTGATCGCAGGCAAACACTCGGGAAGGAAATGAGACAAACATAATTTTTCTATAACAATTACTTCCAGTTAAACAAGACATATTTCCTCACTGTAGATGATGCCAATCTACCACGTAACGTAGACGATGCCGAGTTACAGCCAACGTTCAACCTCGTACAAGCTCGGGATAAGAGGGTGGTTCTTCTGATAGACTCGTCTTCAAGTATGCGGGTAATGATGTTCGACAAATTCAGTCGCCAACTCGAGGAAAATTCGTTCCCTTTAGCTTTCATCTGTTATTTTTCTTCGCAACATGAAAGATGACGAGGAAGTGTCTTCCCAACGGCAACGAGGAGAGAGATGAAACACATATACCGTTACCATGGCGCGTCCGGAGCCCACATAAAGGCGCAAGGCACATTTGCATATTTTGATAAAATGGGAAACTTTCGAGACGCTTGGTGGCGGCAAAGAGCTGTTCCAGTGACCAATCCACTGTTATTGCATTATTTTGACTATATACCTGTACATATTACTTATTAGCTTAAACATGGTGTAAACATAATTGAGTCATCACGAAGGACCGGATGAGTTGCTACCACTAAGGGAAAGTTCGATACAGTTTTAACCACTTCTCGATTTTGCCTGGCACCTGGTTAGGTTACCAGTCAAAATCAACCAGTGATTGACAATCTGTCGCTAATCGAACTTGTCCTAGGTCCCTCATTTGTCAGGTGTGCTCCTCGACAACTGAGCCGGCAGAATGTCGTCTGCTTGCAAGGAACTTAGCTGTATGCATGCTACAATTCTACCGATAAAACTCGTACCTTGTGGTTTTATTTCTTCCTCTTTACGGATCTACAGTACGATAACCGTTTCGACCGACTGCGCAGCGCGGCCGCTCATTTCATCCAATCGGTGGCGGACAATAGCAGTCACGTGGGGATCGTGCACTTCAACGAGGTTGCGCATATCTGTAGCGGGCTCGTTCAGATACGCTCTGAAAGCGATAGACAATTTCTGCTAGACTCTTTACCGATCGTCTCTGGCAACAGTAGCACTAATTACAGCAAAGGACTGCTGGTGTCTTTGCAGGTAAACGATAAGTAACTTTTGTACATTTCTCACCAATATAAAGAACAAATGAAAAATGGTTTATGTTCACTTTAAAATGCGCCACGACACCGTCAACGAGTGACATTAGAGTAGGTCGTTATTTTGACACAAATGTGGTGTTATCATGAAGGTTCTGTCATTTGAGGGAACGAGATCTGCGGCCGGCGGTATTGTTCTCCTGTTTGCAGATGGTGGTGACAACGATCAAGCTGCAACCGACGACGCTGTCGTGAAGCTTGTCGAAGACAACGTTATCGTTGACACGGTTGCTCTCGCTCGGAACCCCCGCACCTTTCCAGATATCGCAGCAAAGACAGGTTTAAAGCTCCACGTTCACATTTTTTATTATGCCTAGTAAAACCCAGTTGGCCTATTTAATTTCTTCCGAAAAAAATTACTTCACCTGTCGTTCATTTTGTTTTGTAATAAGACGTAATAAACAGTTACTTTACCAGCAATTGTTTCTCTTCGATTTCTGTTTTAGGGAATTAGACAAGGTTATTTCACCTCAGAATCGAGCCCAGGTTTTCAATGATACAAACAAAATCTAAGTAACACTTTTAGTGTATCTTGAGAGCGATAGAAAAGTCAAATGTTAGAGAAGTCAAACTAATACAACTTCAAATTCAGTCGAAGATATCACTCCAAAAGTGTAATTAGCCGCCTTTTTCTGGAGATATGATGGTCGCTCTTCAAGGAGAGCTGTTTCGTTTCGGTAAAAACAAAAGAGTCCCACGGAAAACCATTGCGCCCACAAGAGTCTATGACCATTAACCGCAGTAACTTTTGCTTTCTTTTGTCGTTTTAGGCGGGACATCTTTTCACTTCCAGACAGATCTGGTTGGTCTGGTGCCCTCTTTATACCAAGCGTTTGCAGGCCTAATGATCAGGAGCCAATCGGAGCATGACTCAAAGAGGAGAATCATAGTAAGTTCTTTCCCAGCACAGGTTCAGTTTTTTCCGATGGCAAATCAAAGCTTACAGCAAGCGAAATGTCGACCATATACTGCCCTCCCCTAATCAAAATGATCTGTTATGCCACAAGACGTCAACACGGCGTGATTTTGCAGTATTTAATGTCATGAAGCATGTGAATTTCTATCTTGATTTTCTCACCTGAAGATTTCAAGCTTCAATGTTGATCTTGCGAGAGGTGATGAGCAGACAAGGAACTTCAGCTTGGACGATTCAGTCGGACGTAAAACAGAAGTACTGTTTACCTGGACAGAGCAGGATTCAATTGGTGAGGGAAATTTCGCCGGCTCTGCTGCTAAATGGTCACTACAATGGCGTTTATTTGACAGTCTTCCTATACTTTTTAGTCATCAAATCGACATGTTTTTTCTTAGTGACACGTGCGATAATGGCCTTGCCCCATGCATTCTGGATGGTCTATCCGGTTCGTAAGTAACTTCGTCACAAAGGCAGACGCGCCACGATTTGCAGGCTCCCATTGGACGAATCGCTGAAGTTGCGCGTTAACTTCCGGTTTCATGATTCCACGTGAACGGCAATCAATGCATGTAACCCTATGTGCAGTGCATGTGTGCAGTGGGCGCGGTTTAAACTGAAGTGATGTCACACTTACGAACCGGATTGAGATGATCGCAACGCAGCTATTTGTATGCCTAACATAATCAGATACAGATATCATCTTGACGTCTCCAAGTGGAGTTAACTTCAATAGTACCTACCTCGGGTATCAGAACAGGACGGACTTCAAGTACCTGACGTTCTCCATTCAAGGCACGGCTGAGGTAGGTATACAGGAAGGAATACGGGTTCCCATCAAATATAAGGTAGACGGCTGAAATGGCGTTGATGGACGATTTGAAGCGACAGTAGGTTTCTGAATACAAGTGTGAACAAAACAAAAATTTCCAATATTCAGATAAGAATTCTAAATTTGTCATGTGAATGTTATGAATGTTATTATGGTTAATTTCATACTTATCATCTGGTGATTTGTAACCAAAAGGGCAGCCTTTTTTGTAATGGTCTTGTAAAATATTATTTCCAAGGATGGATTTGCTCTGGGAGGATGTTAATTAATTTCGGATTATTTGCCCTGCCCGACGTGTGTTAAAGCACTGTAATACAAATATTGTCAACAGAAAGTACAAAGATAGGTACACATTTCATCGCCACTGTAACCTGAAAAAATATCAGAATGGTTCGTTGTTCGGACTTCAAACAACTCCACCTCTTCCACGTATGGGACCTTTCTGCTTTCTAAACACAGACAGGGCCGTGGGAGGTGCGCATGCGCAACCCGTCGGGCTCAGACGCCGTGATGATCACAACCATCGTGACGTCGTACGCAAGAAGTGATGACGTAGAACCCATCGTCGTCGCCCCTATGCTGAGCAGCTACAAGATTGACGCGGCTTCGGGACAACGCCTGAGCCTCTTCGCTGAAGTCCGGCAGGGGTTGCGGCCGGTAGTCGGGGCCCGTGTTGTCGCTACTGTCTACCCCCCAGGTGGATATCCTGAGAGGATTGTCGAATTATTGGATAATGGGGCCGGTAAGTTGATTTCTCTTCAGGTCCAAGTTGGAGAAAATTCTCAACGTATTAACTTTCTGATCGAATGTAATAATTCACGTTGAGGTGCAACGATGAAATTATATTTCTGTCGTAGGGGCAGATGTGCGTAGAAACGACGGAGTGTACACGCGATACTACGTGGATCAACCGAACCAGAAAGGGTTTAATACAGTGCAGGTCACCGTGAACAATGGGCCCAACACGACAGCCCTCAACGTCACATCACAGCCCAGAATTGTCGCTGACATAAGCCCAAAGGAGTACGCAGGATTTCCCAAAATAGGTGAGCCTTTTCACTTTCACTCCCCTTCAAAACCCTCACAGTGCAAACACTGGGAGTGTCGAATGGCAATATCTACAATATTTGTGTGTGTACGGATACTTCTTAGTGTTTCTTTATGACCGAAAAATGTAAAAATCACCTTTTTAAAATCTAAATTCATGAAACCGACGATTGACGCCGTGGGCGGGAACGAAGCCGTTTTTTTGGGGGGGGGGAATTCCGTTGAATGAATATCGACAGACCTAGAGAAGCTTGAGCAACCTTTAATTCGCTGCATGAATTCAACCCTTATCGAAATCTTAAACAGGTTCATGTAATATACGGAACATAATGCAGTTGATGAGTTTTCAAGATGCAGTTGATGAGTATAGTACGCTCGAGAAGTTTAGTTACAGACGATGAGTGGAAGGCTAATCCTCGATATCAACTGGATGTTTCCATTATGGTGACTGTTCCTGTAAAATGTCATGATATTGAAATGAATTCAGTCATCTCATTCTTTTTGCATTGTCAGGGAATTTCCGGATCTTTGCTCCGGGCACCAAACCGAGGCAGCTTCAGGGCACACCAGTCACGGACCTATCCCGGCAAGCAGCTGGAATCACGGCTTACTACGCCAGCGTTCTCAGCTCTCCAGGCTACGTCTTGCCGCCATGCCGCGTCCAGGACCTTCGCGCCGTCGAAACGTGGTACCGAGACGGTTGGATGACAGTGACGCTGTCGTGGACAGCACCAGGAGAGGACGCCGACCGTGGCACCGGTATGTAATCGATAATATGCCTCGAAGAGAGTCCCAATAGTGCACTAAAATGAATAAAGACGCAGCTTCACTCTGTCACAGCTTCAATGGCCACCACGGTGTCGGAAATTCGGTCATACTCATCACAGCGACGTATCCAGCTTTTGCCGTTGGGGCAAATTAAAAAGCGAATGCGGCTTTGGGCAAATTCAGTATGATATTGAAGGGAAAAAAACCAGAAGCCTTTTTATCGCAGTCCTGACATCCATGCTTTTTAGGGTTATGGTGCTAATATTTGATAAATGAGCGTACCGATTACTTTCTTACCTATGAAGTATTCTTTGTTAAAAAACAACCGTCATGGGTGCAAGTTGCCTCCGTCCCCCGTTGGATACGCCACTGGATTGCTACCTTCTAGACATAACCTTCTGTGATTGTTTTTGCCCTCCAGCGTCTCTGTATGACATCAGATACGCTCAAAATGTTGCGACAATCGTCGATAACTTCGACAGTGCCACACCAGTGTCCACATCAGACGTTCTCCGCGGGAATATGACCCAGCCTCGAGCTTCAATGAATGCGGAACGCTTCACCGTTCGGGTTCCTATCGGTGAGTCCGCCACAAGCTCGCCAGCGTCATCGGTGATCTTCGCCCTCAAGGCGGCAGACGGGGATGGTCGCTTCAGCGAAATGTCCAACGTGGCCCGCGCTACCTTCAGGTCGTTTGTGCCTGAGCCGGCTTTGCCGAGCCCATCAACTGAGTCTGCTGTATCTTTCTCAACGTCTCCACCAGAGTCCTCGATTGGAACAGTGCAAAGTACGTCATCAGGAGATGTAAACCAGCAAACATCAGAACAACGCAACGAAGAAACACCAACAGCAAAATCAACTTCCGTACTGGACGGCGCTGTAACGGCGGCTTTGCTATCGACGGCAGTCAGCGGTGGGTACACGCGCACACATACATGTACGACCGTCCAATCCCTTCAGTTGAACTCAGTCACCGTTGCTGCCGTAGCGGTCTGCGTAGTGGTGGTGGTATCTAGCGCCCTCATTGCTGGTATGCTGTACATAAAGTGGAAACATTATCAGAGTCGCATGGTCCGCGTGACGAACATCAAAAGTAATGCAGACCAAGAGCACGAGGGTGAGGGTCAGGGATCAGGCTTCTATCGCTTGAGCTCTACCTCGTCAACCGAGAATAATACAACCCACTGCTGAAAGTCCTCAAGAGAGTTAAAGGGAGTGTCAATAGTTATAATTACCAAAGAATTTTTTTGAGGTGGTGGAAGTTTCCAAAAATTCAGTGACAAAAGGTTGACGGATAAAAATGCTGCACTTGTTGCTTTTGTGGCTTCAACTCAGTGAAATACGGAGACCTCTGAACAATGTGCTCTTTGTAAGAGCTCCAAGTCCCATACCCATCCTGCATCGCACCACAATAAGTGGTTAAATATTGCTTTTACACTTCAATATTGCCCCCTTTTCTAGAAAACTGTCTTTTGCATTTTATTGAATTTGTTCCAACAGAACTTTCAATTTTGTACAAAAAACCCATTTTACTTAATTTAAGTTCGAAAGAAAAAATTTGCCGTACACTTGACTCCTTTTGTAATTATTTGTAATTATGATTTTTGTGAAAAAAATTTATCTAAAATGGCCCCAATAATGGCAGACTGTTGCTTTTCCTTCGAAAACCCTACATTTTTAAAGACAATTTCGGCTTGATAAGATTATCATTTTTGCCTTTTATCACCGCCAACTGATGACATGCAAAACTTTTCGTCGAAACGAAGCTCAACTGTCACTAAACATTATACCGCCAGTGGCATTTTACTCAGCTCGCCAAACACTCATAAATGTTGCAAAACTTTGAGGTTGCTTTTGAAAAGGGACCACGGACAATCTAAGATCACCTGTACCAGGCATGATCATGCGGTTAGTCACTGTAATTACGCTCAAATATATGCAAAACTGGAAAGTGAGTGCAGGACTTCAGAAAACAATGATCACTGACCTCATTCGGCCAATGATGAAGTAACCAAACTGTCAACCTGAAAGGCAATAGAGCAGATTTAGGGTAACAAAGGGTAACAAAACAGACAAAGCTCGAGCTTCGCTGATTCTGGGGCTAAAATGTGGAACGATCTGCCGAATACTCTCAGACAAATTGAGTCTCTTCCAGTTTTTAAAACTGAGCTTTTTCAACTATTGTTTACATAATACACATGTTTCTATATTTGTGTCTTATTCTCTATTTTTATTTCCATTAATATACATTACTCGATGTTCTGCTCTCTATATACATGTACATTGTCATTTTTAATTTACGTATATTTTATACCAGTTTTGTTCATGTGAATTTATGTTGTAATTTAGTTTTAATATCTTTTTTATGGTACTTTTGTTTTTAACTGAAATACGCAGGGCCCGAATGGAAACCAGTATGTATACCGATTTGGCTCACCCTTGATAAATAAAATAAATAAATGAATAAATAAATAAACCTTCCACGGGCTCTTCTGACAAATTTCAATCACAGTTTTGTCTGCATTGCCCCCAGATGGGTGCCCCTGAATCTACAGAGATGATCCTGGGCCATACTGACACAATCCCACCATTTCGTGGCCCAAACAGACCCCCCTTTTCAAAACAATCTGCAGGAGTACTCTTTGTGCGCCTCCGCCTGGTGGAGAATTGGGACACTGCACCCCTATGTCTACAAACTGCACCCCCAACATTGGCAAAGACAGAGCTGGCAGACACTTGGGCAGAGTTCGGGCTGCTTGTTCCCGTATGTTCACGAACAGCTCGATTTGTTGTTCGTGGGTCGGCCGCTCGACCGCCGGGAACAAACAACCGGTTTATCGCTGGTAGTTAGTGACAAGCAACATGCAACAGGGTGGCGTCCATGTGGGCTACGTTATTCGAGAGTTAATGTTTGGATGGGCTGAATTCTTTTCTATATAAACAGAAACATTCATTTCTGTGTTACAGAAAATTATTAATGTTAATTTTGCAAAACTTCCCATTGTCTATGGCTTTGGAAGCCATCTCTTTACTTTTTGCTGCTGTTCAAAAATCAAAATCTCACGAGTTTCTCCGTGTGTTCCTGTAAAACCCTGACGAGGAGGTGGTGTGTGATCCTGTTCCGAGAACAGTATTCTTGAGTTGTGTTCCCGCCGGGCCGTTCGAGCGCGAGAACAAGAAACCCGTGTCAAGAACAGGCCGCCCGAACTCGACCTTGAGATCCAATCCATCCATGCTAGCAGCGACGCCCAAGTGCATATCGCATATCGGTGTGTCGAGGTTGAAGGAACATAGTTGTCCTGCGTACTACTCTCTAAATCGGAAAGATTGAAATTAGGGACAAGACGTTTTAGAGTGAAAATCACTCTGAATTTAGACTGAAAAAAGCCGAAAATAGCCCCTTCCAGTGGAAGCTCGAGCGAAATTTCAATCTTTTGGAGTAAAGAAATTTCGCTCCAATTCGTCTGATCCTTAATTTCAATCAGAGGGATTGAATTTTCGTTCGAATAGAGTGAATCTTCAATCTTTGGAATTTAGAAAGTACATGTAGTACAAAACCAGTGTATGGACGCGGTTGTGCCACGGTGCTTCCCACAAGCTGTCGCCCCCACGTTGATTACAGAGCGCCCTCTACAATGATTTGCGCGGGAACCCAAAGATCGTTAAAGTTTAGGAGGGAGCGCAGGGGAAAATATCAACATCCAGCCTAGAAAAAGGGTTTATCAGCGCGTTGAAATCAAAGCTTGAGTTATTCGGTAAAAATGGCAGCTAATTTTTAACAAGAACTTCTGGGACCACAGTTCTGGGGTGGGGTTTGCGACATGCTACGCTGAGTGGTTTTACGTCTTGGTCGATAAAGTGAAAGTCCGTCGCTCACACCTGGCAACTTGCCAGGTTCCTTGGCCTTGGCTCTGTTAAGGTAAACATCACTTTGGCTCGTGGTCCGTACGTCAGATACGCCCTGCATTAGCCGAGGCTGCGGAACGAACATACTCCTTACAGATCGACTCGTTATAACGTCGGCTCAGAAACAGTGACAAGTTTTTTATCAAGGGTCCGGGACAGCTTGAGCGCACAACGATCATCCTCTGGACTTCGATAAAGAGCATATTTCATGTGGTACACATCGTCTGCAATTACACACACCGGGGCTTTATGAGCTGCCTTCATAGTTTTGACACCCCCCTCCTCACTTTTGCTAGGCCGTCCAGGAACAAACTCCTGCTACCTACGTTTGCTCTTTTCAGGTGAACGAGGATGACATCATCATCTAGTCGGCTTTACCGCCTCTAATCAAATCAACGCCCTGCCGATGGAGCCAGCTGACTGCGGCTTATCAGACGAAATCTGGGGGCCTGATCCGAGTGTTCAACTCCAGCCGCATGCATCTCAATCTTTTTTTTTTTTTTTTTTTTTGCTTAGTAATGCCCGGTGATTTTCAGGAAACAATGTGCGCCACTCTGGATCCTCGTGTACACGCGCATCGTTAAGGGGTGAGAGGGTGGGAACGTCGCTTCGTAGGGAAAAAAAAACTTACAAGTGTCCCTTAGCAAAAGTTACCGGGCCGGCAACTGTCGCCAGGCAGCGTGACATGCTGGCACTTCGGCCAAAAGTGGGTCTAGACTTGGTGTCTCCTTCTCTTCAGCGCGGGATAAAAAGGGCCCAATTAAGCGGAAAGCCACTTTCGCAATGGGGGAAGCGACCGCGCTGTGCCGTCACAACTGCCAGCGCTCCCATCGCCCTTAGAGCGCGGGAAGTTACCGAGTGTTGTTCCAGTCTATACCCCGGGCTCCCGTCCTTGCCTCGACAAGTGATGCCGTCAGGAGCCCTGTGCAGTCCCGCGGCCTTGTCGGCACGGCAGCAAACGAACGTGAGGGGTTCCACATCACGACCTCTTTTCATGTGCAGCAAACCCGGACTTCATCGACACTGAACCGTAAAACCAGGCAAATACCGTTTTGAATACCCAGCCAGCCAACCCGGATACGTTACACACACCGAATCCCAAAAACAAAAACCTGGAACTTCGTAGTTCTTTGGACTCCACTCAAGTAAACACTTTGATCGGGTGGCTCTACATGAACGCAACACCATGAGAATTTTCTCCACCAAGCACACGGCAATAATGCTGTTCCAGTGGACAAGTTGTTGCTTAATCTACGCAATAGTTGCCAGCCTCCTCGCAAGACATGGTAGGTCTATCCCCTTGCTCTGCCCTCATTATCATTGAAATAACCCCTCTCTTTATTATCTACCTCATTTTCGAGCAGCTTTTATCCTTCCTTTCAATACCTGTAATGAATTGGTTTTTACCCCCTGGGTCTTCTGTCAACTCTCTTTTCTTTATCTTCCATGCTCGCCCCCTTTAGCCAACGCTGTCACTCCGGTCATGCAATAAATTACGTCAAGATTGAAGAGCAGCATGTTTTGCGGTGAGAGACATACGCACTCAACAACAAACTGACGTGCTGCGCTATCAAACTAATTCAGCCGCATTTTGGCGGCAATTTACCTCTCAATATCCATCACTGTCACAGAATGTCTACCCATTGTTTACACTGTAGTTACTGAAGGACAAAACTCTCTGGTCATTTATCCGTCCAATATCAAGGAAGAGCGTACCACTTATAGCTACTGTGCGACCCACCTGAAACTACAATAGCTACATCGTTTCTCTTTCGGATCCTTTGCCCCTTTTCTCATACCGACATTTTATCCCTGAAAGAGATGGGGATATACCACAAACATTCCCATCTACGGGTTGTATTTGACGTTAAAGTTCTTCAGCAAATAATGCCGCGCAGTTCCGCGAACCCGAACAGCTGTCACGCACGTGCGATTTACAGGACGTTCATGTATCACTAAGAGAAAAGATTGCATGGTCGACCCCGGCCCACAAAATGATTTTGATTACATAGGAAACGATCTCGGTTGACGCTTTACAGAACACTGTCAGTGATCAGCGATGCGCAGTTTGACAATTTCATACTTCAAGTTGAACTGTCATCTAATCCATCGGAAGTCAAATTATACATTCGGTCGCAAGTAACGGGGTGAAAGATAATAAGTAAGGCAACACTTGTACAACGTTGCATTATGGGAGCTTGTGACTTGAAATTAAATCAAATGTGACCGACTTTGTAAACTTGTTCAAATTAAGCCTCGATTGTTATACTACCTCCAGCATGTAACTTTCAACCTGCAATAAAGATTTTACAAGTGCATTGTAAAGATTGTACAAACGGTCCCAATAAGCACTTTTAATGAGAAAAGGTCATTTACTTCTCAAGTCCGAAATGTACACGGTAAAACCACTCTTAGGTAGCAGGTCGTATAAGTTGAAGAAGCGCTTGAACGTCTTTCACCCACTGGTGAAAGGTTGAAAATAAGTTAGCCCAAAAAGCGTTAATTCCACGTCAGACAACTTCCCGTTCAATAATTATATTGAGACGCCAGCTAAAAGCCATTTAATTGCCCTACACTATCCAAGTTGACGGGTTGCCAAACTCGATGTATCCGCATGCCACCAACCAACTGTCGCTTTCGATGCCCCGATTAGATTCTTGCGATGTGTACTAAAAGCCAGGCCCACAAAACCAAGACACGTTGTCACTTGCAGATTTTTGACAGAAGAACCGGACGAACCTCTGGCATTATTTGCAATGTGTGCCGGCCGTTTTAGGAAATGACTTGTGGAAGGAATTTTAGCGAGAACACTGTATTAGATTCAACAAAGCATGGTTTATTTTAGGAGTTGTAAGGTGGTTTATCAAGTTTAAAAATGCCATGACGTCAAACTTAGACTGATGATAGAGCTAGCGTTTTTCCCTCGCAATCGTACGAAGTTTTTAAAAAACCGTCCAGCTAAGGAAGGTAACAATTTACTGAATTTACAAAGGTCAACCCTTCAATAGAATTTACTGCAATAGTTATCTTCTTTTTTTCCCCCAAAACGCTCGTTGGTTTTAATACTGATAGAATTACAACTACGTTGTAGCTGATTTTTCTTCTGTATCTACCAGAATATTCCTGCTCGATGTGAACGAAAGTTTTATACAACCTTATAAATAATTATTTCACATCGAGTGCCGTTTGTATTGAAAGAGTCATTTGACAAAGTTACCCGGTTTGCGTAATCTGCAAATATATGGTACATTGGTGTCATTATTTAACTCCTGCATTTCTGTACTGGGAAACGCTGGACGTCAAGGACCAAGGGTGTAGAATTAACACTACAGTTTTTGGAATGCATTGAAAACATTTTCTGTGCGTAATTCCTGCCTGGAGCTTTTCAGAAGCCTGCAGATGAATGATACATTTCTGTCACGATTGTCTCTTGCTTAGTTCGTGCTGTGCCTCCGACCAGAACAACAAAGCGAACCCATGTCGCGCCCAGCGTCTCCGACCCAAATCCTCCAATTCAGGCGAGTTTCTACCAGGGATCCGAGCAGCCGGCGGCTGAGTCTGATTGGCCGAGCGGCAAAATTCTGGACGGTGATTCGTCGAGCACCCTGGCTGACGAGGCAGTCGAGGCGGTCACGAAGTGCTGCTACAGGCAGAAGAAATACCACACCATTGGCTTTGGTGAGTGTCGTGACGTCATAGTCGGGATGTATAATAATACTCTTGAATTCTCCTGGTATAACAGGAAGTAACTGAACAACACGTCATCACCAACCAATTACAAGTGACCTAGTTTCCAATCTCCAGTAAAACCAAAAGTTACCCTAGCGTGACAAAGATGTTTCCTTTCAGTCATCTGTCGTTGTTAGTGCCTGGCATTCCCATTTTTGGGGGTTCACTTGCGATTTGACTTATGACAGACGAGTTCACTACTCTTCCTAGCGCCATTTCGTTCTTTTTTCTGAATCTTCCAATCTGGTATCGAATTTCCAGCACCGCAATTCGCTGAGGAAGAATTAATTTCGGAGCTGATTAACTTTGGAAGTATCGTTTATAGACCACTTCGATTCGTGAAACAAATTGCTGTAAGTAATAAGCAGATCTGGACGAAATGTGTCTCATGCGAAATTATAGTCAAACCTAAGAAGTCATCGATTCCGCTAGTGCCATGTACCATCTACAAATTCATGTTTGATTTTAACTTCGAGCAAGTAATGAAGCCTACTCAGAGACACTGGCTAGAAAGGTATTAAGGCAAATCTGAATGCATGTTACAAGCCTGTGTTCGACCAGAAGCAAACATAACGATGTTCCGTCGATGTTGTGACAACGGCGTTTAAAGTCTGTGCACCACCTTTTCCAACACCCGAACTGGCTTTATAACTAACGGCGCGCGGCGGCGCCCCCACTCATCCAGTGTCTTGTTTTCGTCATCTCCTGAGAGACTGACGTGCATCTTTCATGCGTCATACTTCTTACAAAGCGCCCTCTTTGTGGAGTTGTCCGATTTACACGTAACATAAGAACGATACATTCAATGTATCCGAAAAGCACACGTATCGGCTTGGGAGGAAAAACGTAGACGCTTATGCTTCTTCAAAACGAAGATTCAGACTGCTTGTTTATTTTTTTCCTCGCCATTTCTTTGTACATCGGCACACTCATGAGGGTACGAATAATCATTTGTGCACTTATACTGTAATATGTTCGATGAAAAAAATTAACGTGACATAAATATTATGTCCGTCACGTTTCGTGCACTAGGTCATGGTTTTTTTCCAATTAGCAGGTGTTTATTTGAAGTTACAACTGTTCTTCTACAGTGAAAAGTATATGTAAAAATACCAATCGTGTATCCTTCAATTTCAGGAACTAAAATCGCTATTTATATAAGTGTTTTGGGGAAAATAAAACTAAATATCGATAAGTAAAAAACTAAACAAAAGCCACTGTAGTGGCTTGTTATACCAGTTACAATTGATAGTAAATTAAAAATTACAACTTTGAACCAACATTGACCGTTTTCCAGAATGTCCAACTGTCTCCAAACGGTACGTGCAAAAGCAATTAAGCACAACTGTGTTTGGTATTTTTGTGAAGGCGATGAATTACTGAAAGTACTCTTGAACTTTCTGGTTGGTGAGTATCAAACGAACAGAAAGAAGGAAATGCTATTTTGTTATTTATAGCCCTGTTTGATGCATTACGATCACGGCTGAGACACCAGAGGACATCACCATACCTTTGGACATCTGTCTTAACTGTCAAAACAGCGCAAGAAAGCTGACTTTACAAACAACAGCAAAATTATCTCGACTTTCGGCGCACTGTATTTTGTACCTATATGCGCCAGATCTCTTTCGAAATATTTCCATGTTGAAGTGGGCTTGCTGTGAGTAGCGACAGTTGCTTTTGTGGAGGAAGGAAGTAGAATGATGCTGGTGAATTGAAAAAACTGACCAGCTAAATCCAAAATGAAAATGAATCTCAGGTTTTAAATTCATTAATCGTGCACATACATTGTAGGGCACCTGAAAACAAACGAGTCCATTGCTAAACGTGCTTGGGATAAAGTTTTTAATATTAAAGCCGAAGGTGCGATTGCCTGATATTTCTTTCTGGGCCAAGAATGAAACAGAATTTTCGCAAATATTGGGCCAGAGAAGTCACTCCCTTTTAAGCAGAAGCTGAAGGCTGAGTCAGTGTGCAGGAAAACCATGACGTCAAGCTTTTACGCGCTGTACTTAAAGTCTCGAATGTTCTTTCATCTATTTATTGTTGATGGTCTACAGATTAATTATTTAAACAATCGTGGGCTGGTTTGTGAGCGTTTTACGTGAGTTGATTTCATTTCATTTGATTATCTTCACGACGAAAAGTACTGGCGCGTCAGCCACAGTTTATAACAAACAACTTGACCTTTCCAAAAATGATGACTTTTCCGGTAGCGGATGTGGGATGCGACAGAAAAATAATATTTGTATGTATAGGCTACGCAATGGCGCTTCACAACGCGTAGAGACACGTTTAGTTGTTCCGCTTCGTATTAATTTCCAGGATGGTTTACAATTCCGATTATACTGGTTATTCAGGGAGCTGCCATACACGAAAGACATTAACCCTGCTGAAGAGCAGGTACAACTGATCACGTGGGATCGACATGATTGCTTTAAAGTAGGGGCGGGGGTAATACATTTTTAAAAGATCTGTCTTTACTTATTTTGCATCTTTCCTGTTGCGGCTTATTTTTCACAGATACCTCAGCAAGGCGACCGATCAGAAAGGACATTGGGCGGTGTCGGCGGACATATTTGGACCGTACTGTCCCCCGGGATCCGACCCAGAACCCCGGGGATCTTGTCAAGCGACGGAGGCGTCAAGGACCCGTGGTAGGTTTCTGTCAGGCAGATTGCTTGAACTGAGATTCAATAAGAAAACCCTTATAGGGATATATATATATACAGCGTATTCCATTTTATGTAGAATAAAAAAAAGGTTTCGTCAAAGAACCAACATCGTCCACCTTGAAATGACATTAGTCATTTTGAAAGTTGTCGAAGTTGTCCCATAGGTGAATCTTCTGTGTTATGTAATGGAGATTTACTTTGTCAACGTGATCATTTGGAAAGAAAAGAGTCAAGCTGAACTGGGATTTTTGTTCCCTTGCTCACAGTTGGTTAGATGCTGGATTCCCCCCTCGGCGCAACACTGAAAGTTCGCTGGGCTGAACATGAATGGTTCATCGTTTTCTCTCTAGGGTGGAAAAAACCTTGTGAAACCCAATGGACCTGTACGTCATGCCATTACACGATATGTCATTCCCCTCTAGTGCAAAATGCCCCACATCATCCTACGCGTCCCATAGTGGGCCCTAAGGAGAGGTGATTGCCCCTTTGGACTTTAGCGGGTGTGTCGTCGAAACTTTTGGCCTGTCAGTTCTTTTTATCACGAACCAAGATTGACACTTCTCCTTTTTACTGTTCCCGGATGACCCACTTGACGTCAGCCAGCAACACATGCACGTCAAATCGAGCCTTATGGAGAAGGCCTCTCTGCCGGATTTGCACGTAAAACCTTTCCGAAGGAAAACTCTGCTTCTTTGTCCCGCCATGAAAAAAAGACAACATGGGATTATTGTACTCGCGGACGCTATGGCACTGGATAGTTCTAACTCCGTCAATCAAGCGTGGCATACCATTTAAGCTCTGCTAGTACCAGCGGCTTCGTATTTTCCTGAACTTCGGATTTTGTTTTTCGTGCACTTGAATAGGTTCTTCGTGATTCAGTGAAAAGAATAAAGCAGGAAACAGATTTTCGGCTAGCATCTCTCAGTACTATTTTCTGGTTGCTTGTTGTCTATGTGTTTAAGTTTCGGGAGTGGAGAATAGCCGGTAATACACTTTTCGGGAAATGTATCATACACTTCGTGTTATAACGCAGTTGCGTTCCATACTGTTATTTTCTGGACTTTCTTCACTTGAATGTTAAACCTATGTCTGCGGTCATGTATCTTACGCTGCTTCCGCTTCATTCACCAGTGTGATCAACCGTGCGAGGACGGCAACGTTTGCCTGCCAACCCGAACTCTCCTTGAGCGCAGTTTGTATGCCAACGCGTGGTCTCCCCTGGACTATGAGGTAAGAAAAGCAAACAAACGAACCGAGAGAAGTATGGCGCGCCAAGTCTGTGCAATTAAAAGAACAAACTGAGGAATTTATGCGAGGCTATTTCAATCAAGACCGTTGTGCCATTGCTATAAACACCTTCCATAATGTCTTGTAATTTTTCACTGCAGAAATCAATTTCATTACTAAGTTATTTGAAATTGGAATGATACTACATGTACATTTAGTTTATGACCACCCTGTTTAAGTAAAGGAAACGATAAAAAGGAGAGTATAGAAGTGAAAGTTCACTGTGCATACCAGAGAAGGGTTAGTCATTCACCATTGGTTTTTCATTTTCCCAATATGAGGTACAGATTCTGTACAAAATAAACACAAGCAGTAATTTTGGCTGATCCGTTTACAGGTTATCGAAGGCTGCCATTGCGTTCCGAAGCTGCACCCTTGCGAGAGAAAGCCTCTTTACAAAGTTTTTCACCACAATACACCATACGAGACGACCATCGATGTCGGGGAATGTCGAGGTAGATGCTTCAATGGTCGCGGTAAGCTCGTCGTTATAAGTTAAGCTTCTTTGGATTGATAAGTCAAATCCGAAATCGCTTCCAATAATTTCAAAGTTTTTTGCACCTTTGTTGTAAATATTATTTGAATAATTATTTCAATGATTTCGGGCTTTATCTTCTTTTCAGATTCTGGTATAGACTGTCGAGCTACCAAGAACAAAACGGAAACAGTTCTTGGTCCAAACGGTATGTTGGAAGTGGTGATGTTGGTCCAATCAGTGGCGAAATGACGCATACGTTGCTAGAACTACGCCTTAGTTAATCCCTGACCTTTACACAGATGTTGGACAGGGGAATTAAATACAACTGTCGACGCTTGCAATCACAGAAAAAAAGCAACTAACTATAAATAATCTCTTAAATGAACTGCGTAAGTATCTGTTCAGTACCTGATGAACACACAGTGGAAGGTGTTTTGGACTCAAGTGTGGGAGGCGCTTGCATATTTTTATATGGCTCGTGTGACATTTCTAACAAATTAGTGCAACAGTATTTAGAAACCGTCAATTTGATGAAAGTTGGAGGGGTTTTATTATCTCTCCTGAAACGACAATATACCCCCGTTATGTTTTTGTTTTACAAATTCGTCTCCTTCAGGCACATGCGTCCAAGAATTGACTTACACAATGGAAATGTATTCTGTCAAATCTAGAAAGGATTTGAATAAATGTAGCTGTTAATCCAAATTCAGTAAGCATTTAACGCTACTCAGTTCTTGTATAGGTCTTAAGGCGTATTGTCACTTTCCTAGGAGATTTTTTATGATTTCGGGTCACAGGTCACGAGTGCGTTGACGTCATCACCGGATGTTCCTGCACCGGGAGCTGTTACAGAGCCAGTCACATGGTGGCATTCTACATCCGGAAATTCAACGAGACAACTGAGGAATATTACGACACTGTACAGGTACTGTAATATACTGTGACTCATGTACGCTCAGGGGAAGAATTATTTTTAGTAGAATCACAAGAATGCCATGACGTCATACTGAAGCATGATATGTTACAAACAAATAGGCACAACTCCGAACTATGTGAGAACCAGTTTTTATTTTTAAGAGCGCTTCTACATCTAATTTTGTCTTTAAACAGGAAATGGATGTTGGCAAATGTCTTGGAAGTTGCACGGAAAAGAAAGGCATATGTATCCGACGGTAGGTTTTCCCACTCAGAAAAATTTAAACTCTCTGAGCAACACTTAAAAAAACTTTGTCTTGGAAATTTCCGTTTCATTCTAATCGCAAACAAGTTCTACATTGAGCAATTTATCAATTAGCTCTTTTCTAAAGGGTGAATTTGTTGAATACTCTTGAAACGTATACGCGTGCCCCATCTTTCATCTATTCATAAGCGATCCAACCCGTGAGTTATTTTGCTACACAATGCAAAACAGCCGCTTACAAGCCTTCACATTTCTCGTCGCAAAATTTACTTTGTTGAACAACGTATATCAGAACATCTATACTGTCGTTTACAGAGCGGTTTAATTTTATTGACGAATTAGTTTATTGAATGTATTGTAATAGAATAGGGGAGAATACATTTCTTTTGACATTTTGAAAATCGGGGCTTCTATCTGGAAGGTACTCAATCTTGATTCCGTCCCTTGTTTTTCCCACTCACAGCACAAACTGCGCAGCAGTTTTGCTCCCCAACACGTACTGCTCTCCCAAGGAGTACGTCCCTCACATCTTCCAGACACCTGAGGGGGAGGATATGACCGTCCACGTGATCAACGAATGCAGATGCATATAGACTAAACGGAAAAGACGCCATGACTGCTGTAGCACCTCATCCGCGCGAGATGTGTAACGCGCGCGTACCCCTTGCGCGCGCGAGCATGGCACCGCCGCTTTGATGGCTTTCAAGTCTTGTTTCTGGATTGGTTTTTCTAAGGTTGCCAGGGATCTGATTCCTCAGTACCAACCCCATATGGCAGTTTCGGCCCTAGCAGCGTTTCTGGTAGTTTCCCAGTGTGCTTTCCGATTTTGTAGCTCAAGGAGGGAATATATAAGAGTCTGCGTGTTGACAACTTTGAAAATGCGACCGCGCCCGACTTATTGGTTGAAGCATTGCCGCGGCGACGATGGAGAATTCTTTTAGTTCGGACTCTTTCTCGGATATCACAGGATATTTTCAAGATCTCACAAGATTTGTGTATACATTCAAATCTGTCTCTATGATGCGCAGTGCAGTAAAAAGTTTTGCGCTCTTTTCACTATTAATCTGACACAGTAAAACTGCACACTGGTATTATTAATGTATATTTGTTTATAAAATATGTACTTAAAATTGTAAGATTTTTCTTGTAATCTTATATACGTCATACGATACAAGTACATGTATAAACAGTTGATTAGAAGTCATTATGCAAAGCACTGGGAAACTATACTGTATTTTGCATAATTGTGTGATTTTTTTTTATAATTTGACTATAGTTGTGTATGTCCTTGGCATAATGCCATCACACAGGGCAGTTGGAAGTTGATTTTTTTTTAAATTGTTTTCAACCATAAATTGGTGTGGTTCCCTGTTTGATTGGACGATGTTACCAACATTTGATTTTAAGACATATCGACGGCAAAATTGAGTTTCCCTAAAGCTGAAAAAAGGTGTGGAGCTTTGGGTTTTTCATCATTCGATTGCTCCAAATATTTGCTCTTCTATTTTGCTTTCTTGATTTTTGATTTTCCGTGATTGCCGTCAAGAAGTTATGACCGAATGTGAACTCGTCCATGAGACTAGTTTGAGGACGACTGAGTGATAATCGTGTCATTTCATTTTTACCGTGAATGTTTTGGGACCAATTTTCTAGGGTACTCATGTACATGTACATGTATGTATACATGTATTAGTGTGATTAAATCTATTTAACTGTCCATTTCATAGGCTCGAGATAAGATATTATTATGTTCATTTCTATTCTTGATTGTCACAGGCGTCAATAAATTGCACACTAACTCTAAAGGAACTATCGTGTCTAATTCTTCACTGTTCATTTGAAAGCAGAATTGAGAGCCTGGTCTTTAATATTCTTTATTACTTTTTATTCACAGCAATATCATTTCCTTTATAATAGTTTAAAGATCTTCACTGTTTGAAAAAGTTTCTTCAGCACTCTCGAATCGCCCGCATCTTACAATTTCAAGCGGGGTTAATTTCTTCAAATAATTTGTGAACACAGCCGCTTTCTGGATTGATGATGGATGACAGACTATTCTCAATTCGCAGTCCTCATGTTGCCACGTTCTTTAAAGAGAACAAGATTGATGAGTCATGTTTCTGACTCAACTCGGCAATTTATTCGAAATTTGTCCTGGGAATCAATGTCCGCTATAAGCTCTATCAGAGAAATTGGTAAAATTGTACTTGGACACAAATCGCGATTAAGTCTTCTATGCGCTGTTTCCCTTAGTCAGCCAGCCTTTTGAGCACGACGCCTCCCAGACAATTGGCTTTCATTGGCGAGCGTGTTTCTATTTATATGAGGTCACATTTAAAGAGATTTCCTCTCTGAGCTCAGGATCGAGGGAGTAGATGTTTGCTCTTGTCACTGCGGACCCCTCTTATATCACTAACCATGAGATACTTACCGTACTTTAATGATACTTCTCAGCTGTCTTAATTGGGTATTCGACAAGGTCTCAGTCTGTACGGTTATCTGCAGGATGGCAAATTATTTCGCACAACACAAAAAGCCACGGTGAATATAATAGTGAGTGTTCACATTTGGGGGGGGGCTTCATATGGGTTATTACCGCTTCTGGAAATCAATAACTTTTCAGTTGCATATGAGATGTTTAAGACATCAGTCTATCTCGTTTTAGCAGACTCTGAACTTCATAAACTTACTGTAACTTTCATTGCAATCTATCGGGATATGGCATCAATCAATTTATTAGTCCAACAACAGGTGCAAGCTACAAGAAAACCCAGGCGATGAATCATTTTTTTTCAGCACTCACAACCGCGCGAGCAACATCCTGTGCAGATTAAGTTACTGGCCCGAGTGGGTTAGTGGCACAGGGGCACACCCCCCCAAAATGTACAAGGGTGCATCCAGGGGGCCGATGAAGACAACCCCCCCACCTAATCTTTACTGAAAAGTAATGAGAAATGGTGAATTTTCGGTCTATTCTATTTCATTTCAAATCGTGTAAAAAGATCCAAAACGTAGCCTCATCCTTAAGAAGGGTCTTAAACTTTTAGCACCCCCAACCCGAACACAAATTTATCTCCACCCCCGAAATTTTGGTTCTGGGTGCTTCTTTGATGCGTAATGGAGTCCACGTAATTATCCGAAAAGATGGGTAATAGTTTGGGTGTGGTGAAACGCCATGGTGAATCTAGAATTAAAAAAGTCTCCGTGACCTTTTGAACAAAATCTTCAACTTTTCCCAGTTATTAATGCCAACTGAAAAGCGCATTGTGGAAATGCAATATAAATAACGAGGCCTGTGCTAAATTGCATCTTGCAACGTCTTTCCTTAACGATTATTGTTTCTAAGAAATTGGACCCAACCGCCAACACTGCAAAACTGTGGCATTAACCGGTGTTAATTTAGTCACCTCGGTTACCACAACATTGAGAGTGTTAAAATAACACTACAGTTTTAAGTGAATAGTTATTCTAATGACAATTGGCCTGCTGATTTGGGCAGTTGTTTCCTGAATGGTTTTCGGAAAGCGCTTTAAGGAGAAACTTCTACAGAAGCCACAGAAAACCCCATTTTTTTTCCCAACATCCTAAGACCATGTGCTCAGAAATGAAATGATGCAGATATACTGTACAGGGTAAGCCTCCAGAAAGTGTTAAAGCTGAAAACTTTGTAATCAATCCTGGGCCCGCAGTAGCCAACTGTTGAAAATTGACCTTTATTTCCTCGGTAAAGCGTTCTCTACTCCAGTGTAAAGACCCAATGACATAGTGCCCATCATACGTGTTGTCATACCCAACAAGGCTCGCTCCATGTTTACAGCAACACCTGGGAAAAACAGCGCTTCGATGAAAGCCACGTGTCTTGAAGGCCGGCTATAAACTTTCAGCACCTCATAAAAAAGGACCGCTTTGTCTTTATAAACGAAAATTTGTTATAGGAGCTTTGGCATATCAGATTGCCCAGCAAAAATAACATTTGGGTAATTGATGAAAGATTAATAAAGGTCGCTTTTGTGTCGCTGACGGTTTGCGTGACGAGGTGGAAGTGTATCCAACGACAAACTCAGACGGAGTGCAAATTTTACAAAATTAATCATTTGCGAGATAGGACACAAAATGCAACGAGAATGCTCACATTTAGAAATCACATCGCAACTTGAAGTATTTTAATATCCAGGGCGTTGACAGTGCTATGGTTGCAGTATTCGCCTAACATTAAAAATACGTAAATTAAACTGGAAGTCAGGTGGGAATAAAAATGTCATTTTTACAAGAAGAAAATTTCATGAACCCTGAAACTTGAAAAATAGACATTGGAGTTTTGAAAATCAAAACGAAAAGAGAAAGATAAAGAGTCTTCAAATTAAGCACATTTATTTTTATAAAAATATGCAATAACATTACAATTTTATTTTTTTAACATACAAAGCGTTTGGAGATAGTTTGGGATGACGTTTTCTTCAATGCTTGAGAATTTCAAATCGCTTCGCCTCTAGTTCTAGATTCAAGAAACAAGAAATTCAAGAGACCTTCAATTCCGAACCTCTCAACGATAAAATTCTGAATACAGAGAGTGAAGATGTTATGGACAAAGAACAATTATGTCAAGTGCGTGCGCACAGTATAGTGAAACATCCGCACTGATCAATTACCACTCTGTTCTCTGAATGCTTCCGGTGGAAAAAGTTCCCAGAAACTTCCATCTGAACCAGCTCAATTCTCAGGCAAACAAAACAACATCGACCATCCACAAAAGACTTAGGTTCAAGCTCTGTAGCCCAGATGCGGCTCAGCATTCGCGTGAGAAAACAAGACCCTGCAACGCTGCACTACCGCATAGCCGTCTGTTCATTAATTAGCACTTTCCCGATTAAAAAGTCCGGTGAAAGAAACGCCAGGCATTGTCAAAGCTGCAATTCGTATTCCGACTCATGTCTCCTTTTTCTTTTTGGTCGAATTACGGAAACAGGCGGAACCTATAAGCTTTGAAGATGTAATTAGAACAATTATAGGGAACAAACATCGCTGGCACCTTTCTATAGCTTATGCGTGACGCTAACGGAGCACGTTTGGTTTGTCTATACACGGGACACCAAAATCAGAAAATTGTATGGAGTGCCAATTCTATCTTAAAACGACCCAGTCGACAAAGTATGGTTTTGAGTCAACAATTTCATTTAAACGACTTTAAATCGTTTTTTCAATTGACGACTGAATCAAAACAAAGTGGAAGTGGTGTGAAACAGATGTGGACGTCGAATAAGTCTGAAAAGATGAGATCTACCGAATAATTAGGGAAACAATATTATTTCTCTAGAACCAGTAGACTAGGTATAATGTCCAAGGGCTTACCAATGACGAAGGGTGTTCGCTAGGGACACATTTCTTTATTGGTTATGCGTGTTCTGCATCTCTCGAGATAAATCCAGAGGCACGGCGAATAAATAGCTTTAACGAGGTTGTTTTGTTTTCCTCCATGGCGCGCCATACCTATCCATCCTGATTGGCCACACACCTGTGGCATTATATGGAGTGTTTACGCCAGGTGGTAACAATGCAGATTAGGGCTTATTCCAAACCATTAAGCACCCTCAAAGCCCCACCAGATTCTTTTGCCTTGTTCGGTATTGCTGGGAAAACAAAATTCCAAATGCCTGGCACTCGAGCCAAGCGCCGATCACACGTAATCAAAGATTGTCGTCAATATTTTCCCCTTACCCTCGTCCATTCCAGCGACAGGTTTCCTTTCTTTATTCTTCCTAGTTCGCTGGCAAGTAACAAGTTCGCCAGAGTCAGCTTGTGTACACGAACCGACGACTGTTCCGTGATGCAAACGCATAAAAGGTTTGGAACGGAATGTCGCAGAGAACAAAAAATAATAACGAAACTATATGTACCGAATGTAAATAATTGCAGCTTAAAAGTGTTACTTAAATCCTTGCTAAATTCTGTATGGTACTAGTTTGTCGACTCCTGAGCCTATTTTTTCCTTAATTTCGATAATAGGCCTACGTGTTTCTTGAAAACTAAAGAAATAACCATGTCATATCATCATCAAGATTTGCCCCACACAGTATTTACTGATGAATAGATGCATAACCTTCGCAAGAACGAAGAAGTTTTTTGCTGATTTTATCAGTACAAACTGGATCGATGCATATCATTCCAGGTTTTTACATGAAACAGCCGTTGTTTTTATCACCGGACAATAGAGGTCCATCTTGGCGCCAGGCTGGCGGGCGCACCTGCGCGGCATTAAATCAAGGAATTGCTCCCCGTTCAATCAACGGCCGCCCCGTTGTCAAGGCACGAACTCAACGTCGTGGTGGGCCAGCACTGAACGAGCTTTTTGTGTGGTGTTACGACCCAAGGACTTGCCAAGTGGTATAAATTACCTCGAAGCGGTATTAATTCCCTCCTCGAGTGATACCCTGGAATTCGTTGTCATTCCTGGCAACGACAGAAACTGGCATTTTTTTTGCCCATCCTGGCAACATAGTTTGAAAAAAGTGCTGCGAAAACTCTGCGTGAGAATTTTTTACCGCCAAATTATGGATTTTCTGACTTTATATTTTTATTAAAACTTGAATTCAGAAACAAAATATATCAGAGAAACCAATGAACAACGTTGTACCATTAGTGTTGCCTACAATAAAAAAATCTGTCCATGTTATTATCTCCTTTGAAATTGAAATTAACCTCTAAGGCATTCTGAAAAAAAGGTTTGCAATTGTGACTTTCTACTGATGGTCAGATTTTATGAGGGTTTCAACTAAGTGTCTGGTACTGGCATTACTGAGAATGTACAAAGAAAACAAAACTTCTTCCAAAATGTTTAGAGGAAATTGAACTGGTTATTGCTCTCTTAGAAGTGCAACAGTCAATTGCAACAGCCGGGCATCTTGCACCATTCTGGGAAATAAGCGATTACATGCAGACAGCGACAAATGATACCGTTGTGCGTGTTAATTCACGTGGGTGGCACATAGTGGGGATGTCTTCGTCTTGCACGGGGATATTTGATGGAGGCATTACGCCCACAGTAAAATCTCCTTGGGGATAGGTTACCTCCCCCCCCGCAATATTTTATAATTTATTACGCATGGCATACGATTCGCCCAATTACCTTGAAACGAATGTGCTAGTTTTCACCTTTGCTAGAATACAAAATAGGCTTCTTTATAGAAAAACAGACTTAAGTAAACCTAATCTAAAACAAGCCATGAGAGTAACCGTCCTAGCGTAATTTGAATGAAATGAACCTCAAGTCGCGGAGACAAGCACAGATCTAGAAACATTTCCGTTACGTGACTGATTCATCTACTTAGACAATTGTAATGTGCTTAATCATAGCAATAGCTACATACCGATTATACTTACGCGGTATTATACATTTAGTAGAAACTGCACTGTGGATTTGTTTCTTTGTCTTACTTATTTTTCTTTTCATTCTTGTTGGGGTGTCGTTTTTGAGCACTTCTCAAAACTGTTTTTGAAAAACGCACTAACGACCAGTGTGGAATGTCTGTAAGGAACCACAATTTTTTTTTTCATAATTGAATTAGCAGACAGGAATCTGTTAATATGCGTGCCCGGTGTGCAGTGCGCAAACGAAGGGTCCGTGCCCTTATGGAGGTTTTGTGACCGGAGTCAATTCTCACTGAAAAAAAAAAATCAGGCCCTGGGCTCAGGAAAAATGCACGTGCGACATTTTCACAGGATTTGGTGTGTCGGGCGATTAGCGGTGACCATGCTATTCGGCCCGGGGGAGGGTGCCAGCTATCCCAAGCTTGGATAAGAGGGAGATTGTCCAACAACAACATCGGATCGGCAAGATACGGGAACTTCGGATTAGATATTCCGGTGAACCGTCCGCGTTTTGGGCTTATCTACAGACTGGGAGTTTGGCCCTTTGCCGGTAATCTTGCAGGGCCCAGATCCAACCTAGTCCCGCTCCTAGGCTTTTACCAAGAGTACGGTAAAACATGTCAATGAGATTATGAAAATTCAACTTTCGATTTTTTTTTATTTCTGCAAGACCTTTGACGACACGAGCAGACAAATTCTTGCACAGTAAGAATTTATTGCTATTAACACTTGACCTTATTTAAATTAACAATCAACAATTTCCACCGTGTGGAAACTCTTTTTGAAGAGCTTTGAAAGGGTAGGGGGAAACGACAGTTTAGTTTTGTTTTTAGTTTTTTTTTCACTTGAAACTTCAGTTCTCAGCAATAATTGTGTGGTCAGTGAATCAAATTTATGATCGGAAGTCTTCCAGAAGAACGGTCCGACCTTGGTTAACCTCTTATCCACCAAATCGGCAAAAGCGACAAACTTCGAAACTAATCATTCAAGCGTTGATTGCTTCTCCGGCTCCCGTCGTTGTTCGGAAGTTGCACGTCACTTCAGATATGAGTGGGCATAGCTCACGCAACTGAGGGCGGAAACCACGCACGGAAAATGCTTCTCTTGTGTGGAAGCCGGTGTCTGGGAAAGTCATTAACCCGTCGTAATCTAAAGGCATTTTCCTTTTTTTTTTTTTTTTGCTGTTTTAGATTTACAGACCTTTGGCGCATGGTCCTCAGTATGCCGTGACCGCAGTGACACTCAAGGATGGCATTTCAAGAAAAAGATACAAAATACTTGGATATATTTCTGTACATAACATTTGTTTAGTTACACTTACAATTTGTTGAAATAATTGCTATTAGAAGTAAATGAAGAATTTATCTAGCCATACCTCCATTGACTGTTGATGCAGATCCGTCTCACTCACTCAGTATCCAAGAAGAGTCCAGGATCCTTACAGAGTTAGTTTGGCGGAGAATTTAGCGACCTGCAACCTCGAGTGACCTCAGACTTCACAGGCCTGCAGTACCAGATCTAAATATAATATTTAGCCAAAAATGGGTTGAGCTGATTTAGTTCTTCCCGTGGCATGATCATTTTTCCCATCTGCGGTGCGAAACGACATAAACCTGTACGAAAGGCAGTGTTGGTGGGCGGGACAAAGTCGCATATGATTTCCCCATTAACCTTTTATCAAGAAGCGATCGTGAGCTAGTGGGTACTTTTACACACGTTTGATTTATAGCTCTTCCCGCCGTGTGCCCACCTAGCTGAGGGAACTTTTTGGGAGCTTGGTGTGGAGTTTGAAGGCAACTCTTAGCTAATGCATGGGTTAAATGTCAGTCGTCAGCATGAAATGACGGTGCTGTATGTTCAATTAAATATCGGAAATTCATCTTCTTTATCTTTATTTTAGCAATAGGTTGTTCCCTCTTATTTATTGCGCCAGATTTGCACTGTCGTGTCGGGTGCAGTGTCACCATTCTGAGGGAAAACTTTGACAAAAAGGAAGATTCGTTTCAGAAGAAAGGGAATGGAAATCATTTTGAGTAAGAATTAACGTCGTGTTGCATTCAGCCAGACATTGGCCAGTGCTGCCCTCGAATTAACGAGCTTAGCTGTTGGCCGCCTCTCTAGCATTGCTGGAGAATCGGACGGAGAGCCTGCCCCAGGCTAGGCGTTATGAGTCAATAGAAGACCGTGCCGGCGCCACGCAGTCTGGGCACAAAGGTATGTGGTGCCCTTTCAATTTGAACCCCGGGAACAGAAAGAAAGAGGGAAAAAAACTTGTCAGGGACTACCCTGAACGATCCCCACAGGAGAATTGCCGCGGCGAAGTCAGCTAGTTCACCGGCGACAACCACACCTGCACCGGGGCCTATTCACCGGCCGAGAGAAGAAAAAAATCTTGTCGGTGAGAGAGCACCCCCCGCTAATTGGCACTCTAAACTCAATCACAATATTAATTGTGCCCTATTCGGGGAGGGTGCGAATCTGACACCTTTGGTGGATTACGGAGGGGATACTTCTGAGTACGATCCCGCGTCAAAGGGGATTGGCCAGCGGAAAGAAGTCCACGTATCATTGGCTGATTTGCGTTTCGCCCGAGTAGGAACCAGCCACCTGGAATACGTCAATCAACGGCAGTTGACAGGGGAGAGACGGGCCAGCGGACTGCTCAATGTGTCCGACCGTATAACGTAGCGTCCAACAACCGCACAAGAAAGCCCTAACTAACGCGTCTGATAATATACGAGTGGCTATAAAGAGGGAAAAAAGAAGGTTCATAACATTGGTTGGGATCTCAAAGCGAGTCAGTTTGTCTAGTTACCTGCCTGCGCGTGGAGCTGGAGCATAATACGACTGGGCGTTGGTGAGAGCAGTTGCATCTCCGAGGGAGGCCTGCGAAATCCTACAACTACCTGTGACAGAACTTTCGACTCCGTGCGCACACCTGTATTTGCCAAGCCGTACACACTGATCAGTAAGCTTTGTATCACTTGCTGTAGGCTATCAGTATTGCGAGGCATAGTTCTTCGAGTTGTCCACCAACGACACAAGATGCTATTCCATCCTCGGTCCATCATCCTCCTTGTGATAACTGTCTGTCACCTTACGGTATCGCTCCCACATGCGATAGCTAAGGCCGTGCCCCGGTCGGGCGAGCTGGTGAGCGCAACGCACCCGTCGAGGCAGCGAGACCGCCCCTCCCCGCCGTCCAACCTCCCCGATGCGGTCCTGACCGGCTCGACATCCGCCAGCACCGGCCACGAGTCGAACGTCATCATGACGCAGCAGAAGGAGCAAGTGCTGGGCGAACTCTTCCGCGCCTTCGGCTTGGAGAACAATACCTTGGAGCAGCCGGCACGTCGCCCAGAACCCCCACCCTTCATGCTGAATCTGTATAACTCCGTCGCCGACCCCACCTCCGGGAAACTGAGGATGCCCCGACCCTTCAACGCCAACACGGTTCGGTCCTTACCGGATAAAGGTAAGACTTCATCGTCCCCGTTAAATTTTAAACTTTGTTTGATTTAGCTGATTGGAGTTACTTGTATGCTGGAATGAGAGAGCGCTATGACACAACCCTAGCCTTTTTTATAAGAATGTTTTAACATGGAGCTTTGGGAGTCCACAAGCAAATTGGGACAGCCTGTTTCTTCGTGGAACACTGCGTGTTATCTCAGCGTACTCGTAAAAAAAGATGTCCAATGTTAACCTTTGCAATGAGCATCAGCGCAGACAGAGGGCATAGCGGTATTTATTTCAACAGCGCATGTATACCACAATCCTCTGACACCATACAGGCCTATTAAATCAATCAAAAATCAAGGTGCTGCTCCGTGTCGGCACAAAGACGGTGCCCAAAGGCCGAAGCAAACTCAGCCATGCGTGATTCCAAAAACTTGTCAGATTTGTTCAACCGCGTCCGCCCCTGTTCGTGCGCGAGAAAAACACCCCCATTCAGCCCAATCACTGTCCTCTTTGTCTAGGTTTATTGGTTATCCCTGTCCCTCTCTTCGCACGAATAATTACAGTAATGAAGTAGGCCATATCGAACCACAGTCAGCATATTGTCTCCAGTGAGGACTGACTCAGGATGCATGGGTGACCTTTTCACACCTTCTTTTTTCCCCAATGCATTCTCCTATTCTGTAAGCGCTCACGACCCGAAACAGAGGACGCAAGATGCAAATTAATAAGATAAAGCTAGAGGAGCCTGAGCTAACTGTGCAAGCAGAGGAATCGTTCCATTCTGACCTGCCAATCACATTTTTGGTCCAAATTTACCAAAAATTTGTACCATCGTGCGAAAAGGAGTAGTCACATGCCTATGTACACGAGACCCCGTGTCATGAGAAAATGAAATGCATGTGGACTTGGGCCCAACTCTAAGACTATTGGCGCGCTTTATAATTTTTTTCAGGGTTTGTGGCGTTGCTCACTTCTGCAGTTAATCAAATATAAATCACATACTCGCGTAAACTCGTGCACCGGAGCAACCATAAAATATGGAATTCTTCGCGTCGCTTTATTTCTGATGTAAACCGGTTTGCCGCCTGTAATTCTATACGTGTGTTACACCAGCCACCCGTCCGTGCACCAATTAAACTCTCCAGGTGAGGATAATGAAGAGAAGAGGGTGAGAGCGGCCTCAGGGTACCCGCGGGTCCTCACACTCACTTACCGCCGTGATTTACGACTTGTGGCGGAAAATGACAAGTTATTATTTTGTTAGGGAACACCTGGAGTAAATTTTCCCCCATTACTGACGCGCTGTGACACCTGAAATATAGAAGTGAACTTTGTAGAGACGTTGATGATGTGCATGGCTATCGATCGAACCCAAAGTGCAGAAATTATGAACACGTGGAAACAGCAACATTGGTCTTTCAGAGTTAGGGACTGGGATGGATCCTGATTTTGCCGAGAACTTACGCGATGCGTTCTTGGCCCGAAAACCGTCCGTGTGTGACGTAGCTTTTCTCCTGCCCAATGTCAATGTCTTGTAGTCACACCTTTCTGTGAAGGTGAAATAGGGTCTACTGACATGTTCCGTCAAAGTGCCACGGGATAAAAAAAAAGTCTGAATTATTCTTCTCAGCTGACGGAGCAGAGCGACATTGCTTGGGAAAGTCTGCTTTATTGCGCGTGTTACGCATGCGCAGTAAGTTTGCACGCTTTGGGGCTGGAGCAGGGGATATGCGTGAGCTGCCTAACAGTCTCACAAACATCATATTATTTCTACATCAATTACCAAGATATTTCCTCAACTGGGGTCCATAAAAATTCATCGTTCGATCATTGTAATAACTAATATCCGTTGGATTATGTATGTTAATATTGTATGTATTGTGTTCAGTGACTTTTCCACTAAAAAAACCTCTAACACTCTGAGGTGTAGTTATACAGAAATTTCAACCATCTCAGAACAACCATCCCAACCAAACGTCACTTAACACTGTGGGTTGAGATCTATGCAGCATTCACTTGTCATAAATTGGCCTCGCAAAAGTATCCCCATAAAAGCCGGTTAACCGGCGCATGGCTGCCTGCTGAGCTGGGGTCAGCTCGGGCTAGAAGTACACCGTTGCCGACCGTACCTAGCGGTGCTGAAGCGGGACGGTCTGTTGTTAGCGAGGTCGGCTGTACTTTTTGAACAGTGCAAATGTAGCTTCTCCCTCGGTATCTCGGCAGCCAGTGTTATTTTTGACAGAGCAGGAATACTAATAACATGGTATGTTTTTGATTGACGGTAACTCGGTAGTAGGTTGATGAGCTATGAGCTGGTTTGTACTTTGACGGGCTGGCTGATTGGTCCGACGACGTACCCCGGCAACGCCGAAGATATCACTGGGAGAGTTCGCAGTTTCTTAGACTGGAGAGTTTTTCCTTCCTCCGTCCTTCGACGGATACACTTAGGTATCTCCCTCAGTACTGTGGAGATGAAATTGCATCGGAATCAACGTTTTTAGACGAGCCTCAAAGACTAAGTTGACGAAATGATGCATATAAGCCACGGGGTGTCAGCAACTGGCCTTTATGACGGTCCTCTAAGCCCTCAGTAACTCTTCCTTTGAGAGACTGTTAATCACTTTTTCTCCCAGGATCTGAAGACTTTCATAAAACAATATTTTACAAAATCTGCAACGGTGAACATTTTTGACACGACAAAACCTCAATTCCAGCCGTTAACGGTACAGCCTCAAAAGACTTTATCAGACTACAATACGTGTGTCAAGGACGTGCAGAGTACATGTACGTGGAAACAGCGCTGGAAAAAGAACACAGCATTTCAAGGACGAAAACCAACCGTGCAAAAACTATTTCACGGTGAGAGTAATACATTCTTCCGATAGTTACACCAAATAAGGTGATGCCACAAAAGCATCAAGATCCAGACCCTGTCTAAAGGGTTGCTTGCCACCATGCTTAACAAAATATTGACAGGCAGAAATGGAAACCAGTCGAACAACAGACTTGCTTCTACAATAAGCAAAGGTATCTTCGCATGACAAGTATTTGCGATGCAGTCTAGTACCCTACAGGCGCAATCTTCGGTTGATGAGTCTGTACCCGTCACATCTTGCATGCTCTTGAAATAAAATCCCTTTTTTAAACCACCAAGATTTTTTTCTACGTAGATCATGGAACCTAAGTAGTGGTTGCAATCACACAATGCTTGTGACAAATTCACTCGATATACACAAACACGTTCACTGCGATGACAAAAGCAGGGAAAACGTATTGCAGTGATTGTGCAGGTATAGTAACAAAGTAGAAGTCGCCGCTGTTTGAACCTCAAGATCAGCTAGACCTTTTAGTGGGATGAGTTCATCGCGATTTTACCTTTAAACGCAGGGCGATACAGTCTCGCTCTGTGCTATGTGACCCGTCAGCTTTCAATCACTTCGCAACAGTTTCGCAAACGATCTGCGCCCTACGTCTCGCCGAGTACGGCCTGCTCGACTCAACGTCGCGAGGAGCGGTGCGTTGCCGAGTGCCGTCTTTCAGTGGGATCATCGCTCAAAATCACTCGCCCGAGCTAATTTAAACGACTCGTGTTGTACAAACGCATCCCCAGCGCGCGGGATCGGAGGGCAGGCGAGGTTTTTTCTTTAAACAAAGGCAGCCGCTTGTCCCGATATCCACGTCTGTCTACAGGACGATAGATCCTGAATTAGATGTCTCGGAGGGTGGCGATGAGAAACAAATTGAAGTTCATCGGCCTCTTAGGTAGTCGGGTGAAGAAAAATGCTTAGAATGATAGGGTTAGCAAAAGGATCGCACTTGTAATCGCAATGAAACGTGAAGTTACAAACACGGTCGACCTTCATTGAACCAAGCATTGACTAAACGTGGATTTGGAGTTCTATGTGACATTTTCCTTGATGCAAACCCTGCATGCCAGTGGCGTAGGAATTAATGCTATTTTCAACAGTTAACAAGTACCGTAATCGGGGCCTTTGTACCTCTAAGATTGCTCGTGATAAGGAAAATGTGAAAGATAGGAAATGTTTAGGGACTGTATACTTCCCAGAAGTGGCGTAACCGGGGTGCACTTTTGCAGGGGGCACGTAGGAGCCCTCATCTCTGGAGCCTAGGCGCTCAATGGATTCGGTCACAGTTGAAACACTGACCGAGGTGGACTAGCACCAGATTTGTCCTTTCTCTAATTTCTGAGGGGGAAGGTGGCACATGGGGACGTGTCTCCATGCCCCTTTGCTTATGCCCTTGATTTCCAGTCTCTGTACTGAAAGTACGACGACGGGTGTGCTGTTGGATTTTGGAGGATTCCAGATTCCTCGAAAAGATATGCCAAGTAACCTATATGGTTGGAAACGAAACGAACCGAGGTGGAAAAAAAAACACGTGATTCCAAACTGACGTACTTTCTCAGTTTGTTTTTCGCTCACAAGAAGCTGTAGTCGACCACTGAAAAGGGTAATTGAGTGGTGTACTCGATATAGCGTTGAGTATGACACTTGCTCAATGGATATAGGCATCACCTGTTGTCGAGGCCTAGGCTTTCCTTGGCACAGGTGTGCACGTGTTTGTTGACACTGGCCCTCGTCTTACACGATTATTACTCATAATTATTTGTTACACTGACAGCGGGGTGGGTTCGGGTTATCCACACATGCCAATACCTCAGGCCGCAAACACGTACCGTCAACTCTTCCTGCGTCACCCCCTTGTTTCGATGGGTAACCTTCCCGCTCTTTAAAGTTCACCTTGAGCGCCAGGATGGAAATGTTGGGTGCCAGACAGATACTGCACCATGTGGAGCCGTGCTACCTCCTCAAGGGGTATTATATGCAGGGCTGAATATAGGAACCTTGAACTACTTGGTCTTCAGTCCTCAGGGGGGACAAGTCTTACCCGTGACTTAACCACATTATGACACTGATCCAAAGCACATTATTTTTTCTCTTCCCAACCCTGACTCATATGTGACAATCCTTGACCTTGACTTCTAGAAGAGTTCAAGATGATAGATGCAGTTTGCTCTGTGCCCTTACCTTCTACGAATGAAACACAGTGTTTGCGTCATTGAATCGAAAGCGAGGCTACCCCTGCTGTTTAGTTTTCGGGATGAATTTAATGCAATAGTAGCCGTGACAGACACAATCTCCTGACACGTGATGAAGTTCCTTTCAACAGCTCATTTCTCACGTAGGTATGACCCCTCCCCGCCTAAAAGCCTTCCTCGATGCGCAGGGGTCCTCTTTATATTCAAATCAGGTTTGGGTGCAAATAAATCCTAGGGGAATGTCAACCTCGCCGTTTTTCGGCGCATTCTTCGAAATAACGGAGAGCCAGCGTTGTAAACCAGCTCCGCCTCTATTTGAGGCTTTCGGCAGAATCGATTTGAAAAACAACAAACGGACATGGGGTTCTTCAACTACATGGTTATAGTTACGGATTTAGAAACAAGACACTTGGTGTTCCGCACAAGCAGTTTACAATTACAAAATTTGTACACGGTTGGGAACTCAGGGAATGGTCAAGGTCAGCGAATCTTCCGTAATGTTACGCTCAAAAGCTGACCTCATGTAACACAATGTAGAAATGCAACATAGGCAAAACATTGCTATTAAGGATTTGTATAACAACGAGACAAAGGCGAAGCCTCATTGACCATTTCCCCATTGACCATTTCCTCATTGACCATTTTTTGGTAGGAAACACAATGTTACTGTACACAAACCATAAGCACTCTCGTGCCTGCACGATTCTTATCGTACTACGTGTGTGCTTACCTTGCACTCTATACCAAGGCCTGTAGGGGCGATATCCACCATGTTTGCTTTTACTTTCCTGTACCGGTGCCCAACATTTCTTGACTTTATCTCGAAGCCTTCTTTCTCTCCAATTTCCTCGGCCTAATTCAAGCTCACAGGTTGATCGTTGTCGACTTTCGTTTAAAAACGTGCCTCATGCAATTGACAGCTTTACTGAAATGTGCAGGGCGCGTCAAAAAAGCCATTTGAACACAAGACCATTGTCAAAAGACCTTTGTCAGTCGACACATGGTTGCTTGTATCATCGCGCACAGCATTGTCCAGGTGCATTGTAAGAACGCTATAGCCTGCATACCTCCACACACACATTCCCAAATCCAATCAGACCCTAGACCATTTCCTTAAAATTTGTTCGCCTTTATTCAATTTGTTTTCCGTCTAGTAGAGATTGACATTTGACGCTTAACATGTCCCTCCGCTGACTGGAGTTCATTACCTATTCAAGCCGAAGCTACTTCTAGTTCAAGCTAAAGAACTCCCATCTTTGCCCAGTTCCAGGTGCTTTGAAGCGCCTCCCCTTTGTACGCTGCAGAAATGTTTTACGCACCCTAGCTTAAACGTCCCTGGGAGAATAAAGTTACGACTGTACCCTTTTGAAAATGCGGCAGTGCATTTTATTTGTCTGATTCTGTTTTCATTACCCAATGTGTATTGCTCACTGGCCATTTGTTATGCTGGCATTATTTGTTTTTGCTGTAGGGGACTAGTTCGTTGAGACAAATCACACGCGGCCGAAGCACCTGCGAACATAGACTGGCCATTCAAGTCCTCTAATGCGCTTCTTAATGGAACCTCTCGAAGTTCTAAGCTTCTAGAATTATTGGCACCTGCAGGCATCTTCGACAGGGAAACATTTTACCGATCTTTACAGGTTACTTGGGACGTTGAGTCAAGAAATGGGCAGCTTTTGAGTGGAAGCTGACCCAAAGGAGGTCATCAGAACGGTGAAAAGGACATCCCAGTGGCACCATAACGTCCTTTTTTTTTGTGGCTTGACCTTCCTTGCATGCAGGTCTTGGGAAACCACCAGGCCTGGCGAGGACCTCTTGTCCTCTTCTTTTGTTCTGTGTCCTCAGTTTGCTAAACACGCACAAGAACATCCTATTTATGTCCTACAAAAATGCAGTTAGCGATGGCTTCTTGTAATGGGGGGTCAATTGCCATGAACACCCGTGCTTGTAGAGGGTTGTATGATATTACTGGACTTATAAATAAGTTTAAGTTTTTGAGTGACTTGCGTCTCACTTGAGGCACTCGCCTTCGAAACTCGACCCTGCCTGGCACGGTATTGAAGCCTGCGCTACACGTTCGTCAATAAAATGATTGGTGGGGGTGGTAGGGTGATGACAGCGCGAGTTTACAAGCTGGCTGCCTCGGGTCCCCGAGGGTGGTGCCCAGGTGTGTAAATTGTGTACAGTTTGGCCTATGACTGATCCCTGACGTCTTCAACCTGGGTAGATGACAGGTTGACTCAAGGTTAAATTAGCTTTAAAGGGAGATTTTCTTCTAGTCTGTTTCAAATTTTTTCCCTGGATTTCCTCTCCACCAACGCCTTTGTCATTCCGACGCGAATCGCAGGTGTCGTTAAACTTTGTACGCGCATATGGTGCCCAACTGAACAGTAACGTCTTGACTTTGAAATAAAACTTCAGTTGAAGGGGGTATAATAAAATATTCGGAGGCGAACCTTGAGTCAGCAGAGAGATAATTTCTTCCAAGGTCGGCAATCATTAACTTTCAGTTTATGACTCCTCGTTCAATGACAGAATGGATAAAAAATTCATACAGGAAGTCTCAAAACCCACAAACACCATGAATAAATAAATGAACAATTTCTGATACTATCAATGTTGCAAATATGCATTTCAATAGCTGGAAACGCGTGAGTGGTGTCCTGTAATGGTTTGTCGCACACATCATTTATTTCATACATTAGGAGTCTAAAATACCCAGCTCCACTGTAAAGGTTGTATTTGATCATAAATTTCTTTCGAATAAGTAGAGCCAGGCAAGACGAAGCCAAAAAAAAACTCTTAAATGTCTCTTGTGGTGGCGCTATCTCCTTTTAAAAGCGATGGTTGAACGAGACGCCAAAGTTCGAGAGATACTCTCAGAACTTTCCCAACTGGAAATTTTTGTAGCAGGTGGGCAGGGAAGACTTCAAGCGAGGGGAGGCCGTCTTAGGTATGCCGACGGCGTGTCTGCCCCGGCCGGTGCGATACTGCCGGGTCGGCTCATGTTTTTATCCCCTGCAGGTGCCAGCGACGTTAGCTGTAATGCCTCTGGCTCCAGGGGGGTACAGCTGCGAGAGGGAACCGGCGGCTTTGATCCCAGCGCTAGGTTCCAGAGCAAAAGCCCTGATGCGAACAGGTGGGCTAGGTGGTTGTCAGGACTCTGATCTGGCAGATAATAGAAAACCAGAGGGGGTAAGATGAACGCTTGTCAGAACTGAAGACAGGTTGGAGCCAGTGAGCTAGCATTTTTTTTGGGGGGGTGGTACTTGGGCTTACACCAGTCCCACAAAGATTAAAAACAGCACTAGAGCCAAGGAAAATAAACAGGTCATCGTTGTAAATGATGGAAGCATATTGTGTGTCCCAGACACCGCACAGAAAAGTATACGCATCCTCCACTGATGGGTCCATGTGTGAGTTGTGCATGTCCTCAAATTACACTTGTGTCAAAAGTTACAAATCATCGTAGAATGCAATCAAAACACATCTTTACCTCCTTCTGAGATGTCTTCAGCTGTTTAGACTGTTTTCTGCTGGTGTTAGTGATTATGTTTGTCACATCCATTTACTGATATGATAAGTCCTGACTTCTTTGCAAAAGTACTGATAGGTATATGCTTGATGCCGACCCCCGTTTAAGCTCTAGTTCAAGGTACACACTTTTGTCGTCATTAGCCCTGTTAAGAACCCTCCCTAGGTATCCATTTCTGCTCCATTTGGTTTTCTGGATGTTCTAAAAAGAACGGGTCCAGTTGATAGACAGAGGGCCTAACGTGGCACGCTTGTCCCCAAGGCAACTGACTTTGAGAAAAGTGTAGATGATGACTGGAGAACTGATAATAAAGCCCTATCCTCTCCAAATCATCACCAAAATGTACTGTCATCCAGGAAGCAGTATTACAGTTGACTTAGGCCTATGGTTCGCTGCGATACACAGGCGTCGCGATGGGGGAGACGGGGGCACTTATCCCCCCCCCGGAAAAAAAAAAGAAAACTAAAAGGGAAACGGGGAGAAAGGCGTTGAAAAGGAATGAAAACTGACAAGTTTCTTGATAAAAATCCTCAAAATTGACACCCTCCCACCAGCAGTTGATCGTTTACCGTTTACCGTTTCTTAGCTGACGGGGATTTGCCTCCTGCCCTGGTGATTTTCTCCCCTATGTGTCCCTCCTGGAAAAAAACCTTGCAAAGCCCATGTCCAGTTAAGACTTTATGCCTAAATCATTTAGTTTCATTAGAAAGAAAAAACAATACCGACAGCATTAATCAGATACAAGAAAACACAGGATACAATCACATACCAATTTCAAAGACAAGAATAAAAACTCGACAAATCCAAATAAACCATGCTCCTGTGCAATCATTTAAAATCAACGTAATAACCATCAATATCTCTCCCATAGCTTATATTATTTACAGATAAATAAATAAATTGCGCCAATACAATGATAATGATGATTCATATCTGATATGATTCACCCGGGGCGATATGAAAGTAGTCTTCTCGCCCAACTTTGAGAAGTGTTCCCTTGTCAGCGACAGGATGAACCTTGTTACGTATGACTTCGGGTTGGTTCGACTTGTCACAACACAGGTGAATCGTTTGTCTACAGGTGTGTGATCGGTTTGCGCAGGCACCCATTCGTGAAGTCCGGCATGATGAAGCATAGATGGATGAAGGGACTTGCCTTGTGTCAGTGCGATGAGGTGGCCGTTTGGATCCGACGTTGAGCTATGCTTTTGTGACTCAGATCAGATGGACGAGTTGAAGGAAGAGGAAAATGTTTCAGTGATGGGCTCTTTCAAGTTCTTTAGAGAGTCCTTCATTTATGTGCATGAAAGTACACGCTTTGGTGGTTACATTGGAAAGTGTTTCTTCTGTCCTCCTTCCGCTCTAACGTTCCCAAGCCGATTTGAACATGATACAATAATGTGAGTAAAAGCAACTTTCATCTGGAAATTATTTCATCTATTTGCAGGAACTGGAACGGGCTTTGTATAAGCTAGCCATTACAGGGGCATTCTTGGGTTGGAATGGGAAACAGTCTCATATTTCCCCCACCAAATTGGGGTTGAGCTTTTGCTTCCAAGGCACAATACAGATACACGTATATAAGCTATACTGAAGTGTTTTGCAAGGCACAAAATTCAAGAAAAGTTGACAATCATATCTGCTTGGCATGCCGGCATGTCAAGTTCGTCTGATCGTGTTCATAGTAGATATTTCTGGATTTGGAGTCTCAGTTCTACGCTCCCCACGGTACGGACGCGTGCAGATAGACCACGGTTCTTGAATTTAATTTTCAATGACGTACCCCACACCGAAAGCCAAAAGCAGCCGAATCCCTCAGATCGCTTCAGAAAGGGCATTGACGGTTCTCTGTGGTGTGGGAGTGGAAGCTTATGGGTTCTGACAACTCAGTCTTACAATTACCGGTGTTGGCCAAGCCGCCTCTAATCCAATAAGTCACCAAAGTGCCGAGGGAAAAAAGATCACAAGGGCCAGGTTTTTCCAGGCAAACATGTAACAATTTGGAGAAATTTCAACAGGACTTTTAGCCTCTGAATGATTGGGAGTGTATAAAAAACAGGCCTCAGGCGGCTAAAGGTTATTTCTGCTATGCCACATGCAGATGCCTATGCGCTCGCACACACCTGTGCCCGGAAAATTAGTCAAGGTGTGCAAAAAGGCCATTTGTCCTCCGGGTTAAAATATTACACTCTTTATGGACGGCTACTCAATCTCTTTACGAAAAGGCGAAAAAAGATCTCACTGAAAGGTTGCACCAACATTTCTCCCAACTAGGGAAACAAGAGTCAAAAAGAAGCCAGTTCCGGAAATTGTTTTTCCCTGCTTTTTTTTTCTTCTGCTCAATTTTCGAAGAGGTAGGTAACGTGCCTGTTTATTAATTCGGATGATTACATCCTTGGCATGCGTGTCGGGCGGAATGAAAGTTAATCGACCGAGCCCAAATAGTCCAGTCACACCTGCATCCTTCATGGAGGTCCGTCTATTTTTAATCCGGTCATTTCTGACGCAGCCTGTTATCAAACGCATTCGTCCACCGAGTGTGTGTGGGCGCGTGGGGTTGATGGTTAATAGGCCGCTTTTTGCCTGGTTTGCAAATATAAGTCTTCTCACCCGTCACCATAACGTCACGCAGCTGAGCTGTCATTGGCTCCCATAGGGCTTCCCCGAACTTGTTACCAAGTCACTGCTTATGTAAACTTTATGAAAATGGCCTTTGCCATGACCTTTATTTAAAGTATTCGTTACAGGACACAGAAAAACACAGTTAACGAACAGAAGGACGGGTGCTGATTTCTGTTTATGAAGCGGGTCATTAAAGGGGGAGTTAACAAAAGCAAAAAAAAAAAACATGCATGCATCTCACGCACAGAAAAGGAAGGTACAGTAACAGTTGGGGACAATATGAGAGGAAAATCTAAAGTTACACTGTTTTCTTGGACATTTTTACAGCCAACAAGCACCGACTCCATTTTCAGTTCAACCTGAGCCACGTGCCTCCGACGGAGATGCTCTTGCAGGCCGAACTCCATCTCTTCCGGCTCAAGCCCAAGATACGACCCACCGTCTCGGCGTCTGGAAAACGGCAACCCTTCTACCAGGTACGCCCTCCACCGGTCTGATTTCCTCTTGCACCGAGCAGGAATCGAACCATGCAACGTTTGCGAATGCTGATTACCATAATTATGAACAATGATATGACGTAACGTTTGTATTCTTTCCCTTTTCCGCAGATCCAACTCTATCAGCTTGCCAATGACGATCTCACGTCGCTAGAGGGCGCTAAACTCATTGGACTGCGTTTGGTGGGAAGCGTGGGGACTGAATGGGAAGTCTTCAGTATTACAGAGGGTGAGAATCTGTTGCGGGTGTTTATTAGGCATCGTAATATGCAAAGAACTGCATCGTGGAGATTGTGAAACGCAGCGGTGTTATGTTCGCGCTTTCAAGTGTGGTACCCAGAAAATGTTGTTTGTTTTCCGTAAAACCTCAGCCATGAGCTTGCAAGAAAACTTTGGCTCGATCTTAAAGTTGTAAATCATTCCGTCCATAGAAAGTGTAAGTGGATAAATGATGAAATGGAAGTGACAACCAAAATGGAGGTTCTACCAAAGTGTATGTTGAGATGCTTACAGTACCCAAATGTCCAGTTTAGGGTTGCATAATAGGAGTATGTGTTATCGGCAGTGATAGAAACGTCCAAGACTGCTTCGAATTAATCGATGCTTGGCCTTCCGTTCCAGCCGCTTCAAGGTGGCTCGCCGACGAGAGCTCAAATCACGGCGTGCTGGTAACGATCACGTCACTCACCGGAGAGCCTATGGACGAGAACTTCATCCGGTTTGCCCAACAGGGCAAGCACCACCCGAGCAAGCACCCGTTCCTCGTGTTGTACACCAGCGACCTGCGGCAGGCAGACAATTCCCAATCGGGGCAAGGTGGGTTGTGGGATAGGACGGGGGGGCTTTGGGGCTGATGTTTAGGTAATTGTGCGGGTGGTGTTTGGAGGAATTTGGAGCAATAGCGGAAAAACGGTGACTATCGGTCGAAGTTGACAGATGTTCATCTTCACAAATTCGCAGGACACACTTCTGGCGTCACAAATTGGCGTTCGTGTTCGCTTTTGGCGGCGCCGAGCTTGAGCCAATCTAGACATTCTCCGAGACCGTCCATGATGTTGTAGACTCTGGGATTGATAGCGCATGACATCCCCTTTACCTCGAGAAATTGACCGCGATCAATCAGCGTAAGGCCGAGTGCTACCAGCCAATGAACACCCTTTTACTGTCGTTTCTAACCTACGGCTCCAATTGGCTGGCGTGAGGGGGTGGCAGAAGATTTGGTATCATGGCCAACGGACACTAAAACCGTGTCCGAATATTTGGCTGTGACCTGAAATTACGCACGAGTCTATGGTAGTGGCCGCTGACAGTTCCCATACAGTAGTAGCCTAAAACTACTATTTCTCACCCGTGTTTTCTGTTTTTGTGTACACAGGAGCTGCTGGAAGTGCATATGAGAATTTCTTCGAGACCTACGGAAACCTCAACTCGGCTCCATTCACCGACTCCACGCAAGCCGGCCCCACACCCAACGTGCACACCAACCGCTACGCCCCCGACAAAGTATCGGCCACGAAACAAACGCGGACGGGGTCTGCCACGTCCAGAAACCGGCGGGACAACCGGCAGGATTTGGTGCCGACGGAAGACCCAGTCACGGACAGTGGTGGTAACAGCGGCGGTGGCAACAGCAAGAGGGACCACCGGCTCAAGGGTACGTGTGCCCGAAAGTCCATGTACGTGGATTTTCACGAGATCGGGTGGTCTGACTGGATCATCTACCCGGAGGGCTACAATGCGTTCGAGTGCACCGGCCGCTGCCCCTTCCCGCTGAGCCAGACGGTCCAGCCGTCCAATCACGCCACGGTACAGAGCCTCATGCATCTCATCTCGGCCGACGTGGCAGCGCCTTGTTGCGTGCCCAGCCAACTCGACCCCATCGTCGTCCTGTTCTTTGACAGCGACGGCAACGTGGTGCTCAAGCAGTTTGACAACATGGTGGCAACCGCTTGTGGCTGCCGTTGAAAACAAGTATTTAAAACAAAAATTGAAGGGGTTCACTGGTCATATACATTTATATAAAAAGGGAAGAAAATTCTGATATTGAACAACTAGAAACAGTTGTTCAAATTGCTCTGAAAGGAAAGAACAGACCAAGTGTTTTTCGAGCCTGTATAACTTATCTCCAACTGTTCATTCAGTGCTCAAACTACAATCTTACAGTGCTCAACCTCTCACTTAAGTCTTTATGTGGACAAAATGCTATGATATAGAATCTAATTATTAGTACGTAAACAGTGCAAGTGGTTAAATTTGCATGTCTTTAGTGTACATACAAGGTATCCTCAATGTTCCCCATATTTTAGGGTTTCAAATCCAATGTGGTCGTCCGGTCATGAAATTTTCATCGTCTAAAATCTGCGATGCGTACTCACGTTTGTTCATCTGATTGTCCACCTGTTTGTTTATTAAAAGGGCAGTACATTATTTCTCTCGGTGCCAAATGAACGCTCCCGATACACCACAGACCATTTCCCAACTCATGCTTTGACTCTACGAGTTTTTAACAGCAAATAGTTCAACAGCTAAGTAATAAATGGCCAATTTCTTAACACGCTGCAAAGAAACAGCCATCGTCTGCGTGTAGTATAAACAAAACCAGGATTCCTTTCTTCATATCAGCGGTAAAAATTATTTTCTTACCTTCCCTTATTATAATTTTATTCTGTTTAAAAAAATGTTATTTTTGATTTATGAATAATGAAATGTGCACCCAGCTTTGTATTCAAAACAAATCCGTAAGATAACGTGCAGAAATTTTTCAAAGTTTCTGAGGGAAGACGCAAACTGCAGGCTCCTCGTCACGAGCACCATTCATACACTGCAACCAAGTCTTTAATTGGCTCTCTTGGATAGGCAGCGAGTTGCAAAACAAACCCCGAGCTGGACAAAGAGAGGGTGCAAGTTTCCTACCAACAGAGGCTCCTTTGGTAGGAACTGCATTTGGTTGGTTTACAAACGACTAAGAAACGCACACGTTACGGTCACGTCGCTACCAACTGAATACTCCCAACCAACATGGCTCTTATTAACCAATGAGGGCGTGCTCTGCGGATACCTGTGTATCTCCTTCACGAAGTCCAGAGCTGAGCAATATAAACCTGAACTGACAACAGACAGTACACTTAAATTTCTGCTCAACCCACGTACCTTCGAGTATTAGACCTTATTTCTTAGACATAAGGGACTATAGTTTATCGAATGTAAATATTAAATAAAAACTTCTTTATACATTAGCGTTGTTTTTATGTTTGCCAATAAAGTTGAATGTTGTGTTCAATATTTAGAAGTTGACATGTATTATAAGATGAAGATGTTACGGATTATTTCCTCACGTTGTACAAAACCCGTGTTATATGAAGCATCTATGGTTCAAAATTTATGTTGCATTAAAAAAAGGAATTATTTGTGACCAACGTAAGTGCCAGTGCATTTCGGATTGAAACCTTGCTCAGTAAATCCAACTCTGAGAAGGGCACTTATCTTGTAACTACTTGTTATAATGAAGCAAGCCAGTTCGTATTCCAACAGCGCATGCCCAACACGAAGCGCGTTCGAGGTCATTTGGTAATAGCTGAAGACGCGCGCACGAGGTCTACCCTATCAGCGAGGCCATACGCTGACTGGTGCGCGTCCTTTGTTCTCGAATGACCCTGACCTATTGAAATACCGAATAGGTTCATTTTGAGTCCTGCAGCATAAAATGGTACTTGGTTTGTGCAGTTCCAAATCCATCGTATCTTACCAAAAACTTTGTAGGATTTGGGCAAATTAATTTTGTGAAAACATGCAGTTTTCTATTCTGTAACAGCAGAACCATTTCTTCAGCAGTGTCTGGACAAAAAGACATCATACATCATAGTTCTTCCTGACCAAGCTACTTAGGATTTTCATCGTAGTAGTATTCCCACGTGTCCAAAATGAACTCTGAGCATAATCTCTCACAGACGAAATTTTCAGAAACCTGCTGCAAACATTTCTAGGTAAATTTAATTTCTATTCAACACATTTGAGTTAGTGCTTGTGAATTCAAGTTTAATCTTTAAGCTGCAGTTGGCCCAACCTAACGGACCATAAAAAACAAATATAAAATGTTACAAATGCTATTTTGTTTAAGTTCTGGGTTCCACTGGTGGAAAAGTTCTTTGAGAATTTATTTGAAATTCCACAAGCTGACATGTCTAATTAGTGTTTCATCAATTCTTTGTACATTTGTACATTCTTAATCGTCTAATAAATTGGTATTATTTAATCACACTAGCCTGTGTGCCTGTGGTGTGCTTGTCTGTGCGTATGAGTATGGGTCTCCTAAAGAACTTCATGCAAACCAGTCTGGGCACATGACCACTTTCTTGGGAACCTGCCAATTTGGCTTAATTGAGGTGGCTGCTTTGTGTTCAGAGCCGTAACCACATTGTTACTGCCATAAAAGGAGCTACTCCACAGCTACGCATATGGTTGGATCCCTGCACTATGTGTTGTCCAATAGAGATTTTGCGTGGTAGCCATATTGCAGGGCTGTTCTTTTGTTCCACAGGGAAACTTCCTTTGTGCATACCCTGTGGAACAAAAGCACTGGCCTGCAAGATGGCTGCCATGCAAACCCTTTCTTGATCATGACTGATTCATGGGTACTGCCAAAGCAATATGACAAACCAACTGCCTCATTGAAGCAAAGATTGTGAGGGGGAGATGGAAAAGTCAATGTTTGGAGAATCCTGCTCAGGACATCAAGTGCTATAAATCGACTCCTCGTCCTCTGAGTCAAAAAATATCTTGCCACAGTATTATCCCAAACCTTTCACATTTGTGCAAGCATACTTCTTGGCTATTCATTCAATGCTCCAAAGTTTGGGGAGTGTAGCAATGCCCATCACAAATCCATCATAACCTTGGCCATGTAAACAGGGGTCTCACTATTCACAGATCACGTAAGTAGCAGGAGGCTGGTATTTGCAATTGAGGGACTTTTATGGACTTGTGAGAACTTGAATGCATCCGGACAATCTTTTTAACTGAATACACGTGCATGTAATATGATTTAAACTACTGCTCTGTAAGGAAAATGAACTGGATATATTCTTTGAAAACAGAAATTATCTCAGCCGATTTTGAAGTATGCTTCACACTGGAGCACAATATGACAGAAGTGTAATTCCAATAGAGCCTAACAGTTCTGCATTTATTGAAATATCTACATCTACATCAAGCCTTGAGCCCGCTTTTGTCACCTAGGCTGTGGAAACTGTTGCAGGAGACTTGTCGCTTGCTGACTGGTCATCTTGCCAGCAATTTTACCGCTCTTAACGGCAGCCTTGGTTTCCTGTCTCACTTTCTGCAGAAGAGACATCACCAAACAATACTAGGATTTACCAATTTGATCAGCCATGCCCTTTAAAAGGCAGATGGAAAGTGGGCGCAGCAATCTGCCACACCTTCCCCCGCCCTTCCCCCAATGCAACAATCAACGGTAAATGTTTACACAATACTAAGGCAAAATCCTGGCTAAACTAAAGTATTCTTAAAGAGATGAAAAACTAGCAACACTGGCCGGAAAATTTCATCAACATAAACTGCTTGTGACCTCTGTAATCCCAATGAGATATGGGTTTGCCATTAATCTGAGTAACATTACTACGATAGAACTCCACAAACTGCCTTTTTTAACATTCGGACATATCGCTCAACCATGTCAACATGTTTTAAAAGGCAATTTGTTCATGTGGAATCCTCGTTAGGCCTATTCAGAATTGCAAACACAAAGGACTTGGCTTAGTAGTATTGCCCTTCAATCCATGAGGATAAGTAATGTGTCCAAGTTAGGCAGGCAAGAGTTCCATTAATTGACAACACTTGAGGCCCTGCGCATAAACCTAAGAGACTTGGCTGAAAAACCTACCGGTAAGTGTTTTCTAAGTAAAATGCTTCAGAATTTCTCGGCTAAATTTCACTTTGTAGGACATGTTATCAGTTTCAGATGGCTGTTATAACATTTTAAAGGAAAATTTGTGTTGTCCGTAGGTGTAAGGAACTCTTTCCATTAGGCCTATTTAACATCATTGTGAGGGTATATCGTCAAAGTGACATCTTTCCCTTCCTGACATTACCTTGGCTTCCATGCAGCACTTCTCGAAAAGTCGGATCTCCTCAGTGCAATCTGTGTCGTTATAATCATGTTTTTTCCAGCATGCCATTAAAACACTCATCTCCGTGATGCATTCCGCAGCTGTTATTGATTAAAAAGCATACATCACTCGATAATTTTTAAACAAAATTTAAAAGCGTAAAAACCCTGCAATTACGAGTAAATTTTGCAAATTACCGGAACCAAAAAGCAACTAGTCAAACTGTTATTGTTAAACATGTTGAAAGACATGAAAGAGTCAGTTTGATATCCGGCAACTCACCTCCAGGCCTATTCTTTCTTAAAGCCACTTTATCTCTCAGCTTAAACTCTCTTTGCCGAAACTCAAATCTATTTGGCCAATAGTGATTTCTGAGGATGATTTCATTCATACGTTTCGACATTTTTGCAGCCCTTTTTCCCTACGTAAAAATTCAGTTTCGTGCGTTGTCGGTCATCGACGAAGGGTAATATCTGAGGTCACCTTTCAATAAGTCAACGCTTGAGGGCGTAAATAACACTACTAATCGCACATGGTTCCAATTTCTGATTCTGGACTGGTCTGTTTCGTCAGTGGAAAGGCCTGTAATTTGCCAGGAAATGGCTGAAAAGTTGAAGGCGATCAGGGAGAAGTCCAAACAACGAAGAGCTTTACTTGCACAAACGGTAGGCCTAGGGTGTGGTATTTGTAAGTGAGCCAGCTCGATTTTGATAGGGATGTACTGACAATGACACAAACTGACGAAGTCACAATCTTAATCATGACAACGGCAGCGTCACACTGTGAGTGTAGGCCTACATGCTTGCGCTGCTGGAGCTTCATTGACATGAACAGTGACGTAATGATGTAAAACGTTAATTATGTTCGTGATTTGTCAGACTGGCATCAAAATTGCTGTGTATTTACTTTTCCCACCAGTACCAACCCTTTGTGGTTAACCTCAACCCCCCAAACTTGCTGGCCCTAAACTTCCCCATTGAATGGGCCATACACACAAAGTTAAAAGTCCGTATGGGATTTTGTGCACAGAGGCTGTTGGACGTTGTTTTTCTGAGGTATGGCAAACCCATATGCACAAGCCAGCTGTTTGGGCCGACCAGACCTATCCCCACAGAATTAAACACTTTACTACTGTTTAATTATGTGTGGTTGGGGAAGGTTAGGGTTAATGGTTACTCTGTCAAAGTGAAAGTGTCATGTATCCTAGGCTAGCCTTTTGTAGGTACAGAGTAAAGTACTACTTTTAAATCGGGCCTAGGCCTACTGGTACTAGGTTTAGTCCCATAATAAAGCTGGTGTCGGCTTCGGGAAGAGTGCCTAGGCCTACATTTATTTGATATTTAGTAGCCTACACGTACATTTCCTTTGTTCAGTTGAATGTAACAGATGCCAATCAACTGAGCAGCGTTCTGAGCAGTAAAGAGGAACTGGAAACAAGAAGTAGTCTTGTCACACCCAAGGACGACCCCACCAGCACAAGGTATACCAGCAAATCCTCTAATTCATTATTGGTCTAAAATCAGTGTTGGATGCCATCAGTCAGTCATACAGGAATGAGATTTTCACCCAAAAATAAACCATCACAGTAACATAAAAATATGAACAAAAAGTCTTTAAGGTCCTTGCAGTGTGCACGCACATCTAAAACTACGCACAATGAGTAAAACTCCAAGAGAACAATTTTTACAAATGAGAGTATGTTTCATCTTTGCTTTAAACAGCACAGCAACATGTGTCACCTCCAGCCCTCCAACAAAGCGTAGACTTGCAGGGGATGCAGCTGAGGCGTTGACTGCCAGGAAAGAGACCCCTACTAAGGTAAAGCACACCGTGGGTGTGACTGTTGGCTCCCTTGGCGATTTCCAAACTGTAGCTTCATCTTCAGATCTGTTGTCAGGACACTCTAGGCCCCTTGAATTGGGAGTCTCCAGCTTAATCCTCCCACCAGCAATTCAAACTTACACAGTTTTCTGATGTGGAAGTCTTTGAAGTCTTTAGTACTGCCACATTTTCACTGCAGTGTCCTAGGGTAGCGAACGGAGAGCACTTCCAGAGTGTAATGAAGCACAGTAGAGCGAAGCTGCTCATTTTCTGTCTTGAGTTTATAACAAACAGAACAACAGTGACAGGTTTGGAAGTGGTAACTGTACCTGGCTCTGTTGGCAGTGGACCCTGACAAGGGCTGTGCTGACTCTCTGGACAAACATGTTGAGGTAGATTTTGAGGAGGTTTAATCAGCATTCTTGTTGGATCTAAGTGATTGATGCATTCTGTCGCCAGGACAACCCAGAGGAAGATGAAGATGACAGCTTGGTGGAGAAGGTCTATAAGGATTCCAGCACATTCCTTAAGGTAAGCTTTTACACCCTTCAGGGTCCGTAGAGGGGTGTTTTTTCTGCCACAGAATTTGGAAAAATAAAATGATGCTTAGTGGAACTGAATGCAGCTCAGTCTACAAGAGTTAACAGATCTTTCCTTTTCATCCATCCAGGGAACTCAAAGTGCAAATCCCCACAATGACTACTGCCAACATTTTGTGGACACAGGTCAGCGGCCACAAAACTTTATTCGGGATGTGGGTAAGTTGACAGGATGACAAACTGTGAAGGTTTTTACAAGCTACGGCCAGATTTATTTTACATAAACTGTCTTAAAGTAGCATCTCCAGTAGTACCAACCCTTTAACCTCAACCACTACCCATAATTCTTGCTTTAGGTAAGTGTGGTATAAAATTCATTCATGCTGAGTTAATTTTGGGGTTGCTAAAGGCACCTGGTGTTATTTTGTGGTACACGAATGCTCATGAGTGTTTTCCTTTCTCTCAGGACTTGCTGACCGATTTGAGGAGTACCCCAAGTTGAAGGAACTCATCCGTCTGAAAGATGAGCTGATAGCACGGACCAACTCCCCACCAATGTAAGTTTTTTCTTGATTTTTTTTTTTCCCCAAAGATATTTGCTCTTTAGTTGTAAGCTTCTCTGAGTTTAGCGAGATGTAGCATTTCTATACTAATTGGCCATATCTGCAGGTACCTGCACTGTGACCTAGAGACCTTTGACCTTGCAGAGTTGAATCACAAGTTTGACGTCATATTGGTGGACCCACCTTTAGAGGAGTACCGACATCGACCTGGTGTCATGACCAACCAGAAGTTTTGGAGCTGGGATGAGGTGAGAGCAGTATATGAGCCTTAAATCACAAGTCAAGCTATTAGTTGTATTGCAAGTCAAATCACATGTCAAGTCACTAGTCAAATCACATGTCAAGTCACATGTCAAATCACATGTCAAGTCATAAGTCAAATCACGAGTCAAATCACATGTCAAGTCACATTGTACCTCAGATATAAGTCATATTTCAAGTCAAGCCAGAAGTCAGTTTGGAGTCTAGTGATGTGTCAAATCAGCTCAATTCAAATATCAAGTCCATACACAAGTCAATCCATACACAAATCAATTCATAAGTTACAAGCAAAAGGGAATGAATAACAACAGAAGAGTACCTTCGTCAGAGTTCAACTAAGTAGCTTACGGCTTGAATTGAGGGTGGATGACCTGTAATGAATTTGACGCAACACCTGCCGAAATTGTAAATTTCTTTACCACTCAGCAAGGGCACTAATGATTTTATATAGTACCTTGGCCAATACAATGATGGTTTGTGGGACCCACCTTGCTATCTGTGCAGTCTCTTGTTAATGGCGTTTGTGTTCCATTTCAGATTATGCGTCTGGAGATTCCAGCAGTGGCAGCTCACCGTTCCTTCATCTTCCTTTGGATAGGGACCCTGGAGGGCCTGGATAAGGGGCGGCAGTGTCTGGCTGACTGGGGCTTCAGAAGATGTGAAGACATCAGCTGGATTAAGACAAATGCCAAGAACCCCGGTAGTGTCAGTCTGGAGACCAACGCCATCCTGCAGAGAACTAAGGTGGGTTTCAAATTCGTAGCCTGACCATTTACATGAAATGTCCGGAATTTTTTTCCCTACCGGATATCAAAATTTATGTCTGTCAAGAGCCAACATGGCTCATCAGGCCCAGCCAAGGTGAGTTAAACAGGTTTGCTCAAGGACACAAAGTGTGGGCCGGGCAGCAGCTGGATTCAAATTCCTGACCCTTCTAATTATGAGTCACAAACCTTAACCACTAGGCTACTTTTCCCACGTTTGGTCTTTGACAGTAATAAATTTTACCCCGTTTTAGTGATCAGTGTCATACTGCTGTTTGTGATATGTTTTGCTATGAATCAGAAACATTGTCAGGCATACCCATTCCATTGTTTAGGAACATTGCCTGATGGGTATCAAGGGCACAGTGCGACGTTCCACGGATGGGGATTTCATCCACGCCAATATTGACCTCGACGTGATCATAACGGAGGAACCCGAACCGGGTTCCTTGGATAAACCTGAAGAAATCTTCCACATCATTGAGCATTTCTGCTTAGGGCGGAGGCGGCTGCATATATTTGGCTCGGACAGCACCATTAGACCAGGTAGGCATAAATCGTTTTTTGAAGCAAGATGTTTCATTTTTTCCCTTTCTTTGCTGGGAATATTGCTTTTGTGGAATTTTACTCATCACTTTACACTGTGCATGAACTTGAAACTTTGTTCTGACATCAGTTATGATGGCAAGACACACTGTAAATGTTTATCACTTGTTGATTTCTTTGACGGGGGATATACAGTTGTTATACTCCAGGGTGAAACGACTAAAAAGTACTTGTTACAGCTGTTGTGTTTGTATGTCATAGGTTGGTTGTCCATTGGACCAAAGATCACCAACAGCAACTTTGTCCAAGAGACCTACGAGAGCTACTTCAACAAGTCTCCCACAGACTACCTCACGGGCTGCAGCGAGGAGATTGAACGGCTCCGCCCAAAGTCCCCGCCCCCGAAGATCAAAGGTGGGGCTGCGGGGCGGGGTGGGCAGGGTGGCCGTGGCGGGCAAGGAGGGCGTGGCGGACAAGGTGGGAGAGGGGGACCAGGAGGGGCTCAAGGGGGCTGGCAAGGGGGGGGGAGGGGCGGAGGGGTTGGCGGGAGGGGCAGGGGGGGCGGNGGGCGTGGCGGACAAGGTGGGAGAGGGGGACCAGGAGGGGCTCAAGGGGGCTGGCAAGGGGGTGGGAGGGGCGGAGGGTTTGGCGGAAGGGGCAGGGGTGGCGGTCCGGGAAAGGGCAGGGGATTCCAAGGCAGGGGTGGTTTTTAAAGAAGCTTTTTACTTCTTAAACGATAGGCATGTCACTGGAGTTGTTTTGAGCACACCAGCACTTAAGTGGTGCACTTGCTGGGACTGTACATGTAGACGGTGTGTTGAGGCTTGCTGGAGGCAGTTTTAGGATCACGTCTTGGTCGTCTGGAGTTAGCAACTTCCATGGACATTGACTTTGTGGGAGGAAGGTGAATGAAGTTTGCACTCACGTTTTGCAAAGCCTGATGGTAATATCGTCATTTATATTGGAAGGGAGTGTAGGGAATGCATGTACATTAAAAGCCATTGGTCTATTAGAGGGTTTGCATGGCTGCCATCTTGCAGGCCAGTGCTTTTGTTCCACAGGGTATGCACAAAGGAGGTTTCTCATCAAGATGGCTACCACACAAAGCCTCTATAGAGGCCATTGTGCTATCTGTTTGACCCGGAATATGTACAGTAACCAAGCATTTTGTACACCATCAGTAACATTTATTCTTTTTTCATAACTGCCGTCTCTTGAAACAGTCTTGTACAGCAAGAAACTGATCCTGATGTTCTACATCTGCCTTATTTCTTGTTTGCCTTTTTGCAAAAACACTGGCTTAGTCTTGCATACATGTCGCTATTAGCTTGACACCAACATGCTGAACAAGGTCGATGAAGAATACTGCAGGCTTAAGAAGAAACCTGGATTGTGAAAAACATTTGTCCATTCATTGACTGAGGTCAGAATCTTGGACTTGTTTTTTAAATGCACAACCCACAGCATAAAGGATAAGCTCTAAGGTCCCAGACTGTTGTCAAATATTACCGTCACTGGCTTTTTTTATTAACGTGAAAGCCACCAGTCTACCAAACTGAAACAAGGGCCGTTTCCCAATACTCAACTTCGGCTCCGTCTAAGGCTTCAACTGTTTTTACTACCTGACTTTGAAGCTGTACGCGCAGTAATTAGTCTAATAGTGCCACAAAACATCAAATAAGATGCAAGAGAGCAAAAACTTACAGTAATCCAATTTGGTTTAAACGCTTCAGGCCCACAACCGGGGATTGGTTTCGGGACGAAGCCTGAGACAGAGACGAAGTTGAGTACTGGAAAACGGCCAAGGAATTGTAATAAAATGCAAATGGTGCACGTAAACGTGTGGACTTTGTTTTGATTTTTCTTATGAAGCCAAAATGTATCATCTTAAAACCGCGAAAACATACGTTTGTGTATTTACAAATAATTACAACTGTCGTGGCATGATAAAATACAAAGGTAAAATATTTATTTACAGTTGTGAGTCGTTAAAATGAAATCCAATTGAGCAATGATTGGAGACAGAACTTGGACAAACACGATAGGTGAAGTGACTACATAGCAGTGGTGTCTGCTTTTTTTTAAAACTTTCAGTGCCACGGAAACCTGTGTTGTACTCGTGCAAACTCTTGAGTAATAAGTTGAATCATTTTATCGTTGGCAGTGCTACTGATCAAATCGTCGTTCAACAAAGATTTATTCATTCCTAAGCCAAATAATGCCACCCCTCTGTTAAATTTGAATTTAAAAGGATGCAGCTTTTGCAGCTAATG